TCGATTAGTAGGTCAAGTGATGTTACTAGCGTCCATACCAGCAGATAATTTATTTTATATTATTGGAATGCTATGCTTTATATGGAATTTATCCAACAAGAGTTCATTTTTGTGTCTAAAATGAGATAATGGGATCTTGCATTGTTTAACCCCCATTTCTAAAAGGCATAGAAATGCCATATATATGGGTGTGTATGAATATAACAACATATATATGTACTTTGTTATCAATAATAATTTTATCTTTTGTTTTGAACTGAAGCGATAAATGCATCATGTTAGAAAAAATAAAATAGTCTTCACGAGATATTAATACATACAAGGAAGAATAATAGATCTTATACCATCTCTAATTTTTAGATGCATTTCTTAGTAATTGGGAAATGAAATCATGAAGAGAACATATTTCCTTGTCCCATGATCGTGTCATTCTCACAGACACATGTGTCATTACATGTATACAGTTAATATCCCACAGTAGTCTCGAGTAGGGATATAGAGAAGTGATCCATCCGTCTATCCATTTGTTGAACCTGCCTGACAATTTTTAGGCTGATACCTTATGGGGGAATTACTTCTGCGGAAGAAGGAATTTTCAATATGGCCCCTCAGTTCAAAATGGCTGTCATATTTGGAAGATAGAATAAAAATGTACAATGAACTAAATGAGATTACTGAATCAGTAACATATAATGACTACCTAACATGTAGATGGCAATATCCATTTCAAGACTGAGAAAAAAAGTCACTCTGTTCTCTCTCGGATGATTACATATTTGCTTTTGAGAAGCAATTTGCTAATTAAACAGTGATTTAAGGAAAATTTACTGGTACAGATATACTTTGTGAGCGGAATATATGGTAACTTAAGGAGGGCCTGAGATTGAACTGGGTTAATCTGACCTAGAACTCTCACAGCTCCTGGAATAACCAGACTTCATCTTAGATGTTAAAATACTAGATGAACTGCTTGAAAGCGTTGTACAGGAAAATCCCCTGGAACTATCCAGCTTTAGGACTTTTCGATGATATGTGCCAGTATTTGTGTGCAGATAAAACATTCAGATTAATTTTGATTTTATTGGATGACATCACATTGTTGACTTTACAATATGTTGCATTGGGAAACTAACCACATGTTTAACCTTTAAAAAAAGAAAACTATCAGTTATCAGTAAAATGGTATTTAACATTCAACTGTCTATGATATTACGGAACATACATGTTGAATATATACAGTGTATATGATTTTATTGATCGTTGTAAGGCTTGCTTCAGGTCCTTTTAGCCCCCTTTTGTTCACTGTGAAGGGTCGATAAGGGGGGACCAGAGATGCTGAATGCAAAGTTATATTTCTTGTTAGTGAAAATAATCAAAAGTTATAATGACCTTTTTTAAACTTTTTAAAAACCAATTTGGCAAGCTTCCTGCAAGCACGCAGGTGAAATCACAGTAAATACAAACTTAGTATACTTGTTTGATTGATTTTAATGGCTGGCAAAGAATATACTGAAGTTAGCCAAAACAGCCAATGATTTTACCTCTAAAATGCATACTGAGAAATTGCAAGCTCTTTTTACATATTCATCAAGAATTAAAGATAATTGATGCCTTTGTAGTTCGGGGTCAATGTGTTGCCTAAGGTTGGCTTGATCACTTTGATATTTTTGGAATCGGATCCAAATAACCCTGTCATTATATATAAAACATTGGCTATGTTTAATTTTCTTATAAATAAATTAAAGCCAGTAAATAAATGATAAACATTTTGGCATGACATGAAGTTTTTTACAATTGAAATTGATATAATATTGTGTCCTGATAAGAAGGAATAAGGTTGGAAGCCATCTAAACAAACTGTAAAACATGATCTACAGGGTGTTCAAAAAAACGCAACCCAAAGAAATCGCGATATCTTGGAAAATACTAATCCAATTATATTCATATTTTCAGGAAAGAAAGAAGAGACTGTGTATTTATAGCCCCTGTTGTTAGTTAGTTGTAAACCATGATGTCTTGGACACTTGCTCAAAAGACAGTTGTACTAGCAAAATACGAAAAACGTGAATGGAAAATAACTATATCTTGGAAAATACTAATTCAATTATGTTTATTTTTTCAGGAAAAGAAAGAAGAGACTGTGTATGTATAGCTCCTGTTGTCAGGAAGCTGTAAAACATGATGCCTTGGACACCTGCTCAAATGACAGTTGTACTAGGAAAATATGAAAACGCAGTCAGAGGTGACTGCCACAGCAATAAAACCAAATAACTTTCTAACCATGGTGTTTTGGCACTTCAGATTTGGCACAAATTATCCTTATTTAATGTGTGGTGAATTTGTGAAGTTTCATCAAAATCACTCCAGGGACGTTATAGTGGTGGTCAAAATGCCTTCTTAAGTCTCCCTGAACCAGGGCGTTTGACTGCGATTTCAAAGCATTTCAACCATGACAGTGAAGTCCCTGAAGTGATTTTGATTTCACTCTACAGATTTATCATACAGTGAATGAAGATGGTTTGTGCCAAATTTGGAGAGCCAAAACACTATGGTTAGGAAGTTATTTAATTTTTTTGCGGTTGCAGTCACCCTTGACTGCGTTTTTCGCATTTTGCTAGTACAACTGTTTTTGAGCAGGTGTCCAAGGCATCATGTTTTACAACAAACCATTGACAGGAGCTATACACACACAGTCTCTTCTTTATTTCCTTAAAATATGAACATAATTGAACCAGTATTTTTCAAGATATAGCAATTTCTTTGGGTTGCGTTTTTTTTGAACACCCTGCACTTAGGTATAACATTTAAATCTATCTATAATATAGCCTATTTTTAATTTTTAACACATCATATATTTGAATGGTAAATTATCAGTTCTCATCTATTCACACCAAGATTTAAGATGTACTAAAAAAGGTATTACAGGTTTAAGACATGCAATGTCAAAATGATAAGTTTTGCTCAACTGTTCCTAAGGGCAGCTTCAGCATAATCAAGTCCAAAACATGATACAGTTATGTGACTTCAATTTAAACATTTATTCCCATTTTATGATTTTATCTTGTCATGGAGCCTCTTCATCTAGATTAGATACTTTGTTGAATATGTATAAACTTATTTAGGTTAGATGACCAAATTACGGGTTTGTGTCTCAATTTACAAGTCTAATTAAGTTAAGAATTCACACATAGAAAGGCAAAGTGTGTCCAATTCCAGCCAATCAAAACACAGTATTTCATATAACTGCAGTGCATCATAGAACCAATCATTGCATTAAAGGTCATTCATTATATGGTAGTCAAGGTGAGAACTTGACTCTACAGATTGAAATTGATGCTTGGCCAACTTGACCCTTGCAAAATGTTTCATTGAAGATATGTTAGTTCAGTGATTTTGTATCTTTTAAATAGATTGGTATAAAATATTTTCTAATGTGTGAAAAGAATTTAAGCCCAAGACTCAGTGCACTGTGGAATGACCATTTCTTTCAGGCGTTGTTCCCTAAATTTAAACTTGATGCTGTGCATCTGGGCAAACTTTGGAAAGCAACACCTTCAAGGAATGGTCATCCCACATTGCATTGAGTCCAGGACTTAAATTCTTCTTTGATTTTACATTTATTATGACATTATTTATGGACTCTGTGACTCAGGATGTATAGTCGATTCTTATTATTCACTTTGGAGTGGTCATTGGCAATGCTTGCAGCATTTGTAACATGAAAATATTTTGTCACATATTACAATTACTCAAATGATATTGATCAGATTGACTTGAAACTTATAGAGAGAACATAGGTATAGGCTTTGCTTATCTTATAAATTACTGCAGATTATAAGCAATATAGGTAACCATGGGAACAAATGAAGAAGTAACAGTCATGTAGACTTAAAATTCAATTAGTGACACCTACAAATAATTACAAAAGTGTTCAGATTATAGGCATTATCCATTACCACGATACCCATTTCAGAAAGTTAGGTTTCTAAGCTCAAAATTCAGGTTTGTTCATCCCTGTTCAATCTTTGCCTTAATTTCTGCAAAAAAAGTTCATATCAGCCCAGTTCCACAGCTTTTATATAAGCTATTTTAGTATGAAACAGCAGCACATACTCTTGACATTCTGTATTTACCTTTATTAGAATCATAACTCATTAATAGTTATTAAAGTATGCAGGTCGTAGCAACCTTTGAGTTTGGCAACCCTGGGTTGTTGAATTCCATGCTCCCTGAGGAGGCAATAAATATAACAGTATCTGTCAAGTAGATGAAACATCGCCTAATTTATGATTAACTCATTTTTGTATCTTTCAAGTAAAACTACAGCTTGATTCATAAGAGATTTTATAATATGTAAAAATGTTTAAATTTAGTAAATAAAAGTTTATTAAAAAAATAGATCCTGGAGTTATGATTAAATTCAAAGAGGAAGGTATATTCTAATCTCATGAATTTCATATCAAAGCAAAATTAGATGGAAATGAATTGATTTTAAGGTTAATCTACATTATTGCATTGAATCTGAATTTTCCAAATGTCCTAGTTCTTACTTGCTAGAACTATGTGATTCCACTTGCACCTCCAGACTGTGTTTGGTCGTGAATAATTTATTGATAAATTCTTCTACATGCATGACTTACATGTAGACTTAGCATTAACCTTAGGCTGGGATGAATACGCTTCGTAATATTTAGTGTAATTCTTGCCTTTTGCTATGCTGGTGAGAATCTATCCATTCTAGGGTCTCATCGTTTCATTCTGACATTTCTCATGGCTGCTTATTGTCAGCTCTTAGTGTCATGAAATAAAGTAATTTCTATTACCCTTTGCCCTCCTGGACAACTTTTAAGTTTATACCATTGGCTAATAGGGGGGTGATTTATGTGGAAGTAGAGATGATGGAAATGGCAGAAATCTTCGGATTTTTCAAAATGAATGCATTAATATGTTGTGAAAAACAATAATCATATTAAATTGTCTACTGTATTATATGTTTTCAGTATATCAATGAAGGAAGCTTGGAGCAGTTGCTAGGCAATAAGAGGTTGGATCTATCGTGGTCCGTGCGAGTCCAGCTGGCTCTGGACATGGCTAAAGGCATGCGGTATCTTCACCACAGGGGTGTCTTTCACAGAGACTTTACTTCCAAGGTAAGTCAAATTGGAATATTCTGCTGGCAATCTTATGGTTATCTTATAAAATGTTAAGGAATGAATTTTCTGGCTTATTTGATCGGTTCCTTAACACAAAGATTTAAAACATTTCCTGCTATACCCTCTGTGATAAAATATTGAGGTGAGAAATAAAATACAAATTGTCTGTAAAAACTGCTGTTTGCTGAGTAAACAATGCTGATTTTTGAACCCTACTTGTATATTCTATAAATTCTTGTAAATTTTAAATGAAATTGATATCACTATAGTAGAAAATTAATAACTTTCCTGATGTAAATTGATATTTATTGAATACTATAGTAATTGCAATCTATGGTATATCAGGGGTATCTTTATGCATTTACATATATGATTGGTGTCATGATTGTTGCATGGTAAGTGACTAGGTAGTTTAGCTCAGTAATAGGGGCTATTTGTCTCGTTAAATCAATTGGCTTGATACATTTTTTCCTCCACTTATCTACTATTCCTCCATTAACATTGTTTTCTGATGACACTTCATTGCAGTTTATTCCACCATTTATCGAACACATGTCATGGAAAATTGGAGGAAAGTGGGACCTGTTCACAATATGAACTTAGGATTTTTCAACATGGATTTCATTGGCAACTGATATATATGTGTGTATGACAAAAACAATAGAAAAAATTCAAGAAAATCATGAAAATCTTTCATTGTAGAGATTAAGTTGGGTCTCTCATTTGAGAAAAAATCCTTGTGAGAATACTAGAGTCCATTTCACTGTTTAACTGCGTCAGTAAAAGCTAAAAAATAAGAAATCAAAATATCATTTTGCAATAATATATGGAAAAATATATTCTTATTGTACATGAATGACATTTGTATATCTTGGATTGCTTCTAGTTTGGCTTATAAAGTGTGTGGCCTCTTATATTTGGATGCTTCTCTGCCATGTTATTTTCAATAAGATTAACATGGCTGAAATTCTTCAAATTACGAGACAGCACAGGCTTATTGCACAAAAAACTAAAAAATCTGAAATATACAAATGTCATTCATGTACATTATGAATATACTTTTCCATATATTATTGCACAATGGTCTCCCAGTTTCTTATTTTTGCCATTCTACTGACGCAATGAAGCAGTGAAATGGACTCTACACAAAACTGTTTGCTTTTTGGTAAGATTCTGTATGCAGTATAGCGATTGACATTTGAAGCATTCGAACAACTATGCTCTATTAGCAGTTTTATTGTATTTAACACCTGTTATTTTATTCAATTATCTGAAGGTCAACAACACAATATTGCACATATTTGGTTACATTAAGACAATCAGGATTTGCAATTAAGGTCATAATGCCTGTAACACATGGTTCAATCTGTTGTCAATAGTACAATAACGTCATTTCTAAGGGCGATATAGTGAAATATTGGACCAAGGGCCGAAAGTGAAATATTGGACCAAGGGCCGAAGGCCCAAGGTCCAATATTTCACTACAGGAAAACCTGTATATCTGAACACCTGGCTAATCCGAACACCTTCCAATATGAACACTTTTTTTCGGTCCCATTTTTTCCTCCCATTGACTCCCATGTTAAAAAAACCTTGAAATCTGAACACCTCCTTATTTGAACAGTGAACAACCAGATTTGAAAAAGTGACCTGTCTAATCTGAACATTTTTATCAGAAATCAAATGTCTGGACATTTCAATTAAAGCCACATATTGAGTCAATGTTATAGTTGTTATTTATCTTTACATATGCAAATATACAAATGCAATCAAAGAACCAATTGTCCTAATTAACTTATTTAGTCTCAGTGACATCCCTAATTTGTGGAAAACAACAGGATGTTTTGGAAAGGAGTGAATACAGGAGTTAATTGGTTTATCCTATTCGAAAAGAACTGAATGTTTTATTTTTGGATTAAGAGAAAGGTGTGAATCAAGAAGATAATTGATTTATCATTATTGGAAATTACCTGGATGTTTTTGGTTTGGATTAAGAGAAAGGTGAGAGTCTGGGAGATAATTGGTTTATCCTTATTGTAAATTAACTGGATGTTTTTGATTTGGATTATGAACAGGTCTTAAATGTTTTATATCCCATGGGTCTGTTATGATAGCTAAGATTCAATCAGTAAATGTTTTATAATCACAAAGACAACACAGACACCATTTGCAGACACTATTATATCACGAGAAGGAGAAAAAATCCAACTTCGTAATATTTGCATACATCTGACATCCTGAATGCCCTTGATATTTTGAAGGATTATACATCATCTCGAATGAACACTCATGAAAAATTATTTTTACTTGAAGAGGATATCTACTCAAATATTGCTAATGCTAAAAGTGCCAAGAAACAAACAACAATGAAGGACTTTTTCAAGCAAAAGTAAAGCAGTGCTATATAACCATAATATGGGATAAGCCATTTGATAAGTATAGGATTTCGTACGAGACTATCATATACTTTTACAGTGTATTACAAAGTTTTTGCCAAAATATAAGAGTTATTTTTACTAAAATGATGAAATTGTTCAAAATATAAATAAAACATAGCATATAGGCTATAGGCCTATTGTAGAATTAACTCATCAACAACATGTTTTGCTTTCTGACTTAGTATTAAGTGTTCAATATAGTGCACTGAACAATGAAAATCCCCCTCCCCCGACCAACAAAATCCTCGAAATTTGAACACCTGCCAATTTGAACGCTTTTGGCTGGTCCCATGGGTGTTCGGATTAGACAGGTTTTACTGTATATCGCTCGCAGAAATGACGTTATTAGTATGATTACCACCGTTAATGACTAGGACTGAAACAGCAAGAAATCTTACGCATTGAACGATATCTAATTTCCCGGGGAAAATTGCCGGTCCAGAATATATTCTAGACCGGTCCATATGGACCACCACTATGACGTCACACATTTCTCAGGTCGATATAGTAAAATAAACGCCTTCTAAACTAGCACTAAAACCCCTAGAACTGGCCCGGCAAGGTGGTAATAATGCGTGTTAGATTAAATAGAATAATATTCGTTCTGTCATTAAAAATTGTATTGTGATCAAAACTTTTGAAATATGAAAATTTGATATCAATTAATTGTTTTGTAACAATGATTCATTTTTTACATTGTCTTGTTAAGATTTACTTTCAAGTAAAGCTAGGCAAAAAATGTTTTCTGATATCTACAGAATCCTTGAAGTTTGTTCAAGGCTCATCATTATAGTGAATTATATAAGTCAACCAAGATATCAACAATATAGAAAACGATAAATCTAAAGACCAATTGAATGGTTGATTGGTTAAGAGAAAAAACAGGTTACACAGGTACAAAATCCTTTTGGCAAAATGCTTTCTGATGAAAAGCAAATTAACCCTGCTATGGAATAGATTGGCTCAGAAAAGTCTTCTTGCTTGTTGGCTTTATGAACTCAAGTTGCCGATGTTTGTTGCTCCATTAGTCAATAATTTCTATTTTTGATTTACTGTACCTTGAATTCAGTTGTTCAGAGGTCAACCTGTAAAATGCAAGACAGACTAAAATGTTTTTTAAATGCCAAGCAACAACTGTGAGTAGCTATTCCAGTTTACAGTACTCAATCTTCATAAAACTTGAACAAGCCTTCGACTCACTTGTTGTCCATGCTTTTCTCACTAAAGAATAAACTACCGAATTTTCTTTCATCTTTAGAAGATTGTTCCTTACCATATTTGCTATTCATGAATTATGGCTGATTCTTGATATTTTGAGTTTTTATCACAACTACACTGACTTAACAATCGTGCGTAGAACAACTCTTCAGGTCAATAATAATTCAAGGTTTTTCAATAGGAAAAGTACTTAACTTGCAAAACTCAGGTAAAGGTCTATGGAATAATTGACCCGACAACTGAAGATTGTCACGGACGCTTTTTATGAGTCTTCAACTGGCATTTATGGCTTTCACTTGATTAATATCACAAAAATCACTCTCTAGATTTAATTTGCTTAATTCCCTTTTTGTTTGGTAATTTCATCATTTATTCAGCATTTGAATTGTGTATTGTTTGTTTATTTTAGAATGTGTTAATCAACAAAGAGGACGGCAAGTACAGTGCAGTGGTGGGTGATTTTGGCCTGGCTGCTCGTATACCTGACCCCCTGTAAGTATAAATCAGGAATATCAGAAAAACTGCTATGGTACATGTACAAAACAAACCCAGTTTTGAAGACATGCATATCATTTGTTTGTGTTCAATAAGAGCAAAGCTGAAGTATTAGTAGAGACAAAGATTGATCTGTAAAATGAAGCCCTCTGATTGGTCAGTTCTTGTGCTGTACCAATCTGTATTGTTACTGAGATTGTCCCCATTGATCATCTCCATCGCAATACAGAAAATATTGGTATGGAAGAGACAATCTCAGTAGCAATACAGAGGATCACACAATAAAAATGTTATTGAATAATTTGAAGTGCAATACAGGGTATATTCTGTCTCAATATTCTGTATTGGCACTCGACTTTGTCTCGTTCTCGAGCAGAATATATCCTGTATTGCACTTAAAATCATTCAACATTCAATAACTTATAATCATTTCAAGAGATGAATGAGGTTTTACCTTTAGTATCTATATAGACAGTATTATGTACCATTTATAAGGCCTGTTTTCTGGATAGTAAAATGCGTCTGAATGATAATGATACCATATAGTGAACTCATCTATCAACTGAAACAGAAATTATGTCATGTTTCCCCATTGATTTCCATGACAACCTACCTGAATTCTATGCAATTGCCTATATACAGTGAAGCTGTTGAGGGAATACCTTAATTAGGGTTAGCAACAAGAGCTGTTCACGATATATTTGTTTCACTGTAGTAATATAATATCAAGGCAACTTGATTGAGCGAATTATCTGAACATATTGCATGATTTGATATTCTATGATAATATCAATGCATTTATCTTCATTTAATGATACTTGATCACTAAATATAATGATTATATTTTGTAATTGAATATGGCTTCTTTGATGAACCAGGTTCATTAAAAAATTACCATTTACTTTGATTATTATATATCATCATCATTTGGTGTAAAAATCATTTTGCAAATTAGATGCTATATTTCAGTATGTACCGTACATTATTGTACAGTATGTAAGCCTGGAAAAGGGGTTCTGTTTAAGTGGCAGAAAAGGAGAGAGAGCATATGAAATATTGGAATTTATTTCAAATTCCGATTCCCTTCCAAAATGAAAAGATTTGAGATATCTGATTAATTTTGGAAATCATTTAAGATGCAAAAATTGAAAAATAAGATAATAATTTTTTAAGATAACCTTGATTAATCAAAGTATTATCATAAAATAAAGTCATAGGACTTTTTAGAAAATTGCAATCCTGTGAGCAAATCATCTTATAAATTCTGACTATTTTTAAAAGTTTATCCCGAATTTATCACTTTTCTTTGTTGTCTATTTAAATGAACTTTTATATCAATTGATTTTTGTATGAATATATACAAATACATACCAATAAAAAGAAAATCAACTAATTCAATTGAGAATCATTGATGAACTCAAAGATAATCTAAATAGTCTGTCTGCACAAATGAAGCAAGGCAGTGCAAAATTTATGAAGATGTTTATCAAAACAAAGTACAAGTAAAGGTATATATGTATATCTATATAGGTCAGTCTGAGTATGTTTACATATTGTAAATATATAAAGCAGGTGTGACCTTCTTTCTTGAAATATTATTGGAACTGCTTCATGCCATGTAATGACAGGCTACATAGATTTCTTCTTATTTAAACACAAAATACTGTACCTGGAATATACTCGTATATCAAAGGAACTTTGCTTTTCAAAATATGAAATACAGTTGTTAGTTGTTTTGAGGATAAATAAACAGTAGAATTGGTTTCAGTGTTTTTATTTTCTCAGATACCATGAATATATTTCTATCGACTTTTTTAAACATGTTCTCTCTTTTGGCTATCTTACTGTTTCAAAACTGTTCAAATACAGGATTCCTTGACTTTCTGAGACAAATGAGAATCCAATGTAAGAAAGGTTGAAGTACAGAAAGCCGGCTTGTTTGAGATAAACAAGATTTTCTCAACTTCCAGTCTGTATCTCCTTTATGGATGGCTGCCAATTGGGTTTGCTCTAATGTCAGTTTGTTTTTCTCTCTCTTCATAGTCTACCCATGTTGATCTGCTGTAGAGCAGATTTCCCTCTGATACAGTGACTATGGATTCGATCTCGTTTTGGCAAATCTACTTTGTGTGTTGTATTATTGCATTAAAGTAGTGATTAACTGTGTTCCATAACTCATACAAAAGGTTCCTAGTCAACTCGGACCCTAGTTAACTCGGACCCTAGTCAACTTGGACCCTAGTTAACTCGGACCCTAGTCAACTCGGACCCTAGTCAACTTGGACCTATGTATTTTTTATATTTTTCCTCAGTTGAGCATTAAAATGATAAGGTATATATAAAAACAACATTAATCATATATAATTGTTAGATAGAACAATGGTTGATAATGGTGAAAAATAATTCTGACACTTTTGAGTCAATCATAAACCATTCAGCCTGATTGTGAACTCATATACTGGTAGGAATAAATATTAAATAACCAAGATTTTGATTTTACATGAAACCAGTTAATTTGTCTTCCAAACAAATAGTATGTAACAATAAATTAGAAATTCAAAGGTGAATTAAATGTTGTTGACCTCAATTCTTCAAACCAAGTTAAAAGGGTTAAACATGTTTGTAAACAATTGAAAGCCCATGATTTTTAAGGAATTTCTTATAATGAAAATTAAAGATAAAGTTTCAAATCAAACGATAACACCATATTTGATAATTTTGTAACTTGTATTTGCAATTCTTTGATTTATTAAATCAAAATATATTTCAAATTCCCTACTCATTGAATATTTTACTAAGGTCACCAAATTATTTAATCATTGTATTTCCACATTTGAAGCTTTGAAATATGAAATAATCATGGATTTTCGACAAACAGAAAGTAATTTTACACACATGTTTAGAAAATGAAATTGGAAATAAAATTGTTTAAAACACAAATGCGCTAACACATTTTCCTATACTGTATATTGGAATTAATGTAATACCTCTATATTTTGTTTACTTCAACACCCTAATTAAATGCTTATCAGAGGATACAAGATTTGTTAATTAGGTTTCTTAGTCAAAGTTATTATAACAGCATTATACACAACAGGCTAAATTGAATTCATTTTTTAAAGACATAGTATAGTTCCAATTCTATATAAAGTCAATATAAAATGAATCAAAATCATTCAAAATCATTCTCATTTAATTATAAAGAGTTATTTGATCCCACATGACGCAAATAGCATAGAAGTATAAAGGTTGTAAAGACTGATTTTGACTCATCAGAAATATACATAAACATCATTATTTAAAGATTTCAGTAATGAATTGAATTATATCTTAAACCATTCCAATATTCTTAATATTTTGAAAGTTAATTGCTTTCACCTCTAACATAGCAAAATACCTCTGATTTATATTAAATATAACTGGGTCCAAGTTAACTAGGGTCCGAGTTGACTAGGGTCCGAGTTAACTAGGGTCCAAGTTGACTAGGGTCCGAGTTAACTAGGGTCCGAGTTGACCAGATACCATACAAAAGGCTTGTGTCTGCTTGTACATACCTAAAGGAACACAGACCTACTTCAATGGAGTTCCTAGGTCTATCTTCATTGATGAAATGCATAGATGAATTATGTAATAAAATATTGAATTATAAATCCTCTACCATAAGTCTTTTGCTCACCTTCATTGGTGGTAAACAAAAAACAAAATTAAAAACAAAAAAAGCTCTGGATGAAGTAATAACCCATTGGGTTACATCTGTGCTGGATATCTGTTTAGACAGACTTCCTTCCACATTTCATGTTATGCTTGGAGAAATCATCATTAACTTGTTTACCTTATATCCTAGACAAACCGAGCATGTTGCAGTAAAATATGAGTTTGGATACATAAATTATAACAACATTTTCTTTGATCTGAAATTCATGAAAGAACAATAAACCCATGCTATAAATAAGAGTGAAGTTAGCAAGGAATAGCATAAACACAAGCATGGAATTAGCTCATATGGAATCAGCATGTATGACCTGAAGAACTTTCAGTTATATCTTATCTTAAGTTGAATGACTTTACCAAAACTAGGTCAACCAGAAAACAACACTAAACAAACCTAGAAAAATAAATACCAGCAATGTGATTCCCTGAATGCTGTCTAGTTATAAACTGATGTAGATGAAACTCTCTTTTAAGAAGCAAAGTCAAACAAATGCAAAGGGTAACAATTTATAGATGTCAGTCAGAAAAGCAAGCCAAGAAGTTCATTAATTGAAGATCCGTTCACATTTTTAATTAAACTCATCAAAGTGATGTTGAAAATAAGTATAACATACACTAAATGGTTATCATTCAAAGGGCTTCGTTTATTTCTCAATTCAGGAATGAAGTGAAATACACCTTGGGCCAAGTATGGAGTTGTACCTGGCCTTACTTGACCATCAACCTTGTTTTATGTCAGATATTGTCCATTGGTGTCACAAAAGACAAATGACTCCACAGTTTAGTAAAATAACAACTAAAAACCAATTTGAAGAAAAACATATATGATAGTATGAATTCTATGCAGAGATACACAGTATATATGTTTATTTTTGGCTGAAGATTGAACTTACCTTTTTCAAAAAAATATCATGAATCAATTAAGATTTGTGAAATACTGTAATAAACTTTATTCGTGGGTAAAGAGATTGGTTCCCTTCATATCTAATGGTTCAACCATAAGTTGTTTTGGAAAGAGCTGAGACAAGAATGCCTATTAAAATCTATTTTGGTGTGATCTGGCTCATCAATTTATAGATACGAGTACACAGATAAAACATAGTCGGTAAAGTACAGTACAGTGCAGATCCTTTTACATATCATTTCTTTATTACAAACTTCCAGGATCTTTGCCTCCTATCTTTGATGGCTCTTATAAATGATGTGTTCCATCATTTAGTCATTTCGGGAAGGCTATTTACATGTTTCTATTGTACATGTATTATTCTCTTTATTTATTCCTGTGGGAGTTACTTTGGGCTGGAAGATTATATGGACTTAAAACAATCCCTTACACCCCTTAAAATAAGTATCATAATTCAAAATACAATGTTTATCATAATGGCTGTTTTAATCATTTTCTGTGTTGTTATTTGAAATAGTTGTTTATTTCCATTTAGATGTCACATATTTGTCTCAAATGGACATTTTTGCTTCAGTCAACTATGATGTAGAACATATTTAGATTTAGGAACACTTTTAGAACAACAAGATAAATTTTTCTTTTGTATTTCAGTGACAACAGCAAGAAATTGCCAATAGTCGGCTCCCCCTATTGGATGTCCCCAGAGTGTCTGAATGACAAGAGATATGATGAAAGGGTAACTAACAATTGAATTATTATGTTGATATATTAAGAAGGCAAAAGCAATGTATGAAAACATGTCAGGAAAATACAGATGCAAAAGTATATTTCTGATTGGAAAATGCCATAATATTGGAAGAGACAGTACTATTGGTCAAATAAGATATTTGTCATTTTTCTCTCTGAAAATCTCTTACAAGTCACCATGAAACCAGAATTGATCAATCTCAAATCCTGATTTGTGCAATAGGACATGCTACCTAGTACATCAAGTTTAATAACTCTCTCATTCAACCGTTAATTAGAATGTTGGATGATCTACATGATGCAAATGTTAGGGCTGATTGCATATGTTGTAAGTTCATTCTAGTCTACTTGGCCGAGTTAGCCAAATGGCTCATTTGTTAAGAGTGCCAGGCCAGATACATTTGGTGATTGGTGTTGTAGTCTAAATGTGTGAGTGCATTTGGGTGGGTGGCCATGTGTCAGTGCATTTACTCATTTATAAAGAATCTCAGGTGATTGCAGTTGTTACTTGATTAATAGTGGGTACTACTTGACCTGATGTGTTTTTTACTTGTCTACTGGACCTTTAAAATACATTTAGAAAGTTACTGTGAGGAGACATGTTAACTCACACATCGTAGCCCATAAAATGTGTCATAGAATCAATTTGTTATTCCTTTGGTTAATTTTGATATATTTTATTCATGTCATGCATAAAACAGGAGTGAATAGTTTTTTTTCATTATTAATGGATGAAAATTTATGTTAAATAGTACATCTTTGCCTGGTCATCATTGTGTTATTCAAAACATCCTGTCATTTTATTTATTACTTGTTTTCACAAACTTTTTATTTATTTTTGCCCAAATTGTTTAAAATTAGAAATTGTTATCAATACTCTTGTCAAGAAAGCAATTTATTTATCAGATTGGGCTGTATGTAAACAAGAGGCTGATGGCTACTTGGGAATAGTTTCCTCATTCACTGTACGGTTGTATTTAAAATACAGTATAACATGTATATTGGATACCTCACTAATTCAAACACCTCTTAATATGAACATTATTTCTCCCATTTACTCACATGTTAAGAAACCTTGAAATGTTAGACACTGGTTTATCCAACACTTTTTGGCTGGTAAAACAGACATTTGGCAGAGCATAAATCCTACAATTGAGTCTACTTTTTACCGAGAAATGCATTACTCGTATAATTTTTACTTTCATTAAGATTTCAAAATTTTAAGTGAAACAGTGAAGTGTGGAGGTTGATTGCTACACAGGGTCATATGGTCATATCATTAGTATGGGATTTGCTCCTATGTTTCAAATTAACATACATGTCACTTCTGTAAATAAGTGCCACTTCTGTAAATAAGTACCACTTCTGTAAATGGGTGCCACTTCTGTAAATAAGTGCCACTTCTGAAAATAATTGCTGCTGTTAATGAAAAATGTCTATAACATTGATTGACTGGCAGGTGACAATCACAAATCCTGCTACAGCACTTTGCAATAATAAATGTAGCAATATTTGTTTCAAAACAGTTATTCTGAAATTCAGAATGCAAAGATTTAGTGAACTAGAATAATATAATAAAATTGTCATTTTATTAATTTACTGTATCAACTGACATTTTAAGACTCTTGTATTTGTAAGAGACTTGGCACTGGAATCAGGGCATTTGCCATTTGCATAAGTTAATCAAAGATTTATGTATTTATACCATTATACAGTCAGCTTCATTGGCTTAATTAGGAAAATTCCTTTCTCTCAAGTGGCACAAGAGTCACATCATGGTAATTGGTAAATGCAAATATTAACATTTGATCGAGAGAAAATCCCCAAAAGTTCTGGTATCTATTACACACCAGGTTTATATTGCTTCATTAAGGAGCATTTTGAAAATACTTTGTAAAGAAGGATTTGACCGTGCAGCACCTCAAAAATTCCTTCATTATGAAGTTGCTTTAATTCTATACATACGAGTACATGTATATCATTGAAATCTGTGAAAAGTCTAAATTGTGACTAGGCATAATGTCTCAACTAATTCAATTAGTCTCACAATGTTAATGAAGGTGATAGCTCATAAACATGTCTTGTAGCTACCCTGTATATCTGGACTATATCTTAACCCTAGATTCTGACTTCATGTTGTTCTCAAGCTAATTATGCCATATAGTATCTTGAATCAAAGAGGAATCAAAATGAAGTAATTATTTTTGACTATTCAAGCCAGTATTTTATACCTGGTTGTTTTATTTCTATGAATCAACCATTTTTCATTTAACTATGTTTGCATTTACACTATGTATTCTGAGTGCTCAAAAATACTTCAAAAATCATGACTGGCAGTCTCATTTTATCCAAATTCCACTCAAAATTGATTTACGCTACACTACCATTTTGACAAAATAATTTTGTTTGTTGTCTCTTCAAAAGGTTTAGAAGAAATCTTGTTTCTGAATTAGCAGCATAAGCATTTATAGAATCCTACATAATAAGTATGTTGATATTGGCATTTCAATTATTTAGATAAATTGCTGTACCTTGTAGTTTCTGACCAATATGTCATTATGATGACATTAATTAGTCAATGAAATATATACTGTCAGTTAAAATGCGTGTATATGTTATAATTTTTAAAATGTGTATATATGTTAGTGTGTAAATATCCTCTTTATTTATAATTTATGGTTCCTCAAACTAACCTGAATAACTTATTTCTTTCATAGCTTATCCTCTTTATGTTTGTTTCAGGCTGATGTATTTTCTTTTGGCATTATACTGTGTGAGATTATAGCTAGGATAGAAGCAGATCCTGATCAACTACCTAGAACCAAGGTGAGTTGCAAATGTCTCTTTGTGAACCCTGAATGGAGTGAAGCCCAAATATGTGAAGATGTGTTGCATAATGTATTAGTAAAAACATATATGAGTTGGAATTACATCGTTGATTATTATCATATAGTATCATATAATATAGGATTGATAAAATAAAATAAGAAATAAAATATTTAATATGTCTACAATGTTATGATAATTTATGGTCTACATATACGTAGACCATTCAGACAGAACGTCTACCTTTTATTAATTAGACCATCTGAATGAACGTTCAAAAGATATTTTGTATTCCTTTAAGAAAAAGAATCACCAGTCATCTTGTCTAAGTTCTGCAACCCGTAGAAATGTATAAAATCTGTATGTCTTTTTCAGAATTTCGGCCTGGATTACGTGGCATTTAGTAAAATGGTAGAAAAATCTTGTCCTCCTGTGGACTTCTTACAACTGGCCTTTAGGTGCTGTCAGGTATGTTGACTTTTACTAATGATCAAAAGAACCTAAATAAATGATGAGAGTTGCAGACATAAAATTCTTGGACACCCATTAGTCATAATACACTCTACTATACCTTTGCATTTGGTGTTCATGAGCAACCCATTTGGCTTATCAGTAATGATTATGTTATTTGTTCTTATGTGTCTGCTGCTTATGAATGGTTTATTGGATGACTATTAGATGTTAATAAGGTACTTTCAAAAATATACTAAACAATACAATTAGACAAACAGAATGTCTTATGCATTTCTAGGGGTAAGGTATAGTAGAGTGTAATAGTTATAGTGTTTTGTTAAGATATTTGTGTTTTTTGCTCAATGTGTTATGAAGAATAACAGTAAATCTGAATGGTTTGCATTCCTTAATTGCTATCACATAAGTTTAATAAAACATGAACAATGTTTTGCCAGATGTCACTGTATGAGTACTGTATGTTTCTCAGATATATTCTCACAGAGCAATTATTCCAGCTATTCAAAAAATTGCATTGTTTTGTGATATACACTCTATATTGTTTATTGGGAAAATTAAAATGTACTTTTTAGATGATTGTGTGCCAATTATAATGGTCACATCATTCTCATGCAATGTTGTTTCTAAAACACATTTTATTGTTGTTGTTTTTTTATTGTTTTTGTTTTGATTTTTGATCTTGTAAAACAGCTCCATGTGATTTATGTTGTATAAATTACAAGTACATGCATTATTCTTTGAGCAGTCAGTTTACTTGAGTAGTTTTAAAAAATTGAAAAGAATTGAACATTTTTGTTTTTAGGTGGATCCCAAGAAGAGACCATCGTTTTCAGAGGTTGTTCCACAGTTAGTGCAAGTCCAACAAAACCTGTTCAAACAACTAGTCCTAGCAGATATCTGCAACCTTAGTCTGAGTGATAATGACATGGTTATACTCAATAATAGAGGTAATGTTACACTAGTATTAGTACAATACTATGATGGGATCTCCCCATCATTAGTGTATAGCTTGCAACCAGTTAAGAAAGTAGGAAATGAGCTTTGGTTCAAATAAAAATTCATTTGTAACAAGTTCAGAATTTGAAAAATCAAGAATTGATATGTTTAAAACTGTTTTCGTTTGTCACTGTGTGGTCACCATTCTGCTCATCGCATTGAGATCCTTTGGAGAGCCCAATGAACAAGATAAAGATTTGCCTCTTATTCATATACAGATTACAGTGTAATCTCTAGAATGTATATGTGTCATTTTCAAATGGCCATTGACTGTATATTGTATGATCCACTCTCTGTGTATTCCAGTACAAGAACCAACAACTGTTGATGTGACTGCAAACACACTGGAGACATCTATACCAATACCTATACATCATATGGCATCAAGAGACGCCCCAGAGGAACAAGATATGAGCTCAACACTTGTGTCCAGTATTCCCGCAACACCTAGTCTCCTTGCTACTATCATGAGGCACGATGATCCCTTCTACACACCAACTATACCAAATCCATTCAGAACTCTCAACTCTGTGTTCCAAGAAGGACAGAAAATAATAGGTCCTCCAATTTTGACAATGTCTTTCGAGGATTTAGCGTCACCATCTATATGTAGTACTCCTCCGGGAAGTCAGAGTGATTTTTTGGCCTGGAGTGAGCAGTTGTGTGCGAGTATGAGACTTAGTAGATCTCTACCTTCATCTCCGACTCTCCTCAGGCGAACATTTGAACAATTTAGTCAGGAACAAGAGGAGTACGCCCGCAATATTGACTTTCCTTTAAAACAGCGTACAACCAGTGATACCTCAGCCATGAAAAAACTAGTGTTCGAGGACCCAGGTGATACCTCAAACATGAAAAGACTAGTGCATGAAGATTTATGCGATGGCGAGTTAAGTGATAGCTCAAGTAGTACAGACAGTGCTGTAGAGCTTGTCAGCCAGACCTCATCTTTCAAACATACTCTAGCACATCGACTTGCTCATGGACAGTGTCGCAAGTCATTTCAAATGGGTAGTGCTGGCGATAAATATCAGAACATATCAGAGAGTAAAATGAGGTATTTTGACCCATATTTTCCGGGAGAATGGTGTGTGAAGGAACATTTAACAGTAGATGATAGAGGTGACATGCCCAGGTCTTATAGTTCCTCAGAGTCTTGTATGTCATACGATGAAAGTGGTGCATTATCACCCACCAGCTCTTTATCGAGCTATGAGGATGCAGATAGTCTTCACTCCTCAAACACAGACTCACCAGAAAAACGCCCAAGATCTATGGACATGTCCCGTTTGCGATCAGAATTTATTGAAAAGCGAGCAGTATCCTTTGATCGCGGTGGGCTAGGTGCAATTGAATTGTCAAAGAATAGCAGATACAGGGCCCAGGCTATACAAGGGGCAAGTATGGAATACATGAATCGCCATAAACCAATTAATTCAGAATTATGGCCAAGCAGACAACAAATTGGCCTCATTCGCCCGTCATTTGTGCATGAGAAAGTGAAAAAGTGGGAACTGAGACAGAAAGAAAAGGAAACGAATCCAAATAAAAAGTGCAGTGTAACTGTGAAATTTAGTTTGAAGAATACAGGAGTGAAAGATACTAAGATTAAATTAGAGGAAAAGTCTTCGCAGTAGAGCTCAGAATATAAAGAGCAACAAGAATGAGATTGTTAATGAAATAAAGTGTTGTATTAGTATATACAGTTCATGTACAGCCAATCTATGCTATATCATTCAGTATGTCTAAGATGAATTACATGTACGTCTCAATTTAAATCAAGTTTAGATTTTATTCAGAGAAAATTTCTTAAATTGTTGCTTGGTGCCAGAAGGCAATACTATCAGTACATATACGGGTTAGTGGATTTTGTTCGTTGAACAAATAAGTGAATGAAGAGTATATATTTTTGTGATGATCTTATGCAATCTAATTGTAATGTTAAGGAAATTCTTATTATTTTCTTTTAATTTCAGTCACTGAAAAAGTCAATGACATCTCCTAATTAAAATCCTAATTTAGTCATAATGTTTATTTGTTTAATTTTCTGTTAGTTATATTTAAAATTTCTGAATTACTTTCAAATTATTGTTTTAAACAGAGTTAACATTTTTGATCAAAATGTTGAAAATCAAATATTATTCAGTATTTATTTACTTCAGCATAATTTGTTAATATTATTACGAAATGATAAATGAATCCATCCAATACAGCGATGCAAACAACTAGATGCAAGTTCAATATTAACATATTATAAAAATGGTGCTTAAAGGTATGATGTGTTTGGGGAGTGCTCAAATCACAATGTTATATAAAATAGAATACCATGAAGTTCAGTGTACAAAGTTGATAAGGCTGTTTTGATCAAAGCCTATTACAGCCAATGATATCAATTGATTTGTCACAAATTGTCACAAACAATATACAAAAAATATACATGTAATGAATTCAAATTTCAACGTTATCAGCACCTCACCATGGTGGCTCTTTTGTCAGGAGATCTGTTTAAGGAACAAAATGGCTGCAGGCTCATGTTATGCTCATACATGAATTTTCTCTTATCATCATTAAGCAAGATATAGTTGAAATATTCATTACAATTTTGTATTCACTAAAGCATATTCTGCTTTTAATATAAATCCAAACTTTGAAACTTTGAGAATAGCTTGTAAGATGGTAACATGGTAACATGGTAAGATGGATTTTCTTGCTTCAAGTCCCTCTCTTTTTTTGGGTTGATCATAAAGAAAATATTTCGGAAGAAGCATATCTGGGCTTGCCGCTAGGTTGTTATGGAAACAGATTTGTTGTCTGATCTTCTGATAAGAATTGCATAAATAAGTTTAAACACAGAATATTTTGAATATTAATTATTAGTTATTTTAATGTACATAAACTATAGTACTGTATATGTACAAATTGTACATTGAAGTCAAGATATCAAGGGTGCCTGTATGTTCAATATCAACAGATGTCTTTTGTTAAATGAAAAAAAACATTTCATCGCACATATCCTGCGATCAAGTTGTATCACCCCTATGAAGCCATTTTTGTAAGAAATTACAAATGCAATGCTTTATTTTAATTTACACCAGTGAACCACTATAATTGATTTATTATTTTGTTTACCATTTTCAGGTTTTCCATGGTTTCCATGTTAACCCCTTTGAAAATTTAAATGGCTTCAGGGGTGATGATAAAAAAATACAAAATTCATGACATATATTTTTGGTTGGAAAACATTCAATATTCGCCCTTATCCTGAATATAGAGGAAATCTATAAAGGATGATTTCATTTGATTTATGGCTGTTTAGGCATTAAAACTAGATACTGTCAAATTGACAGACTTTGAGTTACAAGTGCACTGTGGAGGAACTCTTCAAAATGTTACTTAAACGGATCCATTTAAGTTCCGAAAACGAACGTTGAAAACGGTTAAACATCTGCACTTTTAACCGTTCCGTTTTCGTAATAATAGTAGTGAGGAATAATTATGATCTATCTTACCGCCTTGTGAACTATTCGTTCACAAATTATTAGATTTTCATTAACACATGATGCTTACGCATATTTGTACCAAAGCGGTTGTGACGATTTTGCCTACAACTCGTGAAATTTTGAAAAAAGAAAAATTGTACCTTAGAGGTTGCGACATTTTGTTACGTAAACAGATCCGTTTCTGTAACTGGTTTGAGGAGTTCCTCCTCAGTGAAGTGATATGAATAGAAATGCAATTGCACACGATTAAACTGTGTCAACCATTACATAAACAGTTCACCGAATAAGGAAAAATATGAACAATATAACAGTGTACTAAGATCTATTTTTGTAATTTTGGATATTTAAACCCTGAAATGGGCTATATTTATATGAAAGAGACACCATTGTGGATACTCTCAATATGTAATACATGTGTATGATTCTTTAAATCTAGTCTCAAACCAAAACTGTACTCGCATTATTCTGTATATGCTTGTGTATTAACTTTGTATGTTTTGCATCATTTGTATTATTTCAGTATATTGTATGCTCCAGATTGGCAAACATATACTTATATACTGTACTTATTTATCATAGCTAGTTTAAATTCAGTTCTCATGATATTTACGATAAAGATCATAATCTTTGCTCAAATGCTTTATTACATTCTAACATTTTGACTTGGCCGTCAAAAAATTCTTTGAGAAGATTCTATTGAATGCAAATCTCCCAATTTAAAGCTTGGCATGATAAAAAAATTCCTCTCTGACATAGAAATAGCATTGATTTTGAAACAATCAAGAACAAGGAAGCAATGTTGTCGATATTGGTAATTGCCAGCAGCTCTCTGCAGCCATTTGTCTGACAATAACCTATGTTATGCTATGAAAGACATTGCCTCCTTGTACCACTATATACAAGAATTGCAACACAAAAACATGCAGATGTAAATATATGACAGAAGGGATGGGAAAAAAGTGATTTGTATTTGTTACTTCCTCAAGCCAAGTTCCATTTCCTTATGTTTTTCACCTTATTTACATTTTGTACTTTTCTTTCTTCTTTGCAGGCTGTGTAATCACAAGAACATATTGTATTACCGTATCATATTTAATTAGTCTTCATATTTCTTTAAGATTTAAATAAATTATTTGTTTTAATTGAAATAAATTCAGATTTTGTTATTCATATATATCATTCAGTGGTAAAATACACGAAAAGATGTATATGGAAAATGTATAACATCTTCCCAATTGAAATGTCACATCAGTCAAATAGTGATGCTTACTCCATTCTCAATGCATGCCTCAATCTGTGTAACATTTGAAATTCTGCCATAATAAGGCTTTTCAAAGTTTAATATATGTTTAATGCCCCCTTCTATGATTTAGGCAAATTTTCAGAAAACAAACAAAAATTCCAAGTGTCTACATACATACTTAAAATGATGTCAGGATGTAACATCCTATTTTACAAAAACTAATTATTTTAACAGTAACTTGAATAGTATTTTGGATGGAATTCATATTGAGCATGATAGCTTTTGGGCAAAATCATTTCTTATTTATGGGTTAGAACTTGGTATAGACTAGTATGGATATCTTTGACCAGGATGGATATCTTTCCTCACTGTCAATATGACATTTGTCATCAAAATAATAACATATGATTTCTCAAAATCTAGACTTATTTTCTAAAGTATCGCTTTTTATTTTATCATCAAGGATCTTGTTTTTTAGCTCACATGGTGAGCTTTTGCAATCGCTCACTTGTCCGTCTGTCTGTCTGTCCGTCCGTCCGTCCGTCCGTCCGTCCGTCCGTCCGTCCGTCTGTCTGTCTGTCCGTCAACAATAGTGGCACGTTTTAAAACCTCTGTCGATAGGATTCCTGTTTCCTGTTTTCGCGAAATTCACTTTTGACCCATTTCCTAGCTTTACAAATAATTTCAGGTGTCCTACATTGTAAAAATCTGTGTTAATGTAAAGAGTAGATATATGAAATAATTTTGTTACAAAAAATCAGCGTAAAATTATATCTATTTTTTTATTTTCAGCCATTTTAGTTAACATTGATTTGTCCATCTGACTTGTGAAATCCACTTTTCCGTCAACAACAGTGGCACGTTTTAAAACCTCTGTCGATAGGATTCCTGTTTTAAGTTATTTCTGTTCAACATCAATACAGAAAACTCCCCTATGACTCCTGGCTCAAAAGCTCGCCTATTTTCAAAATGCCCACCATTTTGTCTCGCGAAATTCACTTTTGACCTATTTCCTAGCTTTACAAATAATTTCAAGTGTCCTACATTGTAAAAATCCATGTCAATGTAAAGAGTAGATGTATGAAATAATTTTGTTATGAAAAATCAGCAAAAAATATTTTTTATTTCAGCCATTTTAGTTAACATTGATTTGTCCATCTGTCTCGCAAAATCCACTTTTGGACCATTTGCCTTAAACCCTCTGTCGATAGGATTCCTGTTTTATTTTAAGTTAATTTTGTTCAACATCAATACAAAAAACTCTCCTATGACTCTTGGTTCAAAAGCTCGCCTATTTTCAAAATGGTCACCATTCTTGTCTCGCGAAATTCACTTTTGGCCCATTTCCTAGCTTTACAAATAATTTCAGCTGTCCTGCATTGTAAAAAGCCATGTCACTGTAAAGAGTAGTTGTATGAAATAATTTGGTTACAAAAAATTGGCAAAATATTATATCAGTTTTTTTATTTTCAGCCATTTTAGTTAACATTGATTCGTCCATCTGTCTCTCAGTCAGTCAAAAAAAGTGGCAAGTTTTAAACCTCTGTCAACACTTTTTAAATCCTCTGTAGATAGGATTCCCGATTTAAAATAATTTTGTTCAACATCAATAAAGAAAAAAAACCTGTGACTCCTGCTTCAAAATCTCGCCTAATTTCAAAATGGCCACCATTTTTGTCTCGGGAAATTCACTTTTGGCCCGTTTCCTAGCTTTACAAATAAGTTCAGGTGTCCTGCATTGTAAAAAGCCATGTCTTTGTAAAGAGTAGTTGTATGAAATAATTTTGTCACAAAAAATCTGCAAAAAATTATACCCGTCTTTTTTATTTTCACTTTTGAGCAACACCATGTGAGCCCAGTACCCACAGTACTAATTTATATCACTTTATTGCCTACATTGTACAATAGATCTATAACTTCTTTAAACCCAGAATGGTGAGTCAGATTTGGAAGAAAATTAAGCTGAAAACAATGGATAGCATGAATTTGTCCTATGGGATAATTACATGGAATATACCATTTTTAACTAATACACATTTCATTGTAATCGACCTTTCAAAAGTTACAGGTAAGTGCAGAGGAAATGTTTCATAAAGTAAAAAGAGAAAATATCCTAGAAAATATATCCAACATTTTAAAAGTTGTCTAGATAGGTCCTAAACAGTTTTTTGAAAATTAGGAACAATATTTCTATTATCCCAATGACTTTGAAGATAATTTATTGTTTAATTAATGGAGATAGTCATGGTCAAAGATACTACTGTCTATCATTTGCCACACCATACATGCTTTTTTTCTGTTTGGTGATATGTGCAACTCAAAGTTTATTATGCTATGAAAGTAAGTTTCTATATCACTACTGTAAATTTATGTTACAATGCAAGGGTTCAATCATGGATACATGGGGGAGTACCTATATACCAAGTGAATCCATGCTAACCCAACTTGCAAGTATTGCAAAGGCAAACCTACAAATCTGATCATTTACCCTTTCGGACAAAATGTCTACCATTTTATTTTAGTGGCGACATAAAGACAAGGGGAGGGGGCATTTAACAATATATCAATCTTATAAACAAAAGCAACAAAAGGGAATTATTAAGCAAATAAAATATTTCAGTTTTATTGGGACCACACTCCATACAAAGTATACATGATAGAATACAACAATTGTATAAATGGTCTTGTATAAATGGTCTTTCTGCATGGTTTATTACACATGGTTTTGTTAGTGAGCATTTGTAATGATAAAATATAACATAAGCTAATTAACTTGAGGAAGTTCCCTGAACCAAAAGCTCACGCATTGTACAATAAACTGTATCGACAGGGAATTCAATAATTACTATTCCTTGGCATTAGAACCGATTATTGGTGTAGTGTCCAAAGTATATGTCTTTTTGCGACACAAAGTAATCATTTCTAAATTACCCTTTCAGGGTCTAAACGTGCATCTATCTAGGATTATTCATACATATATATATATTTTGATTATTGTAATTATATCACATTTGTAACATTATAATACTGTTCATTTTATTTTCTAATTAGTAAGTTTGTCATAATTGTAATATCAAATACTGAAACATTGCATAAACATTCCACATACTATTATTTTACAGTCAAAGTAGCACTGCTTGTAGTAAAAACTGAGCAGAATGAGCATTTCATTACTTGCCTTTTAGGGAGGGGGCTTTATATGCAGGTTTGAATCCATTCTATCAATGGCTAATGGAAAAGTGTGGCTATTAATATCATATTTAGGCCAAAAATCCAACTGAAAATATATCAGATTAGAGGCCCGGCATCTTCAGGCAGGTTTTGAGTCCTGGGAGCTTCTTAAAATGATTTTTATAGGCAAGTTTGATTTTTAGGAAATTCAAACCATACTTCACTCAGTGTCACTTTTCTGAGCTGAGAGATAACCAAGTACTAATAATACATGTTGTAAAACTTCACTTGTGTTTCAAATACTGTAAAAATGATTTTACTTGAACTTAAACTTCAACAATATAAAAACAAAACTTCAACAATTTATAGATCTATACTAAAACATAAAATATTTCACTAAAGCCTGAAAGTAACATTGATTACAAAATCATTTTTACCCGTGTCCGTAAATACTGTTTGCACCACTTTGGTAGACCTTTCCAATATATCCTGCCATTTTTTGACAGATCAAGAAAGCTAGAATACATTGGTGAAATTGATGATGTCATTGGTTGTAAACTAAATTCTAAGAAGTTTTTCAAAATAAGTGATAAGTTGATCTTATTGTTGTTGGGAACCTTGCAATCAACAAGCATCACCAAGGTAACCAATATGTCCTGGATTCTTATACACAGTAAAAGTTGCAGTTCATTAGAAAGTTCAATTATATCAAAAAGAAACATTTTAGCAGGTTGATTAATAACAAATTACACTCAAACTATCTCAGAAACTATCCCAAACGTCTATACTCATGCATGATAATTTCTAATTAATAAAAAATTGTGTTTTTAATTTGAACAAAAATTAATAACATGGTTGATTAACTTGGACAGTAAACATATTCACAATTATGGCAGTTTCAGTGTTCCACTTTGCACACAAAAGTGTATACTGGCCCATTATACCACACACAAGTCCTAATATTACACACTAGTTGATACAAGTTCATTAGTTATAAAAAAGCATTATGAAACAAGCAGTATAAAATATAAATCATTCAATATACATCTGAGCTATATAACAATAATATTATCGTACTTATACTAAAAGTCTACCAGCCAAGTACAACAGGTACCATCATGTATTTGATAACAACTAACTTATACACATAGGATCCTATTAGTGGAAAATAAATGTCCTGGCATTATTACTTTGACGCATCTTAACCACCTGTTACAATATCTTCAGTAAGAGTAAATTTCTGTCTACTTAAAGGTAGTAAATACAATGTATACCATTAGAGAAAACTATCAATTAACTTATAGATAGAGATGGCATCCAAATGTCAACTGTTGTGAAAAAATAATCAATTTTTTAATGTTATCTTTAACTCCATTGCCTCTGCTTATTACAAGTTTAAAATATGAATTAGGTTACATTTCCAATGAGGCATTAATATGTTAAATGTAACCACTTGCAATCTGATACAGACACTGACTGCCGAACATCAACCGCTGAACACCATTCACAAAAATGGAGATTAATACAATACGTCACTACTCTGGTGGTGGCATAAAATCAAGTAACAATTATCATTTACAGATTTACCCCCGTCCTCCTCCTGATAAAATTGTCATTGTTTCCTCACAACTCTTGAATTTTGGACACCCTCCCTGACAAGTAACATTGTTTCCTTAATGATATATATACCAGCTACTAAAATATCTACATGTACCTTAAACATGAATCAAATGATTCCATAATCTCTCTTGACATAATTGCTACATGTATTATAATTTTAATAACAAAAAAATAATTCAACAATAAACCAATTTATCAAAAATTCTTCATATATGGCTTAACAATATTGTTAGAACCTGAGGCTGCCCTATTAAAACAGTGCATTTACTTGAAACATCATAATCAGTCTTCAATTGGGAAGGAATCTTTTAATATGTAACTTGGATTTAGAGTCAATGTTTTTTTTTACTGAATTCTTGTATGATGTTTCCAAGTATGTGCACAGTTAATATAGAAGTTTTGAAATACTAGGAAAATGCATTCATATGGTATTGCTATAGTAATATGAATCTAATAATATGATTCATATTGATCAGTTGTAATCACTGGGGTGCAGTATACATGTACATTGTATTGTACAAAACATACACTAAAAGTTCACTTAATTCCATGACGTGATCAGTTTCTCATTTCCACACATAGTTTGTGACTTTTTCACCATGTTAAACATTTCCATAAGTTGAGTAGAATTCACTTGGTGCACTTGGAACAAATATCTGAAATTACACGTCGACCATTTGGTATTATGGAACGTGAATCGGAAACTATTCATCGGGGATATGTTGATTTTATCCACTAAAACCCCAATATAAGCATCTTCATTGGGAAATGGTGGGACAGTTTGACTAGTTTCAATGATATCATGTAGCACGTCATGTGATGTGATATACCCTGTACCACTTGCATATTTAGGGTAATAATCTGGTGCATAGTGTGACTTGGGAACATACCAACGATTATCTGTATTTCGTATCACTTGGCGTTTTTGTTTCTCACTGAATACATTTCCAACATATAGTTTTTCGGATTTCTTATTATGACTGACCAAGAACTTTGGTAAGTACATTGTGTTTATGAAACAATCGTCATCAGTTTTCAAATAATATTGAGACAGACAGGACGTGGAAGCCCAATGGAAGCCATGAAGCACCTTGTACGTTAAGTTCCTGTAAGTATCCAAATAGGCACCTTTAACAATATCACCGTAAGTTTGAATTTCACGATTGACTGCAATATTAAGATCATAATCAGGTGTTTCACCGATTAGAAATACTGTCTTATATTTATGACCGGGGCTGCCTTGGATACTAGCCCAAGTATTACGTATTGTGTTACGAATTTCCTTATTCTCTGGGGATGAAGTCACTAAAATTAGTAACAACAACTCCGCAGGACATTTTGGCTTTGGTAACCCATCACGCTGACCACCATCTATTTGACTAAAACTCCACTGTGTTACAGCTGCATCTTGGTTAATAATGCTGTCAAAGTTATATGCATGCTGACCACTGATTCTTATATGACGCCCCTCATCTCTAATGAAATCATAGTTCCCGTCAGAGAAAGTCGGCTTGTTTGTATAACTCAAAATAGCCAGAGGGACGACGCTGAATAGACAGAGTATGAATAATACAATGAGGATCTTCGACCATGATGTTCTACGTGGGTGCATAATGATGTTCCATGTGATGATAATGAAGATGACGGGACGAGGTGGGGGTCCCTTTCCGCTGAAAACTTCCCCAAAGACCCATCTAAGTGATGGGTACATGGTGGTGACATCTAGATCCCACTACTGGTTTCATTCATCCCAGCCCCACCTACAATGTAAATATATGTCAAACTTAACATTTAAAAATAATTTTACTGTTGTTTACATTGCATTGCAGAAAAAACTTTGTTTTGACTGGATATTCTGACCTCGTTGACCCAGATATTTTTTTGCAAATAAACATTGCGATTTCACATGCAAAACGAACTTGAAATTGAACGATATCTTAATAAAGTTGTACTTTGTATTGTACTTCATACAAATGAATACATGCATTTATCAAAGCATTGGAGAATATACCCCAAATTAAGCTGTAAATTAAATACGTACCTCGAGTTTTAATATTTTCCATATGTTGCAGAGAATATCTACTCCTTGCTCATTGGCCAAAAGTTTTTAAAGTTCATGACACGCCCTAAATTGTTTCTACTTTGATAACTTTTTGAAGTGTGTCAAATCATGGATTTAATGATTTCTTGTCAATATATTTTTTGTTATTTATCTATTTTCAAATTTAAGTTAATATGTAGGAGGGGTGTTCATTGGAGAATGTTCATATTATTCTTCAGCCCAAAATTTGAACTCTTGTAACTTACATCCCTACAGAGCCCATGATCTCTATGGGCATTCATTGTTGTATGAATTAGTCCAGATATCCATGACTTCTTCAGTTATAGTTCATTACATCTCAAAATATTCCATGCATGTTTTGGAAGTCCACTATTGTGAAACCATGGTAAAAGATCCTGTCAAAAATCTATTGAAACTTATACCTAGGTATGTGAGATTCACAGTAAAACAAGGCTTTAACATGCAGTGTCCTGTCATTTGTTAAGACACCGAACACGAGATGCTAACGGCAAACACCTTCACAAAAAATGGAAACCATAACAATATGGTTCCAAAAGTGCAACAATTTGTTACAGATGCTGATTACTGAACCAAACCCCAGTTCCAATAATGTTGTAACGATATGTCACCACTTCAATAAGACTGTCAAATCAAAACACCTCTGGGACTGGGAGTATTCAGATTAACAGGTGTTCACAATTCAAGGTTTTTTCAACATGTAGGTCAATGGAAGGTTTCAAGAAAAACTGTTCACACTGAGAAGTGTTCAGGTTTGAGAAGTGTTCGGATATACAGGTATAACTGTTCTTGTGATATAACTAGAAAATGGCAACTCCACGGAGTAGCAAATCCCAACGAACACTATATAAATCATCAATCTGTACAGTCACAATGTAATATTTACCATCTACTCTTACCTTCAATAAATATTTTAAATCATGTAATCATACTTTCAAGATAACTAAGTAATGGCGAATTTCTGCTCTAGTCAGCTATTTTGAATTTTCAGAGGCACAAATCAGAAAAACAATGCCATAATTGTGATCTACTCTGAAATTCCTTCAATTTGAGTATAATCACCCTTGGTATACGCAGCTAACGAAAATTGACCGGTATGGGTCAAAAGCTGGACCGGTACGGGTTAACGGTTTTATTTGAATTTAAAATAGCCATAACTTGCTCAATATTGACTTCCTCGTGTCCAATTTGAAATATATGATGCCTCCCGATGCTTTTAAGTACCCCAATTTTTTACAGATTTTTAATTTTTAATTTAATTTAATTTTTTACAGGTACTTTAAAGCATCGGGAGGCATCATATATTTCAAATTAGACACGAGGAAGTCAATATTGAGCAAGTTATGGCTGTTTTAAATTCAAATAAAACCGTTAACCCGTACCGGTCCAGCTTTTGACCCGTACCGGTCAATTTTCGTTAGCTGCGTATACCAAGGGTGATAATATAGCCATACTTTTAAGAGATCAGAAAACAATTGCGAAATCCCGCATTAGGCGGCCATTTTGAATTTTGAGGCCCGAATCAGAAAAACGTTACAATATTTGCAATCTACTCTAAATGGCCTTTCATTTGAGTATAATAAAGCTATACTTCAAAAACATCTCAAAATTAACGCAAATTCCTGTTTTCCGACTAGTATTCGAGTTATCTTCCGGACAGACGGACCGACTGACGGACAGACGGACGGATGGACGGACGGACGGCTTTACTATATCCCTACAGAACTTCGTTCGTTGGGATAATAAACCATATCATAACAGAATAACCTTTGATTTTAGATGTATTTATATTTTTTATTGCAATTTCCAACTTTAGAATGGTAAAATATAAGTGAAACATTTGTGATCTTGTAGAATGTTTGTAACACCTTTATGGCCACAAATGTTTACAAAAGAAAACAATTATATAAATGATCGAGCGATGTTCTTAGGGGTGAAACAACAACCAGATGAGTATAGTGTCAGTGGGTTGAGGGCTTCAGGTGGATCTGAATCAATGGCAGAGTTGATGCATCAAATTCAGGTTGAGTGGAACGGAGAAAAAATAAATGGAATAAAGGATCACATGAGTACGAGTATTTTACTATAGATTGTGCTGAATTTACAAGTTGCCATCAACTGAACATGTTTGCAGTGAATTATATACTTTATTGTATGTGCATTCAAATAAAAACATAAATTAAACTCAGAAAAACTTTCAGAAAATACAAATGATCAAAAGTGATGTTTTTCAAAACATTTTTTGTACTTTGTTCACAGTCCAAATTAGAGTTGTGACCAAAATCATTATTTTGCTGACACAAATCAAACTCAACCTGAAAATGATTTTTTCAACATGTCTCACCCCAAGATACCATGCCAAAATCTAGCCAAAATCTTTATGATATCCATCAATTGGAATTACATGTATAACAGCTGCTTGAGGCATTAAATTGTACCAATAAGCACTTCTATCTAATTTGGATGAGAGTGGTAGAAAACTGTCAACTCTTCCTGTTTGGATACTGTGTAGTTTGGTATATCCTTCAAAAATTGTGGGATGAATTTTCCGAGCTAAAGATGTACAGCAGTGAAATCCAGTTGCCTCTCGAGAATATCATCTATTGGTTGCAAAGTCTATGGTTGCACTGGTGTATAAAGTTGCACACATTGAAATAGTTGCACATGAGATGTCCAAGAATCTGTGAAAGGTTTTCCTTTAGATATACCAACTACAGCAACTGGTCCAATATTAATTTGTCCAGCTGGTCATAAACTATAAATGAAGGCACTGACTATAGAATGACTTTTCCTAAGTTTGTGTAACCAACTCCTACACATGTCAATAAGACTTTATCTCCACCTGTCCTTAACACATCTTCATCCTCATTGTCTAGGTCTCTATTTGCATTAGTGTCATTGTCTATCTTAAACACAACCTGGAGGAATGTCTTTAAATGACGCAGGAAATGTATCCTGGAAATAAAGATGAAATAAAATCTATTAAATATTTCATAGTGACTAATCGTATGTGAGAAACAAGAAATATGTAAATTACTTGATCCAAGCCTCTGTTTCTATTTTTCCACTTCTTAACTCCTTATTTGGCAAAACGGATGTAGGCTAGTCAATTAATAAGGAAAAGGCATATATGCCAGGTAATAGAACAAACCGTTTAAATCAAATAACTTCAAGCCCAAAATTCAAACTGCTTTCAGGCAACTTTTGAAAAAGATCTATAAATCATATCAATGAAACATGAATTTACTAGAACTGGAAGTGATATTTTAAGCCAGAATGTGAGTCGATTGTCTCATTCTAACATTGTCTGACCTATGAGTGGTAGAAGTGTTTGATACTTACGTATATTGTGATAGTGGGCCTACTTGTATTTTTGAGACATCTTGTTGACCAAGAGCCATAAATAAACAGGCAATACTCTGACTGGCTGAGTCAACACACCCACCCTGCAACACAAAAGACCAATGTACTCATATGATATACAGCATACAGAACATCCTTTGAGAACACTGTATTTAGGTGCAACAGTATGTATTTATGGAAGTACAAGCTGGCTGTTGTTTTGAAATGTTTTTTTTTCAGAATCTAAAAATATAATTGCGATTTCTATGCCTCTCCACCTTTATTATTATTATTATATCTTGGTTACCGCCATATTTGGCGAGCAATACCCCATTGGTATATTCCGTATTTTTACGTATTTTACACTCGAAGACAGAGCCAGAAACCCCTCCTTGGAGGAGCCCTGTGTTCTTTTTTGTGCACAGGTACACAGACATACAGGTACACACCACAGCCTTTTATACGAGTCGTGAACCACTCAGTCAAACACCCAGAATTACATAACGCACAAACAAACTTGTCTGAACCGGGAATCGAACCTGGGGCCAAGCGATATTGGTAACCTTGCTCTGCCACTGAGCCATAGCGGGTGGACATTATGCACCTTACAACATTGAGTTTAGAAGCAGTATTTTAGGGATAGTGGTCATTTAAGAGAAAAACATACCCTATATATTTCATCTAACAATGCTATAGCTGTATCTCTCCCCAGCTCCTCTGGAACAGTGGGCTCACTAGGTTGATCACCTGTGTGTTTAGGGTTGGAAGCACCTTCAGCAGTGTAGTACACACCATCTGTGGTCTCTGCTACAAGTGTCATACCAAACCCTGGGGACCTAGAGATACATGAGAAATGCATGTTGGTCATACAAAATTCATACAGTGCAGGATATCAAAGATATATTTGGAAGCACATGTATACCATAGATTCATATGCAAAATGCAAATATGAACAAGGCAGTAACATAACAGAACACTATCACATGAATCCATTTTGTTACAGTTGCCAGTGCCATATGCTGAACACTCGTCACCAAAATGGTGGCTTTAACAATGAAAGAAACCAAGAAGTGTGAAGTGTTTTCAAGCTATACTCACTTGCCAGACTGACTGCCTTTATAATGATCTGTGTATATGTATATATCAGGTAGGCACTTGTTGAGTACACCCCTGGCTGAATCTACCAATCTATTAGATGTGGCTGGAGACACACGCACTGCCCAGCTAAATGCAACTAAGGAAGAATATCTTAATACTACAAAGTGCAATCATGTTTTCTACTCAGTTAGCTAGTAGTGAGCCTGTAAATTGTATTTAAAGATCTTGTTTCCTGATAATACTAAGGATTTAACAAACTGTCGATATAACATGCTGCATAATGTTTGCAAATTCTTAAGGGTGCAGCATCTCTTATGATTTCATTCTGAGAGACAAATAATTCACTTACTAGATGAGGAATTTATTTCAATCTCTAATAATCACAGTAAAGACACTGTTTCATATTGATGAGATAAAACAAATTAAAGGCAATTTTGATTTTTTGGTGTATTTCAAAATCAGAACAACTCATAGTTTATATTCAACTGTTCCAAAAGGATACGCTACTCCTCTGATTCTTTTGATTTTTCCAGGAACTGTGAGCTGCAGTGGACGTAATTTTTGTTTAGTGGGACACCTAAATATCATCTCCCCTCCTCCATCTGGGGCAGCACCCCTTCTTGTCACTTTCCACTCAACACCGTCATCCGTCCCCAGAAATCTTTTTAACACAGGCAGAACTGAGTACTTCAACTGGTCTATCTAAAAGTCAGAGTAACATACTAACTGACATGCTCTTCCTTCAGGACACAACATATTACACATAGTAGATATAGAGTTGGTGTTATTATTGTCTTACTGTTATTACATGGCTTCACTTTCAAATAAACAAAAAACAAGGCAAGGTGTGTTAACACATGAGTTAAAAGGGTTCAACCCCTGTTATACTGCCATATATACTCCTCAAAAAAAGTTAAGGACCTCATAGGTTTACATGTTAACTCCCATATTTGTTTGAACGACTGTTTTCTAAGCGAGGAACAAAATAAATCCCAATAAAGTAAATAAATCTGTTTCTTGATTCTATTCCCTATGAAGTCCGCAACGTTTCAATGTTATATCTCCATTACATTCGGTCAAAATTTGATGTCAGCTTAGGGGCAACTCAGATTCTGGAATATCTATTCAGCAAAACATTTATTAAAAATACTTTCTAAGTAGAAAATTGAATGATTTTACATTTTACATGCTAAATGTCTCCTTATGTTGTTAAAAAAATTAGCGATACGGAGCGTTAAAGTAATTTTGACCACCTCACTGAACCACCTGTGTTATTTAAATAAGAGGTTCATTAAAAAATTATTGAATTTGAAACCATTAACTTTTGTAAAGCCTGGACAATTAAATCATATTTTTGTCAAGTGGACAATTTAGCAGATTTAATTATCTCTTACAATTTGAATTTTGAGAGCAATCGGATGGATAGATCATTCCTCATATGACTTATGGCAACCCAACCATTCCCCATTTGTTTAACATGGGATCTGCCATTTTTGTTAAATTTCATGAAATTCATCAATTTTGACATCAAATTTTGACCCAATATAATGGAGATATAACATTGAAACGTTGCGGACTTTTTTGAGGAGTATTATATAAACTCCCCCTCTCAAAAAGCAACTCACGACAATGATTTGGCGCAGTTACAAATGCCAAGATCCTAAGAGAATTTCAGAAATACATAAGAGACTCTAAGAGATTCTAGGAGAATCGACAGTGTATATAGTGTAAATAAACCAGTTGCTAAAAACACAAAAAAAACAAAAAAAAAAAAATCAATTTTAGAAAATCTGAAATATAAACATTAAAATGCCAGCCACAATAAGCCACATTAAAGTAACAAGTGAAAAAGTAACGCTGTGCCAGTAATTAGTGTCAAAAAACTACATAGAGACTAATCAAGCAGCATAAAAGTGCTTACTGGATAGAAAGAAAGAAAGATTTCATTTAGGAAGTTTGAAAAATGACCACCTAACTAGAGGCATGAGAATTTCCCGAGATTTTTTATTTTTTTCAATTAACCCTTTTTCAAAAGTGATGTTGCTTCCAAAGTAAGCAAATTATTAAGTGTAAAAGTGATCCTAGTGAATTATGGAGTCTTACCACCAATTAATGAACCTCTGTAAGTGGAACATATCCTATTATAAGTGGAACATTTGTGGACCTGAGGACATTCCACTTAAACATGTTTTAATGAACATACAAATGCATAATAAACTTACAGATGGATCTATCTGGTCATTGGTGACGCCTCTCAGGATGGCTTTCAATGGGGTCTTCATAAAGGGAGCCAGACACATAAGTGCCTCAAGGTAATAGCCTATAGATCTTTGTGGATTGCACTCATGTTCTATGGTCCCACCCTGTAGCATCCCTGGTTGGTAGAATAATGTCGTACCTATGGAAGTATAGAGTACAATACATATCAATGCTTTAATTTGGCTTGCATCAAGTGTTTAAGGAATATCTCCTGTATCTTTTTACTAAATATGTGATAGGGTATAGATTATATACAATGTATGAGAGGGTAACTCGGGGACCAATAATAAAGAATAATGAACCAGACAGAAAAATTTACAAAATATGAATAAACATGTACATTTATGATTAATAATCCTTATCTATCACTTTCTTGAAAGCCCATGCTCAGATCATGAGGCAAATACAATACTGATTTAATACAAACCTGTATGGCTAACATCTATCTTGGATCCATTAGTGATTTTGTCCAACAGTCGAATGAAACTTGCTTCAAATTCTGGAAGAATAAAGACAATGATTATAGTACACATAGCAATATGTGATGTGACAGTTTGAAATACCCATAACCACAACCATGGGCTTTCAACTAGTTGAAAGCCCATGCCACAACCAAATGATTGTGGACTTTGGAGACAGATGGTGGTGATGGTGGTAACACCAAAAGGTGTTATACCAAATGCCATACATGTAATACCGATGCACATTGTAAAGTTTTCCTGCGTGTAACTATCTGCGTGTAACCTTTAAGGGACAATGCAAGAGCAACTTAATTGATAGACAAATTAGTGATCAAACACATACTATATGTAATTAAAGTTTATTTGGAGTAAAATATTAGACAGTTTTTAAGTTTTGATACGTGATATTCATTAATCAGAATTGACGAAAATCCTTGGATACTTTGTTTTCTATATACATCAATTACGAAGATTTCATGTACGTAAAACAATGAAGAAATGTCTAAATAGCACCATGAGAGCCAACTGTTTCCAATCCTGGTATATTTATAAGGAAGTACAGTGGGGGACAAAAATAAAACTCAACGTTCACAAGTTGTCACAATGAGCTAATTTCCAAGTTTCGTGTCTCAAACTCTCCCAAGCAGTAGAAAAATAATTCCCATTCACTAAAGTAGCACAATAAATGAATCCAAAGCTTCATACCTGCAAATAATGGATAAATCCCTACCAAATCGAATGAATGTTTTCATGAATCGCCATGTTTGTTATCCAAGGACGGTTGACTCCCAGAATGCAACATCAGTTACCGTATTTACTCATGACAGGTTTCAAAATGGAGGAACAGCATTTTGAAAGCTGGCACGTGTCATGTTGCATTCTGGGAGCCAATCCTCCGTTCCGGCGCAATCGGTCTACAAAATCACCTCAACATTTGAAGAGTCGGCATAACATGTGAATATCCACTTGAATTTTTGAAGTTCTTATTTGTCATTAGGGACACAAATTCCACTATATTTGGACTTACTCAGACGGTGAAAATAGAGCACTGAATACACTGAGGTAAGAATTCATTACATGTGCGACAGCATGTAATTTTCATAGCTTTTGCAATTCTTTATGATCCCCACTGTAAGTTTCGGAAGGGAGGGTGACTTACTAAGGACTCAAGTCTGTGGAAATACCCATGCTTTATTTAGAAAACTACGACAATCAAATGATTGACTTCTATAGAATAGATCTAACACCAAATCCATGATCAAATCAGAGAAATTCAACAAAAAAGTAGAAACAAAAATAACAGGCCCAAATAGGCCTAACACTACAACAGAAATTACCTCGAAGTCCCGGATTATCATCTTTTGATCGAATTTTTTTGATTTTCACAGATTTACCACTGACGGTGGCTAGGATAAGGCGCATTCGAAGAAAATTGCATCCTTCAAAACTCAGCGTGGTCGATGCCATTCTTGTTTTGCGTAATCTGGTAGAGTAATTAGAGCTAACCGGAAGTAAAAATAATTCTGGGGAATATTTCTTCCTTCTTCTTTTTTTAACAAATTGCTCACAACTTACGACTTACAAAAGTATGAATCACTGTTAGGAATATAGTTGGATTATATCTCGTTCGACAGAAGCTTAGATGGGACCTAAATAAAAAGAATATCAGCAATTATCCGTCTAAATGTAAAGGTAGTATTTTTGTATGAAACTTTTTATTTTTTTATTTTACTTTTGGTTTTTAGGTACTGTAGTAAGATTGGAATTACGTTGATAACTTTGACCCTGAGAAATTTATATTATATTCACCGCATGTCAACTTACCATGTGATAGCTCCTTTCAAGGCCTACGTTACATTTTGAAACCTGGCAAACACCACATTACTGTAATGACCATAGGCCAAGGGTAAAGTAATAGTAAGCCGTATATAGAAGAGACAGGTGAACAACTAGGATTTAGGCCACTTGTTAACATGGCGATTTTAACATTATTTGTGTATAATTTTCAAAAAACAATGCAGAGTTGATCCAAAATTGATAGTTCGCAATTCTTACCTATGTATCAACCCCATTCAAGTGATATAGAGTGAATAAAGCCGTCTTGAGGCGAGATATTCTGAAAACCTACAATTGTCTGGCAAGTTACCCGGATTTCCGTGTAAATGGAAGTTTGAAACAAGGAATTTGATTGGTTCCTGATTACCGCCGCCAGTGACACCTATCTGGTTCTCTAAAATGTAATTCATATTCTAGAAATAACAATCAATTAAAGTGTACAAAACTATAAAAGGTGTACTTAATAATTATTTATCAAAACATCTGTTTCATATAATATTTTTTTAAACCCAATTTAAATGGTGAAATTAACATTTTTCTTGGAATTTTAAACTTCTAATTACAACCAATCAAATCAATCGTTACAAGATTCAATCTTTCCATGTATCCGGAAGTTTCAACTTGCCGGGCAATTGCAGGCTCGTACAGTTGGTGTTTTTTATGCAGTCTTATCGAAGAGTTAGGATATAGATTTGAAATATTCAACAATATACGTTTCGAAAACACTTTGGAGAAGATTCTTGGGAGATTTGGTGGTACGACTCGATACCAGTAAGGAGAACTCGTACCAAGACGGCAAGTTTTTGAAAATTTTTTCAATCCTAATTGTTTACCTGTCTCTTCTATATACAGCTTACTATTACTTTTCCCTTGGCCTATGGTAATGACCCTTGGGCACATCCGCAGGGGAACTGTAGTGTAACCCGAAAGGGAGTGTACTAAATTCAATGCCCAGTGCATGAATCAAACTCAGGACCTTCCGCTCGCGAGTCAGACGGGAATGTACTAAAAACCCTTCGCCCCTTCGACCCTACGACCCTTCGACTACTGGGTATCAAAAAATTTTTGCAATGGATTTGAAACGGGATTATGAAAAAACCCTTCGACCTTTGATTTTTATTTCAGTCCCGTTTTTCTAGTTAATACATGGTTACGTATAGTTCTATTCCGGGTTCCCCTGTGTTCTTGCGTAAATTGGACTCCAAATGACACGCTATTTAGCTGTTTACCTTATTTCTTTTTCCTACATAAAAATGATCAGTCCCTAAAACTTTTGATAATATCCCAGATGCGAGTAGAAATAATCTTGATTTACGTCATTAAAAATTCACAATTCAGTCAAACTGATGTCATATTTGGAATCTACATGTAAAATTACATCTAGAAATGTGGTTTTAAAAAGTGTTTATCAACTTTGAAAAATTAATTTTCTTTGAAAATGTGACTTCTAGGTCGGGGAGATTCCCCATAGAGCCCATGTTGTAAAACCACAAAAAGTGAAATATATTTTCTTGTGTTGGGCAGATAATATTTTCTTTTACTGGACATATTTGAATTTGCATAACTATTAGATACATAAAGGTAATATGAAAAGTGAACCATTAAAACTGATGCATATTCAAGTTTAAGGGAATTTTGCAATACCCTGCCATGTTAATTCCCCCGAATCAGCCACCTGGTGGCGAAACTGGTAACTGCCTACTCGCATCTGAGTAATTGCGCATGTGTATCTAATCTGGGTCACTCAGGTTAAGGTATGAGTACCGTAATCCAACACCAAATTCGAAAATTCATATCAATACTTTGCACATATGGCGTTCGTGATCAACTTTAAAACGCTTACCCCCCATAGTGTTATTTATCAAAATGTACCTGTTCATATAGGGGTTCGATTGATCTACATCAAATTATAGGGAGTCAGGTTACTTTTTGAGATATCAGCGGATGGATATGGAACCTCATACCTCAACATGGTCAAGATTGACGGGACTCGTGAACATTTTAGTAGAACAAATAACTGATTTTATCATCAGTCAGTCATCACATAAGACATGTACGGGTTAACATCGTGTTCTGCTAAGTTCATATTTCAATCTTGTTTCTTGAATATAGGCTAAGATATAGATCTACATGTAGTATTACTTCGATCCTGTAACTTCCTCCTGTAACAAGGGAAATGACAATACCCGGGAAATTCGCAGGTAGTACGGTTGTGTTTCGTTCGTGGACAAGCTGCATAGGGACCGGCTATTTTGTGGATTATGCTATCAACGGCGTCAAATCAAATCTTGTTAGAAAGTCAATCAGTTGTACAAGCACTTTAAAAATTACAAGTACGTATAATGTATTGCTTGGTACATGTAGATCTATTGGTTGTACTCTGAATAAGTACACAATCCAAAGTCGAAGGGTTTTTTATAAAAATATATCCAAAAATTTTTTGACACCCAGTAGTTGAAGGGTTGTAGGGTCGAAGGGGCGTAGGGTTTTTAGTACATTCCAGTCAGACGCTCTACCGATTTGGCCATAAAGGCTAGCCACTACAGCTCAGACTGCTGTAGCGACTTGCTATCGAAGGTCATTACACCATTCCCCCCTTGATGACAACGTCCAGTCCTAACTGATTCACAAGGGCAATCCCACTTCTGACACCTTGTAATGACCCTTGGGCACATCCGTCGGGTAGCTGTAGTGTAATGAGCCAGATACTAGACCCGAAAGGGAACTTGTGCTAAATTCAAAGTCCAGTGCGGGAATCTAACCCAGGACCTTCCGCTTGCGAGGCATACGCTCTACCGATTCACTCATAAGGACTAGCCACTACAGCCGAGACTGTAGTAACAACTTCCTATCGAAGGTCATTACAGTATAGTCTGGACTGTAATAAATCACACCCCGTGATCATACAAAATGACTGGAGGGGGAAGTAGGCGATTTCTGCAAGAAAATTCAACAAATCTGGAAGATTTATTTTTCAAGAGAAAGTTTACAACTTTATCACCAAATGAATAGGTACAGTACATGACAATATATGTTAGGTCTTCTAGCATTTTTTTGAACTTTGATTTTTTTGTATAACGCATGGAAACTAACTTTAAAAAGCGAGCAATGTAAAACAGTAAACAAAAAGTGGTGAAAAACAATGAACTAGAATTGAAACATCAGAAAGTTTTCACCTGAAATTGCCAAATGGACTGTAGAATAAGCTAGGGTTCCATGTAGATCTGCACACCTCGGGGAGTAAGTCACTGACCTCTGATCCTTACCTATATAATATAAGTTATTAAATGATTTGAAGTGCAATACAGGATATATTCTGCTTGAGAAATTCCATATTGGGACAAGACAAAGTCGAGTGCCAATACAGAATATTGAGAGCAGAATATATCCTGTATTGCACTTCAAATCATTCTATAATGTTTTTATCGTCTGATCCTCTGTATTGCTACTGAGAATGTCCCCTCCATACCAATATTTTCTATATTGTGAAGGAGATGATCAATGGGGACAATCTCAATAGCAATACAGAATGGTACAGCACAAGAACTGACCAATCAGAAGATCATACGATACTAACATATATCGATACTAACAGTTAGTATAAAGGCTATAAAAGCAGACTATGGTTCAGTGACTTACCTCTCTTGGATCTACTATAGGAAGAAATTAGATTATACATTAGATTATTCAAGTCTGAGTTAACAAGGCTGTAAGTATATTTGTTTGCCTATTAGATCTTTATCTAAAATCTGATATTCATTTTATCCTCTAATGCCACAAGAAAATAAGGGGTTTTCAATCAGTTGGTGTCATATTGTTAAGAAATGATTTTTCTTTAAAATGATATATCTATATCTATCAATATACTAATTAAAGCTCTATTTTTTGAGCAACAAAATTCGTTATTGTTAAATTATTACATGATTAATATATGGCACGGATTAAGATATTTTATATGAAGCATTCATCTTTTAACTTGGATATTGTTTTTTTGGCCCACCCTGTACATAATACCCAATAATAACATGAACTAACAAGTCCTAGAAGTATTATCTGTATCAAGCAAGACAAGATCTCTAGATGTGACACATATGTGCAGCCAAATTGAATTATATCGATTATTTCTGCCATAGACAAAATGAATCATTATTTGTTTACCAGTGAGTTTATCTCAGACTAATGTAATACTTAGTTCTCATTCTATGAGTTATGCCTGATTCATAGACCACACTTTTGTACATAGGTCAGGACATAGGCTAAGGTCGATAGAAATAATTTAGAAATTAAGATGGCATGGTAATCGATCTGTGTTTATCTATATAATATCTATGTTTATCTCTGACAAAAAAATAATACTGGATTCTGTTGGTGCTGCCATCTTTATATCAGCCCAGAACCTATGCTTTTGTACACATGTACTGAAAATAGGTTTAAATTTATGTATACACAAGCCTCGAGTTTTGTTAAGTACAGTCTTCTGATAATAAAATGACAAGAAAGTGGTTGGTAAGTTAATATAGAGCTAGTAAAGTGTGATGAAAATGACTTGCAAAAATGTTAAGACATTTAAGGCAATAAAATCATACATTTGAAATACAATTCGTGATCTTGCATTTTGTCACTTATCCTTTCAAGTGAAAAGTCAGACTGTTACACATGCTGTAAGTAATGCTGAGTATTAATAAAGATGAAATAGTAAAATTATTGCTTTGCGTTAATGTGACTTCATATCTTTAGAATAGAACAATTTAAGGCAGTATCGTCTAGAACAAGTGAACGCTGCTGACTTTCTATAAGTGATCGCTGACAAAGCCTTCACATTTCACGGTGCTGGAATCTGGGAATATTTTTGAATTAATATCATTTACCAGAGAAATAAATAATTTTAGTCTTATTGGAGCAATATTGACAATGTTCTAGAGATATGATAGGAAGTGGAAAGCATCCTGCCATCTATATGAGTAACAAGGATAATTAAAACTGATGTTTTGAAGTAATGTTATCCCCAGGCAGTAAGAAGGTGACAAGAGGTCTAAAAACAACCATATATTGCATAACTCTTAATCAGAATTTAATCCTTTATTTTGCAGACTAGTGAACAACACTATTAGAAGCAGTAATCTCTGCAACATTCGAAGCCATATAACAAGCTTATGATACTGTGAACCTACTAAGAATACAGATATCAACAGTTACAGCCATCTCTAACAATGGCATCGATAGTTGACTCAGACAATGATGGAGTTGAGTTCGCCACACCTACTACATCTGTTAACTCAAGCCCCAACCACAAGTGCAGTCTGCGTGATGATGAGATACCTAATGTACATCCGTCAAAATTTAGACAAAGGTTTGTTGGTTTTGTTATCTTATTTAGAACTGTAAAGGAAATGTCTTAGTTTTTGCCAGTACATAAAGAATTTGTATAACATGAAGAACTACATTTTGGGTTTCTAGGTATCCATTTATATTTGATTAAGTTTATGAAATTGGAATATAAATAATTTCTATAGTTTTTTGTGGGGTGTAGTTCAAATTTATGTTGGTGAAATCAAGTTGAAAGCCCATGGTGAAATCAACTGTGATTTTCACTCGCTAGCTGTATGGTGAATAGCTGTTTGGTAAATAAGTCGTTACCATTAGGTATAATATATCAGATATCTATGTATCATTCTGGCTTTTGGCGCCACAAGATAAACTCCATCAAAGATAAATCAATTTCGAATTTGCATCACTTTCACAAAAGTCAAAAGATTGACGATTTGTTGCATATAATTTTAAGCCTCACAATACAAATATAAACTAATCAATGACCCTGAAAACCAATCGGTTCAACTAGAAATAACTTTATAGAATGCATTGTATTTATACAACAGTTGTACTAAGACTTGTAAGTCTTACTCATAATCGCCATTTAAACAATTTCAACATTGTATTTCATCTATGTATGTATTGTGTTTGTAGCAAATAGCAATTACATCTTATCTCAATAAACTGGAACCACAAGCCTATTGCTTTCTTGTAATCAAATGTTATATTTACCCAAAAGGCGAACATACCCTAACAATTGGTATAGAATAGATAAGTATTTCCTTTAATCATTTAGAATTCAAGGAAACTAATTACAAAAACAATTTTATCAATCTGATAATTTTCTACTTATTTGAAATAAATATTCATTGAACATTTTTTTAACTCGATGACTTCATAATTAAAAGGATAACTAATTTCCTGTTGTGATGACTGCTGAGGCAATGTTTATATTAACAAGTATTATTGAAACAGTTTATTGGTTCAGGTACGGGTTGTGTATATTATGCTTTTAAGATCCTCGTGCACCACTCAGCCATCTTTTAATTATCAGTAGAACTATTTCTGTTTTTCTCACGTATCAACAATCTATTTACATCTACATGTAAAAGTACATCTATAAATATTGTTTCGAAAATTGTTTATCAACTTTGAAAATTTAATTATTTTTGAAAATGTGACTTCTAGTTCGATTGATTCCCCATAGACCCCATGTTACAAAATCACAAATAGTGAAGTATCTTTTCTTGTATTTGACAGATAAAATTTTCTTTTATTGTACATATTTTAATTTGCATAACTATTAGTATAGATACATAAGGGTTTATGAAAATTGAACCACTATAACAGATGTAATTTAAGTTAAAGTGAACTTTTTACTATACCCGCCATGCTATCTGACCTGAACGAGCCACCTGGTGGTGAAACTGGTAACTACCTACTCGCATCTGCGTTATTGTAAAATATAATACATATGCAATGCATAAATGAGACAATCAATTACTATTATTTTATTACCCATTATCTAGTTTGATAAAACTAATATACATTGTGTCTCAAAAAAACGCAACAAGCAAAAACATTCCAAAATCACAAAACCAGTGATACCTACACTGTTTCCATTTAGTTGACCATAAAGCCATGTGTCTCTTCTTTCCAATGATAACATTTTGACATGAAGAGATGAGCCAATATCTACTTGCAGAGAAATGATAGGCATTGAATGTAGTTTACATGAGTAATCATTCATAAGATAACAGAAAATGATAGTAACTTAACTGTTTTGATAATGCTTCTTTTTTCCATTATGTGTGAGGTGCCTTTAACTAAACTATCATGAATACTGATAAACACATTAAGTAAAATCTTTCTTTTTTTTAGTAGAACTAAGTCTGAAATGTATGTCATGCAAGGCTTGTGACCAAAAGATAATCCTCAGCCCCATACATAATGATTTACCTGATTGCATAATAAGGATCAGTTGAATTAAGATGTTTCGAACTTGGCACAAAGGCATTTTCATCCATGTGCCAAGAAACAATGATTATTCAGTGGTCTTTGATCGTATATGAAGGGGGGGGGGGGGGTGTATAGAGGGTCTTGGAAATGCATATACAATATTTTTCAGCTCTCTTATACCATATACAATATTTTTTCACCCCTTTTATACCATATACAATATTTTTCACAGCTCTTATACCATATACGATATTTTAGGTGAAATACAATATACGATAATTTTGAAACTGCTTTTGATTAAAGTTTGGAGGAAATTATATTTGGAGAGAATCCATGTACTAAAGTAAATGTATTATTATAAGGCAACTAGACTCCACATAAATACCACAATGATTTCATTTATTACATTATGAATAAGACACCATTCGGGTACATCCGCATCAGAAAAGCTGTGACCACATTTTATTTTCAGGTAAACAAGTTGATTTAAAACACATTTATGATATAAGATTCATGACTTCTCTTTAGTGATTTAACAACCTACTTTGACCAAAAAACTAGCTTTGACATTGCTGCAATTTGCTAAAGCCATTAGCCCATTACCTGTAAAAGTACCATAAAGATATTCAAAATTAGCACAAAACCTGCATCATTGGAATGGGTGGAACTCAGTGTTTCTCTTTCTTATGACCTACTTTCCCATGACTTATTTTAATGTCAATGGAATCCTTCATCGTGAGCCAGGGAAAAATATTCTTGAAACATATTTGATGCAAAATTGAGAATGTGGAATAAAAGATGCGTCATGTGTTCTATGAAAATAAAGTTTGCTGAGGAAAATATGTATCAGATAGATAATGAAGATTCACAATGCACAATAATTTTGTAAAGCAGTTACATTCGAAATAGAGACACTTCGGGGTTTCAGATAAGGCAGCCTCAAAGACAGTATAAGTTAAACAAAAGTGTGTCAAAATTAAGCAAATTTCTATGAAGGTCAATCCACATGTTTCACGAATGATTTCAATGCATTAACTCCAGGACAAGCAGTCATAGAGTTTATAAAATAATTTGGACTTTAAGACAGGGAAGGTGCAAACACCCCATCAACATGTTTTTTTCTGTAATGTTGTCCTGATTTCCAGCCCTTTCCACACCTGTTTTTCAATGTTTGTTGCATCGATCACTCTGTTGCGGTTTTTTGGTTAACGTCTTTAAATGAAAATATGATTCATGCAGGGTTTTTAAAGATATCAAATTTGGATGACCAAAATTAGGCTGAAAACAATGGATCACATGAGTTTTCCCTATGGGAAAATAACATGGGAAATACATGTACTGTTTTCCACTTTATCCCAAATAAATCATATTTTAGAGGTTAACTGTGTCTCAAAGTGCAACATGTTGGTGAACATTGAAAAAACATATGTGGAAAGGGCTGAAAATAAGGACAACATTTCAGAAAAAAACTTCCCTGTCTCAAAGTCCAAATTATTTTATTACCTCTATGAGTGCTTGATCTGGAGTTAATGCATTGGCCTAACATATGCACCTGTTCGAGTCAAATCCCCAATAAATATCCGAAATCCAACATATGACAGTTTGAAGACCAAATAAACACCTTTTGCTATATTATGCTATATTAGCATTGTGATGCTTGTATTAAAACATGTGCTGTATGAACACTTTATACTCAAATATTTTAATGATTTATCCCACATACCCCGAAACACGAGTAGCCATAGTGACCATTTTTGCATCAAAGTTAAGATGAGTCAATGATATTTGGCAGTCTCACGCCCGGTGATCTGATGAAATGAACGGAGGGGGAGTAGCTGATTTTCGGTAAATTAAACAAACGTTTATTAAAAAGGCGCAGCGTCGCCAATGTGCAAATGCCAATGATTTTGCTATAAATCAAGCAACAATGGTCTGCACAACATGTAATAAATATATAAGTGACATTTTTATCACAAAATTCATTGCCCGTTTTTAAAATAATTTTCCAAATGATTCATAAAAAATAATCGAAAATAATTAAAATTGAACGGAGGGGGAGTGAACAGAGGGGGGGGAGTAATATGAAAAAATTTCCACAAATTCGTGTACTTCAAAAATGAACTCACTTACTCAGTAACTTGATGTTACAACTCTGAAAAGTGAAAAATGGGGACATATGGAGTTATTGGAAGTTTTCATATGTCTTATAGACACAATACCCCACCCCCCTCCGTTCAATTTTAATAATTTTCGATAACTTTTTATATAACGTATGGTAACATGTTCTACAAAACCAATGAGGATAATAGTTTTGTGATAATTACTTCACTTACAAGTATTTATTACAGGTCGTGTAGACCCCTGTTGGTTGATTTGTAGCAAAAACATTGGCATTTGCACGTTGGCGACGTTGCACTTTTTTAATAGATCTTTTATTTTAGAACTCCACAGTTAAAAAAATCCAAGAAGACCTAACATATTCCCCCGTCCACTGCGTCTATTCATTTAGCCATTCAATTGTTAACTTTCTCTTGAAAAAATAAATCTTCAAGATTTGTTGAATTTTCAACCGAAAATCAGCTAGATCTACCCCCCCCTCCGATCATTTCTTCTGATCACCGGGTGTGATTCTTATTTGAGACTATATTTAACACCTCCTGTGAAAATTTGAATGAAAAGGGCACAAAACTCTTAGTATTGATTGACCTGGAATGTGGAACCAATTATAGAGACTACTTTTCCATGTTTTTCCAACACGGTTTCAGTAAGAGAGTTGGCACAATGGGGGAACTTTAGGGTACAATTTCTTCATAATTAGCCTTCTTTAATTCTAGATACCATATACCATAAATTTTCTATTTTACCATATACCATATTTTTTACACCTCTTATACCATATACGATAAATTTTGCCCCCTCTTATACAATATACAATAAATTTTCAGCCTCTTATACGATATACAATATCTCTATACACCCCCCCCTATGAACAAATGACGTATCATTTGAAAGATCTTTCTTTTCCTCTTAAGAGGAGACATGGCTTCATTGTAAATTAAATGGAATTGATGCAGTGTAGGTCTTAAGGGCTGGTCCGCTGGTCATTATCAGGTTACTTTTGATACAGACCAGTTGATTTTTTCACTAGGTATAGGAAAATAACATTGCAACTGGTCCGTAATGCCATTTTGACCAGCAGGTTTCAGATCCTTAGGGCCTAAACTGAATTGATGTAATTATCACTGGATTTGTGGTATTACAATGTTTTTGTTTGTTGCGTTTTTTTGAGATGCACTGTATAAGTTGTTTCAATATAAAACAAATTTTCATGATTGTAATAAATAGACTTGTTTTCTATCAAAAACATGTTTTCTCAAATATCCATATTGTGTTAATCAAGGCTGTATCACAAAAAAATATTTGCAGTACCTAACTATTTTTTATACCATATATAAAGAATTAATAGCCACATTGAATCCAATGAGTAAAAAACATTGGATTAACTAAAGGTTCCATGCGTAAGTACTATTACTCACAGGTTCTGACCAGGTTCTTACCTTTCTGATTTCATAGTTTAAATTCATTGTTATAAGACAGGTGTGGGGTGTCTCAAAAGTATATCAACTTATTCTGCCATTTTTAGGTCACTTGTAAAGCCTAAGAATTGCAAACTCTAATTTATTATTTGACTACATATTAAATTTTGCTGAGATAACATGACATTATTTTATCTGAAAAATGGCTACAATAGTATTAACAAAATCTCAACATTAGTCTTGATACTTTTGGAACACCCTGAATAATACTATTTATTTTCCACCAAAGATGGATTTTACAGATCAGTGATATCACAGATAAGGTAAGTTGATCATGTAGTTGAAGTACATGTAGTCAAACTTATAGGTCATTTTAAATGTCTTTTGGACCTTAAGCCAACATCTGCTGGCAATTTGAACATTGGGTTGGTCATTAAGTTTCATGTATTAACCCTTTCACTACGATAGGCTCAATATGGAGCCCTATTATGTAATAACTTTCAGGACGATAGGCTCCATATGGAGCCCTATTATGTAATACCTTTCAGGACGATAGGCTCCTTTTGACACCATTATTTTTATTTATATACATCAATGAAATGACGATATCTCCAGTTCTATTCAATATTTTTACACCATATTTTGAAGAGTTGTTCTAATGTGGCAATCCTTACTAGAAATTGTATTTCAGTGATAAAATTCAAGGTATATGTCTCCGGGCGGAGGTACTTTGCAGTTTTCCCTTCAAAACTGCTCTTACTTATCCACACAAGGGCCAACTTTTTCCTCATATATTCACGCCAGGAAAGGGTTAAGTGAAGATTAATAAGTCATTAAATAATAACAAAATGATTCATTATATTATAGTAATATGTTTCAAACTTGCTGGCATGTGGGAAATGTTATATTAATTACCCTTATCTTTCTTTTCCTTTATCAGGAGCACTACAAGGCATTCACATTGCAGAGATCTTTTACATTGGTGTTCAATGTTTTGCAATGATCAAGATGAATACCACAGACATTTGCCATCTGTATCTCTCTAGAGTTGCTTTAATAATATTTGTAATGTTTCATTAATTCATTATATGAATGATTTGTCACTAGAGATTTTTTCTTTATTTGCATCTTTCTTAAAAGAAAATTTGAAATTAAATCAAAAATGTATGGATGAAACACTAGAAATTATTTAACAAAATTCTATCGAGATATACATGGTGTGATGTCAATGGTTCTTGAATACATTGAACTGCAGTGAATTTTGTGATAGAATTTTCAACTTTTTATCAAGTATGCAAAGTTTATAGATTATAATAATCCAGTTTCAAAGTGCAGTACATGTTATAATATATAACAAGTACACATGTATTAAAACCTATGCTATTCGTGTATAGGATTCTCATTTATGGAAATAAGCTCACAAATGAAGTACATTTGATAAAAAATAATGTAATTTGAAGGCAATCACCATACAAGCAGCTTATGGCAAAACAGTAGCAGCATTTTATTATAATCACCTTAATGCATGTGATTGGTTTAATAGAATACAGAAGTATATCGTGATGTATATTTGATGCAATAATCTTATTGTGAATTTTGAATTCTGTCTATCACGCAGCATCAGCAATGAGGAGCGGTATATGCATAATCAAGGGTAAGAAAACTGAATAACGTTGAAGGGACATTGATGACGTTTTTTTCTTTAAATTAGTTTTTTTTTTTATTAAAATATTTATTTATCTTTAAATTAGTTTGACAAATTTATGTTTGTTTTGATTTCACAATTTTATTTTGCACCTGATGAAACCTTTTCAGCAACAGTCTTTGGCTCTTTAAACTGATGACTTGATTGATTTTCAAAATCAAAAATTAATTTACTCCTTTTTTATAGAAGTTTTAGCATATCGTTAGTACAGTATTTGTTATGACCAATCAATAAAAATTCACTTTTTTCAAAAGTAAGATAAAAAAGATTCAATAAACGTCATTTATAGTTTGGTGCAAATCAGGTCACCATTTTAAGATCTCTATTGTATTAGACTGAAGCTTTTCAAGTTTAGATTTGTTTATTTCGTTTTGTGTACATTATTTAGTTACAGTGCTTTGCATGTTTTTTTGTGCACGGTATTCATATGTTATTTTGGGTGTTTGAGCATGAGCATGAGCATGTCCTTGGCCTGGAATGTATTTTATTTGACTCAGTGTTTTACACTGTTTGACACAGTGTTTTACACTGTTTGCCACAGTGTTTTGCTATTCCAAAGTTTCTGTAGACTCCACATTTAAACTTAAAAGTGCAATAAACCTCAAGTTTGGCAACTTTGGTGTCAGTTTTGTTTTGATTTATATTTTTCCACTGATTTGATTCTTAATGCATGTGTAACTGTAAAGGCACATTCTAGACATAGAAGTGATCCACATCCCTAATTATTTGAATTCTAGAATTTAGAAGCTAATTAATGACAAGCTAATGCAGTTGAAGCTCTCTTTTAAGAAGTGAATTGAATGGGGTTAAAGCCTTGCTATTCCATTGGACAACATTGGGGTGGTATAGAGAATGTTCAGTGATGATACAGATCACTTGTATTTATCACAATTTTGGGAATAGAGAATGATGTTTAAAAATGCTTCATTGTTATTTTCCTTGTTATTGCTAATATAAGGATATGTTACATGTTATTTTCACCTTTATATGGGACAATTGCATGACTATGGGCAGCATGCCATAGTTAGTTGGCCAAGATACAAAACACTTGACTTTGAGACGTATAAACTTTGCAATAATTGTATTATCTTACTGAGCCTTACCTTTCCTTTATCACTAAGGACTTGTATTATAGACAGCAAATGATCCCAAAATAGTCATCTTCGTTCACTCGGCTCCTGTCGATGAACGTAGTGAAGACCGGAGCGTGCGAAGATGCAAAATAGTAGGAATTTGATATAATTCTCTTCTGCAAACATAGGTAAAAAAATGATGTCAATTTCAGTGATGGTTTAAACACATCATTTATCAATTCTCATAACTTTTATATTGCATCAGTATTATTTTTTTATAGATCATATTAAGGTTGAGAGTGTCTTTTTGCATGTTTTATGGATTATTGGCAAATCTCACCTTATGAACTGCATAAATACATGTGATTGAATTAAAACAATCCTTAAGTAAATCCCTTAAGAAGATTAGAGGTTAATTTTTAGCAAGTGAATATCATGTTTTCATAATCTTTTTATTTTGCTATGGATGTTTTAGTTTCAGCTTCCCTAGTTTTGTGTTTTTCTCTGGACATAATTTTGCAAAATGTTAATTTAGCCCAAATTTTATTCACACAATGATTTCATGATGACCTAATTGTTTTGATCCTATTCAATTATCAGATTGTATTAAGTAGGTCATATTCCCATGATATATTTGCAATTTGAAATACTTTGACCTTCTGTAATCTCATGCATGCATCACATGTTTTAAAAAAAATCTAAAAAATGTTCTTATGATGATATTTTCAAATTTTCAAATGGTTTGAAATATAACAATATCATTTGCCTATCTTTGTTGAAGCAATGTTTAGATTCACAAAGGGTGTTCTATTGCATAGCCGTAGGGACCGGGTGTTCGATAGGTTCGGACGAACCCCCGGTCAGGGTTCCCCAAAATAATATTTGTAGAAAAATTCATTGCAATAACCAGGAACATTAATTCAATTCATGTGACCAGTAAATAAAAACATAATAAAGTTACACTTCTCTCAAAAGGTTTGGCAACCTTAGGCACGGGATGGGATTGTTTAATCTTGGGAAGACACCCGGAGCATCATGACATTATGCAAAGAAATATCAATAATTTTTTAGGGTAATTTGAAGCCCCCTCCCCACATAGAAATGAATGAATATGAATCGCTCAACATTGTGATTTACACATTTCTGATACTTTCAGGAGTATCATTCAGCAATTACACGTAATAAACGTACTTAATCAATCCAGGATTCATTCATATTAGTACTCGAAGCGCTAACTATATTAGTAATCTATTTAGAATCGATTATTTCGACCAATCAAATCAAGGCTTTCTGTATCGCGTTTTCATCTGTGGTATATGGCATATTCCGCAGTTGAGTTTGCCATATTCCACAGGAGAGTATGACATATTCTGCAGTGAGTATGTAGTATTCACTGAAATCAATATATCGCATATTCACTGCAGAATATGCCATACTCACCTGCGGAATATGCAATAAAAGAACTTTTGGAGATTAATAAAGCCCTGATATTTAAAGAATTATATACAAAATGTGTATATTCACCAGAAAGACGAGAGGATTACCCTTGCACAAGTTTCAAATTGTGTGTCCAAAAAAAGATTTGACAGCATTCTTTAATAAAATAATATAATATTTCTCAAAAGCAAAGTCTATAATAATTCACAAATTCTTCTAAAATGATTTCAGTTCTCAAAACTTTCATGATTCTCATCATTAATAATAAAAGAAAACAGCGAACGTTGATAGGGGATGCAATGTTTTCAAAGTTATTAAGTTCAGATTATTTTTATTTTCAATTTAAAGAACAAATTGGTATTTTCAGCACTAGGTGTTCTTTGTTGCAAGGCATTGCAATTTAAAAGAAAGCTTTAATTTTAGAGCCTACGGAGCATAATGGATATCTTGTTACTTCAATTTGGTCTTTTTGTAATTTCAGTCGATATTCCGTTTTATTGCAATACTAATTATCATCTGTCACTTCTATCGTCAGTACCAATTTAGAGTATTTTTGTAGCCATAAAGACTTTTATTGTGCCCCATGATTAACATTCTTCAAAAATATTTGCTATTGAATATATTCTACTATTCGGTAACTAAGTGTAAGTTCATAAGATTATTATGAACACTCCTCTATAATAAAATGAAATACCTCAAAACAATCTTTTGATTTGGAATCTTTTCAAAAAATCATCTTATCTCAGTATCAAAATGTGGGAATCACATGTTTCAGAATTTGACATATCTTTGAATGAAAATTTGACATATCTTTGAACGAACTCTTAAAGTCTCAATGAATTAAGGATGAGGATTTTTCCCTAAAATAGCTCGTTATAAAAAAAAATACATGTATGTTCCTTAAATATGTGTTAGGAATTGCTTAAAGTTAGCCCAAGCTATGACTCTTGATTTGCATTTCATTAAGCAAATGTTATATTAAAATGTATGATTTTTTCTTCAGATTTCAGGAAATCTATATATTCAGTAAAAGATTCACCAAAAACTGTTTAAATATAGAAAATCAAATTGCTTAACTTTTTCAAATTCAATTGTATTTTGCGAAACAAAATGGAGGTATCGGAAATGATGTCGATTTATTTTTTCCAGCCCTAAAACAGTTATTCTTTACACTGTGTATATTATGCAAATAAGAATTCAAACATAAGGAGGCTTAAACACTCCAATGGGGGAGTTACGGTTGCCAAACTTTTGGAGGCGGTGTAAATAAAATTTTATGTATGAAAAATACAAAAATGGTTTTATGCTATGGCATTGTGTTGTCTTATTTCTCCCTAGCAACTGAGCACTTATTATCTCACATATTCTTTGGGGTTTTAATAAAGATATACAGAAACTTATTGGTTATTTAAGGTGAAATACTGAGCTATTTAACATTCCTATTCCTATTATAATGATTCAAATTACTTGAGGGTAGTATTATCCCAGCATTAAATAAAATGATAGGTCTGTGTTATGTTGTTGTAGAAGGAGCAGATCCCTCTATGGTGCAAGCCCCAACTGCTACTTTGGACCAAAAGGTCGCATTATGAAGAACTCTGCAAATACACTGTAAGTATGCAAACTGTTACTTTATTTTACTTTATGCAATTTACAAGGTGGAACTTAATATTTGATACAATTTATAAACACAAAATGAACTATTATACAAAGAAAATAAATTATAGATCATAATGTCTGACAGTTTGAGATATAAAAAAAGGAATTTAGGTCACTGTGACAACTTTTGATGAATGAAGTTTAATAAAGACTTCAAGTTTACTGAATCTTTCATTTGACACTAAAGAAAGTTCAAATGAACCAAATGGGAGCTTACAATAAATGATCAAAAATATTTTTGATATCTTAATTTTATACCACTATTAGCTGATTGGAATATTGTATTAAATGTATGTAATATTACTGCTGAATAAAAATATATATATAAAGTTTTACATGTCAAACACCATGTTACAAATATATGTAAAAATATGAAAAGCTGAAAAAAATATGAAAAGTGAAAAGCTTGCAAGTGATTATTTTCTCGCTTCAATATTTACAAAAGAAGCTTTGTAAAGTATTCAGTCAATTTTGCAAGTAACACTTCAACTTTTCATACTTTTTATTCTTAAATATGCATAGTGCCAGTTTAATACAGGAGTACAAATTGTGCAAACAACATTCCATAAGAAAACATACAGTGAAATGGAAGGTTCCTTAATTCCCATTGTTCTAATTATGGAATTAAATGCCAGAAATTTTTATTAAGATGCTATATTTATCATGAATTCTGAGATCATTACATGGCACTTTATGAATATAAAATTAATATTGAGAACAAAGTGCAGTTTTAATTGTAAATTTTCTAATCTCAATGTATTTGCACATATAACCCAATATTCTTATCATTGTGAAAGTGGAATCAACTCTCAAGTAAAGAGTGAGATGATAATTATAGATGTATGCTATACATTATTACATTGGAATGATATATAAGAAGTAAATGCTGTATATTGAGATCACATGCGGATCCAGGATTTTGCTTTAGAAGGGGTGCCAATATATCCAAAAAATTAGATTTTATTGGATTTTTGAAAAAAAATTTTTTTGAAAAATGTTAAGCCTAGATCCGCTAGTGGAGATGATTTGTGAGAAGTAAAGTGCATTGAAATGATATATAAGAAGTATTTGAGATGATATATGAGAAGTAAAATGCTGTGCAGACGCAGATGCAGACCTATGAGATGCTATGCAAAAAGTAGGATGTTGTTATGAAACATTTGTGAAGCTTCACTTTTGCAATTAAGATATATTATATACCTAAAGTATGTTATCCATGAATCTATCATAATACTGTACAATCACAAATTATACATATCATTCTTCTGGACATGTCATAATTTTGGAACAAGTATAAAATATTTTGGTGACCTTAAAATGCTAGTACATGTTCTTCTATTATTCAGTGAAGACTTTTTCTGACTGAATGCCCAAAACAGTAATGTTTTTGCCTATTCCTTGTTTATTTTAAGGTTCAGTTTTTATGTTAAATTAGAACAACTCACAATTTATCAGTAATGGACCAAGCAATAGGGGTATTTATTTTCTTTGCAGCGTTTTGTTATTCTGTAATGAATACAAGGAATGCAATAAAAATAAATAGTTAGTACATGTTCTCAAAACATAGTCAAATAACTCCTACACAAATTCAGGACAGTTCCAAGGTTGACAGGACTTAATAACTCGGCAGATCAGTCTGTGCCAAGAAATGCTTGAACTTGTAGACAAGCCTTCTGTTTATTGTCAGAACATAATTGACGCTGTATGCTAGACTGAAATTAGGCAATTATTTAATTTACATGCTTTGTGAGAATCAATTCATTTCAACAAAATGCTAGGATCAAATTTGTGAGTATTTTCTGTTTGTTATTTCATTACTGTGTGTTATGTAGTGTTTAAATTACTTAAGCTTGAGTATGCATATTATATTTGGCACTATGTTTTATGACATATCATGCATAAATGCTTGGAATTGGAGCTGAATATTTTATCTGACTTTAATGTAAAAAATTGGGAACTTAGACATTCTTGACATTCACAAATTCCAAATTTATCACAAATTTTCATGTCAGTGAGATGTATTTTTTAAGGTGAGTCAAGCAGAAGGTATAATATGGCCCGGCTGTAACATTCAGACCTTCACACGTTGTTTTCCCATACCCACCTTAAGCTATTAAATTATTTATTTCCAGCACTATTCAGGACCCAGGGAGTCAGAGACTTACCTGGTATAATGTACCCAAGACGACCCTCATCATTAAGAAGATATTTGACGACACAGTATGGCAACCATTTAAGGATATTGCCACATGGCTTGTTAAGGTATCTGCTTATATATAAGTTTTTCTGATTGCTACATGAGTTGGTTAAGGTGCCTGTATGTTTATAAAATTTCCTTACAATAGTGTAAAAACTAAACTAAGCCATCTGTCTCCTATTTGCTTGTTTATTTATTACATGTATTTATATTCACAACAGAATAAAAAGAAAACAGGTCGATGTGGTCCATTTGTTTTATGAAAGAGTTGAGTTAAGAGTAAACATTCACAAGTTTGAAATTGATTAGATGGATTTTAAGAAAAAGGTGAAAGGCTGCAAAATGATGACTTATTGCATGTCCATGTGTTTACAGGAGAAGAATATGACTGTCTATGTCGAGGAGAAAGTGATGGAAGAACCCAATGTTATTAATGACAATGAATTCAGAGCTCTGGCTAACCAACTCAGCACCTTCCAAGAAGGTTGGTGGAGTTTCACTTGTGGAGTGTTTTAGAAATGTTGTACTCATGTCACATATCATGAACCCATGTAAAATGTTGTACTCATGTCAAATGCCATGAACTCATGGAAATGTTGTACTCATGTCACATCATGTACTCATGTAAAATTTTGTACTCATATCACATCATGTACTCATATAAAATTTTGTACTCATGTCACATCATGTACTCATGTAAAATTTTGTACTCATGTAAATTTTCACTTTTGGAGTTTTGAATCCTTTACAATAGCCACATATTAATCATAATTTATCATTCCTTTTGGCTTGATATGCATTCCTAGCATTTATTCATTATTTTCTCATGTAGGCAAAGAAGATCTGACGGACAAAATAGATTTCATCATCTGTCTTGGAGGAGATGGTACCTTACTCTACGCATCTTCATTATTCCAGGTAAGTGGTCATTTACTCTGAATTATGTTGATCAAGTAAAAATCATAATCTACCTTTTAATTTGGAACTATATGTTCATGTATCATGGGCACATTGTGTGATGTTAATTAATGAGTCACTTCATAATTTCAATAATGAATGTGATTAATTAATTAATAGTTTTATTTGATGTTAATAGTTCATAAAATGATACTTCTTCAACTGTGCGGTCTTAATCTGTATTTTAAATTGATTGACATGAACATCAGTTTTGTCCTGAAAATTGAATATTTATCTTCAGTAAAGCCTGTCTAATTAGAATGCAACTGGAACTGTTTATCTGTTCAACTTACTGGTTAGGTTTGGACATGCAGGATATACTGGTAATACTGATATTCGTCACATTGTGTCTTGATTAATGTTTGAGTCGATTCAATGGGAGTTTACAAAATTGGAAGAAAACGTGTTCACATTGAGAGGTGTTCAGATTACAGAGATGTTTGATAGATGCAGTTTCACTTTAATAAATGAAATATTTAAGTGACTCATTAGACATGTTTACTATAGCAACACATTTTGTCTTCTCAATTATGGATTACATTATCAGTTGTTGACTCTCAGAGACATGATAAACAGTACCGTGAGACCTGTGTAAGTGGAATACATTTGTGGAAGTGGAACACATTTGTGGAAGTGGAACACACTGAATAGTGTTCCACTTGGGAAGTAATATCAGTAAGCCTAAGATATATTTTTCTGATTTTATTGACCACTGTACTTGTATGTTTTGTAGCAAAGTGTTCCTCCAGTGATGGCATTCCACCTTGGTTCTCTGGGGTTCCTCACCCCCCACCAGTTCACAATGTTCAGGGAACAAATCACTCAGGTTCTTGAAGGTACACTATGTCAAATATACTTACATTTGTGTAAATATCAATGTGAAACTCATTCCCAGGTTTACTATTAATTTTGTAAAAAGTTGGACCGTCATTTTGGTCAGAATTTTACAACCTATAAAATGATTCCATGCTGACGTCATTGTACTAATCATATTTAGCTTTCCTATTGTATGATATTGGTCATACATCCATGATATATTTTTTAACTTGCTTTGCAATCTGACCAACTTATGCAACTTGGCCAATTTTTCTTGAATGATATGTCGAAAAACTAATGAAACTTAAAGCAATCCTCCAAAAAATCCTTCGTGCATATCAAATATTTGGTAACTTGTGAATAAAAGAATCATCATAAATTTTCACCAAATGAGCCCACCAAAACATTTTTTCAGTTTATGATTTTGTTAATTCAGGCAATGCAGCCCTGACCTTAAGGAGCCGTCTGAAGTGTGTAGTACATAAACTAGCCATTGATGGACCAGATATGTTTGAGCGAGAGAAATCACCTGAGACTCATCACCACCATCATACAAGCAAGAAACACATTATGGTGAGAAGACAACATGATCTCCATCTTGATTATTATTATTTTCCTGTCTGATGTTCGATAGGACTTTTTTTTTTTTTTTTTTTTTTTTTTTTTTTTTTATTCTGTATTAAAAGTTGTACAAATACAATATTGTAGAAAGAAAACATACAGTAGTTGCATATGCTATAATATCGTATTTATATATAATATTAGCCTTATTTAGCATAGTAGATTTGATAACAAGAGGAAGGGAAGGGGGGGGGGGGGCAAGGGAAAAGGCAAGAGGGGGATTTTTGTGATTTTCTGCTCGATGGTTTGAGCTTGGTGAGGGGGTTTTTATGTTCCCAGTGTGTATTTTACTACGTTATGAAATGTTTGAGTTTCAACCATTGCTGTTCCATAAGTTCAGGTTTTTTTCTTCTTTGGCTGATTCTTTCTTCTATTTTTTTCTCTGTTTTTAGGAAGTTTTGCCAGCCTATCATATTAGGTCTCCTTATTTTCCTTTTACATGTGTTTAGGAATATCTTTTGTTTCAGGAATAGATGTTCGTTTTCTGTTTTTCCATCTCCGAAAAGGAATGTCTCAATTGTGGGTACATCTTCGTCAAGTTGGTTGAAAGATGTTATTAGGAAGTCTTGTACGGCCTCACAATGGTATATTCCATGTTCTAAAGTATCTATGTCACTACGGCATAGACTGCATATATCAGTGTTATAGCCGTCTATGTTCATTTGTTTTAGTTGTTTGTTATAATATAGTATCCGGAAGAATATTTTTATTTGGAAATATTTCTCTTTTGTCCTGAGAATATTTTTTCTATTTTTGTGGATTTTGGCCCACATCAAAGGATTTTGTAGTTGCAGTTTGATTTGCCACTTATCTTCCATCTTCTTTGGCAGTTTCACTGCATTGTTCTTTTTTAGTAAAATCTTGTAAACTTCTTTATTGTTTGTCTTTTTTAACCATTCTGTGTTAATTGTGACATTCGGATTCTCGGTTTCTTCTTCATTTTCTCTCGGGTGTCTTAATTTTCTTTTCCAATTTTGGGGGATGGCTGTAATTATACTGTTATATTTCAAAGTATTCCTTTGGTTCATAACAATATCATATTTATGGCCTAATTCTGCTGCTGTGAGGAATCTATTTTCGTCCTGGATGTCTTTTATAAATTCAATACCTTTTTGTATCCATACTTCGTTTTTCATGATTTCTCCATTGATTTTTATCTGTTCATTGTGCCATAATGATTGTTGCTCTGGGTTTCTCGTATCCGGAATTGTTTGATATTTTAGACTGCACCAATTTTTGTAGACTGTCTTCAGGTACCTTAAGTCTAAAACATTTATTTTGTCACTATTTTTTGAAAGGTTCAATGCCCATACTTCTCCCTGCGTCAGGTTCTTCAGGTAGTAGTTCCATATCTTCTTCCATTTGCCACTATATGTAGGGTCTATATATTTCTTTATCCATTTGATGCTTAGGTTTTTTATGTATGATTGTAAGTGGAGCATGTTTAGGCCACCTCTCTCTTGTTCGTTCATCATTATCTTTCTTCCAATTTTGTCTGGCTTCTCATCCCATATAAAGTTGAAAAACATGTTTTCTATTTCTTTGATAAAGTCATCTGTTGGTGTGAGCACTGAACATAGATATGTCAGCTGAGATACGAGGAGTGATTTTATCATTATTATTTTTCCTAGAGGTGTGATGTTTCTACTTTTCCATGCTCTAATAAGACCTTGAATTTTGTTTCTTTTCTCTGGGAAATTTAAACTGTTTATGTCTCTTCCATCTAAAGGAATGGTTATACCAAGGACTTTTATATCTTTATCTTGGTATTTTAGCCCTGATGCCATGCTTTCATCTCTTACTTGTTGCTGTAATAGTGCATTTTCTCTGCCTATCACGGCTTCTTCTGTTTTGTGGAGATTGATGTTCAGTCCTGAGATTTCTCCAAAATTTCTGAACTTTTTAATTACTTTTTTCGCAGATGCAATATTTCTTACAAAGACTGAGGTATCATCGGCGTATTGTGAAATCTTTACTTCTCCATCTGGTATTTGTATGCCTTCAATTTCTTCATCTCTTCTGATTGATTCACTCAATATTTCGGCACATAGAATAAATAAATACGGACTTAGGGGGCATCCCTGTCGTACTCCTCTGTTCAGGTTAAAGTAGCGTGATGTATACCCGTTATTTATTACTGAGCTTTTTGCATCGTTGTATATGGTTTTGATCCATTTTCTAAAGTCTGGTCCAAAATTGAAGTAATCTAGCGTCCGATCAATAAATTTCCATTCCACTGTGTCAAAAGCTTTTTCAAAGTCGATGAAAAGCATTATGCCAGATTCATTGTTTGATTTAAGGTGTTCCATACAGTCTATTATGAGTCTAATATTCTCTGATATATTTCTCCCTTTAATAAAACCTGTTTGGTCTTCGTTAATTATTTTTGTTAAATGGGCTTTCATTCTTTCTGCTAGACATCCTGTAATTATTTTGTAGTCTGTGTTTAGCAATGATATTGGTCGCCAATTTAATAGGCGTAGAATGTCACGGTCTTTTTTAGGTAGTGTGGTTATAATGCTTCTTTTTTGTTCGGTTGATAATTCTTCTTTATCCAATGCTTCCTTGTAGCTTTTTACCAGTATTGGCACAACTGGTTCTTGGAAACATCTATAAAATTCGCTTGTTAAGCCGTCGCTGCCTGGTGACTTCCCGGTCTTCAGGGACTTAATCTGTGTTGTTATTTCTTCTAAGGTAATATAGCCCTCGCAGCTCTGTTTTTCCTCTTCTGTGAGACTGGTGATTGATTTTATAGCAGGGAAGAATGTTTCTGAGTGCTGCCTAATGTTTGGGAGCCTGCTTCTGTACAGTTCTTCATAGAACCTTGCACTTTCTTTCCTTATTTCTTCAGGATCATTTAGTTCCCTGCCATCGTCTGTATTCAGTTGTGTGATGTTCTTTTTTGCAAAATTTCTTTTTTCTAACTTCAGGAAGTAACTAGATTGTTTTTCACCTTCTTCCGCCCATCTTATTTTTGCTCGAAGTATTGCGCCCTTTGCTTTTTCATCATTCATCTCTTCTATCTCTCTTTGGAGTTGTTGTTCTTCTTCTCGTAGCTGTGTTTCATGGATGTAGTTATCTCTTAGGTTTGCCTCTATTTCTTGTAGCCGTCTTATTTTGTTGGTGATATCTAGGTGTTTTCCAGCGTTTTTTTGCTTTGAGTACCTAATGGACTCTGTTTTGATTTTGAATTTTATGAGTTCCCATAAATTTTGAGCAGTCATGTCCTTGTGCTCTTCAACCAAACCTTTGATTAGGTTTTTTATCAAAGCTACATATTCTCTATCTTCTGTTAACCTTGCATTGAATTTCCACAGTCCCGGGCCACGCTCTTGAGTGCCCATCCTTAGTTGCAATTGAACAAATTGGTGGTCAGCTATTTTGTAGGATTTTGGAGTGTGAATGTCTACGTCACTGGTATTGTTGATTAGTGGAGAGGCTATAAGGAAATAATCTAATCTGGATTTTGTAGTGGTAGCGGCATTTGACCAGGTGAAATTTCTTTTAGTAGGGTTATTTACTCTCCATATGTCCACAAGATCATGTTCCTCCATTAGTTGCTTTATCTGCTGTCTTGTGTTTCTATGTGCATCCTGGTTGGTATTGCCTGTTTGGCTTTCTTTATCTTTGTTTGGCTCTAGGGGCACGTTGAAATCTCCTCCTATTATAATAGAATAATGATTACGCCCTTCTCTCAGTTTTTTTGCGATATTGTTGAAAAGATTATTGTTGTCATTGTTATGTCCATATATGTTCACTAAGGTTATTTCCTTTCCTTCTATTTTAGTATTTATTATTATGTATCTTCCATCTTCTCCGATGTCGCTGTCTTCAATTTGGATGTCTGCCTTATGAGAGAATAGTATACCAACTCCGACTGAATTTGTGGCCCTTTCTGTAAAATATGATGTCATGCCCCATTCATTTTCCCATTGTTTTGCTTGTTTCATGCCGCAGTGGGTCTCTTGTATGAGTAGAACGTCATAATTTTCGTTCCGAGCGTGTAAGAAGAGTTTTCTTCTTTTTACCTGGTCTTGCAAGCCCCTCACATTAATGGTACCTATTTTAACCACCATCGTCCTTGTATTTGTATATAGGCCCTCTTGCAATTACCCCTGCCCCCTTTTTTGTATACATAATAGCTCTAATGTCTTTTATTTGACACTTTTCTATGTTTTTAAGGCACTTAGGAAATGTTCGATAGGACTTGCTAGATCTTGGTGTAGCTGTTATTTAGTTGAATTATGATAAAGGCGTGACAGGGTTATTTCATTTTATGATTATAAAAATATAGAATTTAATTATGGAAAATTGTCAAAGATTTCTGATGGCCAGTTAACCATAGATAGCTCTGCCCTTATCCACTTCATTAAGTTGGAATATTTTGGATGATATCTTATAGGTTCTCAATGAGGTTGTAGTAGATAGAGGACCCTGCCCCTACCTCTGTAATGTTGACCTCTACATGGATGGACGTCATGTCACATCAGTACAGGGTGATGGTGAGAAATACATTGTACTTCTAATCACTTGTAATCTAAATCAGGATTTAGCAATTCAACAAAGTGGACTATTATAGAATGTGGAAAATAGTTGAAAATAGATATGTGCCCAGTTGAAATGGATTTGCACTGAGTTGAACATTATGAAAATCACATAAGATGTCTTGATTTGTTCGAAGATTCTTTTCATGGGGATTAGGCTGATTTTAAGATGACAGTAGTGGTTTATTTATTGAACATATAAATAGACAAATTACTTCTGTCATTTTATTGGTCTAAAAAGATTTTTCGTTGCAAAAAATTTAACTCGCTGAAGAAAAAACCCTTGAGACAACACTGACTCACTTGGAAAATACTACAAGAAAAATGCTACTATAAAACAAAAAGTACTTCTGCTGTTTTTCAGGTTTAATCATCTCCACACCTACTGGAAGTACCGCATATGCAGCAGCTGCAGGGGCCTCCATGATCCACCCTAATGTACCAGCCATCCTCATCTGCCCCATATGTCCACATTCCCTCTCATTCAGACCCATTGTAGTCCCTGCGGGTGTAGAGGTCAAGGTAGGTCCACATTCCCTCTCATTCAGACCCATTGTAGTCCCTGCGGGTGTAGAGGTCAAGGTAGGTCCACATTCCCTCTCATTCAGACCCATTGTAGTCCCTGCGGGTGTAGAGGTCAAGGTAGGTCTACATTCTCTCTCATTTAAACCCATTGTAGTCGCTGCAAGTGTAGAGGTCAAGGTAGGTCCACATTCCCTCTCATTTAGACCCATTGTAGTCCCTGCGGGTGTAGAGGTCAAGGTAGGTCCACATTCCCTCTCATTCAGACCCATTGTAGTCCCTGCGGGTGTAGAGGTTAAGGTAGGTCCACATTCTCTCTCATTTAGACCCATTATTGTAGTCGCTGCAAGTGTAGAGGTCAAGGTAGGTCCACATTCTCTCTCATTTAGACCAATTGTAGTCGCTGCAAGTGTAGAGGTCAAGGTAGGTCCACATTCCCTCTCATTCAGACACATTGTAGTCCCTGCAGGTGTAGAGGTTAAGGTAGGTCCACATTCTCTCTCATTTAGACCCATTGTAGTCGTTGCAAGTGTAGAGGTCAAGGTAGGTCCACATTCCCTCTCATTCAGACCCATTGTAGTCCCTGCAGGTGTAGAGGTTAAGGTAGGTCCACATTCCCTTTCATTCAGACCCATTATAGTCCCTGCGGATGTAGAGGTCAAGGTAGGTCCACATTCTCTCTCATTCAGACCCATTATAGTCCCTGCTTGTGTAGAGGTCAAGGTCGGTCCACATTCCCTTTCATTCAGGCCCATTGTAGTCCCTGCAGGTGTAGAGGTCAAGGTAGGTTCGCATTCCCTCTCATTCAGACCCATTGTAGTCCCTGCGGGTGTAGAGGTCAAGGTGGGTCCACATTCCCTCTCATTCAGACCCATTGTAATCCCTACTGGTGTAGAGGTCAAGGTAGGTACACATTCTCTCTCATTTAGACCCATTGTAGCCACTGCAAGTGTAGAGGTTAAGGTAGGTCCACATTCCCTTTCATTCAGACCCATTGTAGTCCCTGCTGATGTGGAGGTCAAGGTAGGTCCACATTCCCTCTCATCCAGATCTGCAAGCTGCAAGTGTAGAGGTCAAGGTCACATTCCCTCTTATTCAGACCTATTGTTGTCCATACGGGTGTAGAGTTTAGATATACAACTGTTTGTAGTTTAGTAGAAATTGAAAAAACAAGAGGTTCTGTCTTGGATAAATGAATATTTCATGATTTTGTCATTGTAGATTATGGTAAACCCAGATGCTAGGAACAGTGCATGGGTCTCATTTGATGGCAGAAATAGACAGGAAATCACCTCAGGGGACTGGTATGTATCAATGAACAGAAATATGTACCTCATTTACCACAAAACAATTTGATTATGTGTTATTGATAAATATTTATTAATATGAATCATTACTGCATTTTTAATTAACTGCCATGTGTTGTTACGTATTTTGATTGGCTTATTCCAGTGTGCGAATCACAACTTCAATCTACCCAGTACCATCAATATGCAGTCAGGATCAGATTCGTGATTGGTTCGATAGTTTAGCGGAATGCCTCCATTGGAATGTACGACGGCAACAGAACTCATTCAGTCGGACCTCAACTAGCACATATAGCTTGGAATCTTTAGACTTATCCAATAACGGTGACTCTGATAGTCCGACAGATAGCAATACTTTTAGTCCTGGATTTAGTACATCTAGGTAACAATAGATGGCATCTCACAACTTACAGGGTGGTAAAATGCAATTGTACAATATCGATATAACATTAATATTATTTTTTAAATAATTGGTGCAGTTTCTGTTAAATGTTAATGTTGTTTTTAACACTCTGTTATTCATACAATATGTATACATTGTAGTTGTATGTTCAGTTCACATCATTGTTAAAAGATTTTGAGTTGAGGACCCCACATGTGTGTCATTTACAGGGGTGATTTCCTAATTGTTTCATTGGAACTGTGGGCGTTATTTTATTTTACGTACTTGTACTTTTAAGAACATTGAAATATTACCTAAGCCTGGGTTACCAACAAACTGTATTCCTTTCAGGCTTGTTAGCTTGGCCAGTATTTCAAAAATCTGAATTATTGTACATCATCAAGCAAATTTTTATTTTTAAAATTTATTTCTTCACAATATTTCATCTTGATTTTTCAATTCTCGACATGGTGCAAGCCCCAAGTTTTTTTATTACTTTGGAAATGTTTATGTTACTAAGTGGCAATAAAGCTGTTGATAAAAAGTGCACATAACACTGCCGGTGTACTAATTTATTAAATATCATAATGATGTGAAATGAGTTTGGGATATCTTGGTTAGGAGGCTAAGAATATGAACCCAACTAAAAATGCTTTAATTTCTCCAAAGATGGAGAAAATGAAATATCACCTTGTACAGTAAAGAAGATGATTTTATCTTTATGTTTAGATATGGGTTAATCTTAGTCAGTCATGCAAGAAATAAGTTCACTAAGTGAATAGTATGAGGTTGATTAATTACTGATCCTGAAGACTAACGCACAAAATCAAAATTTTTTTAATATATTTATAATGCTTTTGTAACACGGTGCAGTATATAGATCGCCTTAGATACCAATTGTAAATACATTGATAGATGTCTGTTTTACAGTGTGTCCCAAAAGTAAAAATGTCTCAGCACAACAAACTTTCAGCACAATATATCAAGAACTAATTCGTATAGCAAGTTTGACAATTTAAGAGTGTGAAGTGTTTGTCATTGGCAGCCATGGCAGCTGAGTTTTGAACCCTGTTGCAGTCTTACTTTTTGTACACTCTGTATTACATAAACATCACATATTATGTAATTTGTATAAAGCAATTTATTCTGGAGAATCAGGGAAAACATAATTATATTGACATTCATAATGAATGATAGATATGTTAAATGCAAATTAAGCAGAATACTTGAAAAGTGCAAATAGATGGCACTCACTTCAGTTTTGCTTTTACAGCATGAAAAAACGTGATTGTTAGCCTTTTGTACTCCACCTTTGCTAGTGCTAATTTAATACCCATCGTGATGTGTTGTTTGAGAAGAATAAAATACTCAAGCGAAATCGGGTTTGTTATAATGTGTACTGTATAGTCCAATAAAATTTATTTGTGATTTTAGATGTAATTTTATGGAGAATGCCAAAATAATATTTTCTGTACTTTAATTTCGTCCCAAGTTTAAAACATACCCTGGGTTCACTAATGATGTTGTGGTGCCTGTATAGATAAATAATAACAAATCCAGGGAACCTTGATGACTGATGACTCTTCTTCCATTAGTCTTTACATATTAAACATATTTCTAGACTTGGTGCAAGGACTGGGACTGGCTAAATTTATACAAAAGTACAGATTATATTATTTTGCCATTTCATTTTATGTCCATGATTAATTTTTTGTAAATATTGTAATACTATGATATAATACATGAAATGTAATAATACAATAAAATTAATTTTATTGTAAATATAATACAATACAAAGTTGCTTTTTTAAGTTTTATTACAGGGCAAGTAAATGGTCTTTACACATACTGTAACATAGTCATGCCATTAGAATTTTCATTTCCTAATAATTAAGGATATACATATACTTGTATAAGTAATTCCATCTGGTGGCCCTGTCCTGTTGAGATACAATGCTCAGAAAAACCTTAGTCTCACAGATATTAAATCCTGTTACTAAAATCTCCAAACAAAACTGAAATCAATATCATCCAAAGACTTCTAATTTGTACACATGTCAATGTGAGCACTTTTTCAATCTTCCATTGAGTGAACTCATGAAATATGAACACCTGCTAACCCAAACACTTGACCGGTCCCAGTGGTGTTCGGATTAACAATTTTATTAGCCACATTGATGGGAAGTCTGCAGTGCACATTGCTCCTTAATGCATACAGATTCCCTGATAGCATGTCACCAGCAACATGTATTCAGGAATGGGAAAATGCCTATAAGTGGCCATTAATTCAGATTCATGCTATTTCAGTTAGTCATATTAGGAGTTGTTAAACAGTATCGAATGCAGATATTTAGTCCATGTGTATATTCCACTTTTACAGTGCTGGTGTACATTCCAAAACAGCATCTGTATTAGATACTTTTTCTTTCGATGTTCTCTACAGTTTACACTTGTTCCTACTAGAATCTGCACCTTTAGGTAAACAGTACTACATATCACGTCAAGAAATCAACTCCTAGGCAACTTCATGAAGCTATGATACTTGATCCATTCATGACCAGTTTATCTCATTATATAAAAATGTCTGTTGAACTGTACACTGTTGAATACTATATATACAGGTATTTGTCTCAGGTGAAATACTGTGGTTTCTTCACGTTGATTCCGTATTCCTGCAAGGCGGGCGTCAGATCTTCCATAGTAAGTGTGTACTTCTTATCCTATAATAAATAATAAAGCACATTTTAAACCTAGCATATGCATAACACTGTAGCATATCTGGAATACTAAAGAATTGGAATGGCAACTCATATCCCATTGTCCCCTGTTTCGGATAAGTGAAATATGTCACACCTGTTTCGACCATGTACTTCAGGGGCAGGGCCATTTTGGATTCTAAAACATTTCCAGAATACAGAATATTTTTTTTTTTTTTTATAAAAATATTTATTCAAAAACATAAACGCAAAATACATAAACACAAACAATACTTAAATCAATAAAACTATGCACAAACGGAAATATACATATATCCTGGATTAGAATTTATACAATAGTAAAATAGGATTTTCACAGCATTATATACTCTATCAAAATTTTGATCCTTATACAATAGTAAAAGTCCATAAAATCCATTCAATCTTAGTAAGCAGCAAAGGCATTTATAATTTTCTTAAAATCATGAGCAATATTTACTTTTCCTTGCAGTTTAAAAATGTGTTCATAAATATTTAATTTAGATGCTATTTTCGATTTAAAATTTGCTTGTTTATATTGAGTTGGATTGTCTGAGTTTTTTGTCCAAATTTCATGAATACATTTCATCAATATTGTGTAAAGCAACATTCTAAATTCTAATTTGCTGTTCATGCTTTGGTACCCCAGAAGTATATTTTTCCAAGTAATATCCACCTTTAGTGTTTCACTTAGAATATTCCATAGATTTTTAATTAACACACAATCATATAATAAATGTCTAATGTCTTGTACAACATTACACTCACTACATTCTTTTGGTACATTCATATTCCACTTATTTACCAGTTTTCCGCAGGCTAAGAAATTATGTAATAGTTTAAAATTAAATTCTGATAACTTTTGGCATTCAATATCTTTTATCTTGTTTTTGTATATATTTCTAAAAGTGATTCTATCGTTCTGAATATTGAAGGATTTTGTCCAATCTGCTTCCATCTTTGGTCTAATAAATTTATCTTTCAATAGGATTTTATAAAAGAACTGTGAACTTAATTTCTCAAGGTTTTCATATTTGTCATTTCTAAATAGGAAAGAGTTTGAATGCCTTTTGTTAGCATATTTCATACTTTGTTTACATTCATATTTTATATTGTGCAAAACAAGTCTAATTCTTAAAAATTCGGTCATCCAATTTTGCTTATTCTTTAATCTTAACAAAACAGTTTTCTCATCAATGAGATTATTTCTCTCGTCAAAAAAGTCCTTGACATAAATAAAACCTGCATTTATCCAATTTTTCATGTACAAAGTTTCTTTCCTTCATAAAAACCGTTTGTTAAGCCATAAAACTTCTGTTCCAGGATGTTTATTTTTCTCTATTTCCTTACATCTATTGTATGCACAAAAGACATGTTTGTAGAACTTATAGTGATCTAAAATCTTAACATTTTTGTCAAAATTTGTTTTGTAAAAATCGTTTATTGTAAAACCAAGCTTATTTATGATAAATTCTGGAATTATTTTAACCGATGTGTTTGTTGTTTTACAATACAGAATATGTTTATTTCTAAAATCTTACATATGGGTCAATATTTGGCTGCCATCTTTACGAAGAATAAATCATAAATATAGCATATGGGTCAATTATTTTTTATGGACTATTTACTTCCCAGAGATCTCACAATTAATGGAAATGCCCATTTTCCCTATGCCCCATACTTGTCCAATGGGAGACAGACCAAAAAACCCAGAATTTTTATAAAATACATAAACCTAACACTAATATGTTATCCACAAATTCATGCAGAAATATTCATTACTTTAATTTGAAATGAAAGATTTTCGTGGCAGCAATTTAATCCCTTTGTTCATTGGGATAACAAATATCCAAATGAGTTTCCATTCGAGCCAAGCTGATTTTATTCCAAGAGTGAACATGGTATATCTCACAATTCCAGTCTTAACACAACGGTAACTTTCTGACCAATATCAAGTCAAAGAATGGTTTAGCTAAGAGTAAAACAACACAATGAAAATGTCTCAATAGTTCACTGTATCTTGCACTTTAGAATGACTACTTACTTTTCCTTGTTTCTTTGAGCTCTGACCTGATGCCTTCATCTTGCAGTGCTGTAAAGCATCATTAGCCACATCTGAGATAAACTTTTGAGCTGCCAGTGAGATCAATCGCACACTGCAAATATTCAATATACAATGTATTTAGTAAGCTAAAAGCCTTTGTGAACCCCCTCCCTACTACACCTTCCAACAAGGTCTTGCATATTCTATAGAATAGATCTATAAACTTTTGAACTGCCAGTGAGGTCAACCGCCCACAAATATTTTAATATAGTCTGATCAATACATTAAGGTGAATGACGTCAGTAATTACAGTAAAAGCCTGAATTATTAATTATTCAGCACATTCCTTCAAACAATTTCATATCCAGTTACAGAAAAGTGCTTTTATGTACTATGTGGGGCTATATTACAAATGCATTATACTTCTTTCCTGGAGTTAAAGTATTTTTGGCAATTTGATGGCAGTGCATTAAAGCCTACCATTTGCAAATCATTTTGATTCTTGGGTTACAAGAACTTACATTCGAGGGTCTTGAGTATCAAATCCAGCATGGCTTAAGTAGTATGATGTCACAGAGTCAGGAATCTGAAATTATTGAGACATTCACTTAAAACATGGCACCATTCAGTTGGTGAAGTCAGTGACTCTGAAATGAGACCATTTTTGTAAATTACCAGCGTGGAGCCCAATGAATATGAACATTGGTTCAGACAAATTTCAAAGAGGGAATTGCAAGTGATTTGATTTTAAACAATCAATGAATCATTTGTTTTATTAAGGGTATTACAATAAATATGCCACTATTTGCATTGAATTATATATACATGTACATGCAGACTATGAACATCAAATTGTCCGAATATAAGAGAACCAATAAGACTTACTGTGGGTGTGTAGTCCTCTAGTTGCTGAGTAAAGTCACTAAGTGGTTGTCCTGCTAGCCTCTTAGGAGCAGATGCTTCTCTGTCCACTTGCTCTTCTTTTACCTTCACATCATCTTAAAACACACAAATAAAATATGAATAGATTTTGGTCACAATCAATAATCATTTATTACCAAACTGTAAAGATATGGTTGTAGTCCGTATTAAAACCATATAATATATCTTGTGATACTGTAACCCAACTTATATTTGATGCTTTTGATTAATATAAATATATTGTAAATTTTTAGTTATTCTGAAATTTAGTGGCTATTAATTTTCGTAGATTTGTGACTTCTCAAAATTCACTGAAAGAGCTAACTTCATTTTGAGCTATTTTGTGAGAATGTTCATTTTAATAATGATCTTTTAGAACCCGAAATGCAAGAATACAGCTCAGAATACAGTTACCAAACTTTTGTCACCTACCCTCCACGCGGAGTCTAGTTATAAACTACCCTCTCCTAGTTGTTAGACTATATCCTGTAGTCTGAAATCTTTTTGAAATTTTGAATGAAAATAGCTGTGTTACTTTTCATAGTGTTTAATTAAACCTTAATACTTAATTGAATTGTTATAATGTTTATTTTTGGAAAGTAAAGCTTCCTATTCACCTTTCCACAAAGTCAGCTCATGAATATTATAATGAGCTGTTTAAAAATCTGTGACGTCAATGAGAGAAACTTTTTCCCGCGAAAAACAAATGCAATTGAGTTTACATGGAAATCATCGGTTGATTGCTGTAAGTTTTACCTCTTCAAATGTGCAAGTAATCAGTAAATTATTGACAGATTTTTATTGAACGTTAAATTGACATTTATTTACGCCTTCTAACCAATTTAAATATCAAATTTCTGTTCATAATGAGTAAATAATTTGAAGAGAACTACTCCCGGTCAGTTTTCAATCATAATAGTAACTGGATGTGAACAGGTGAAAGTATCATAATCATAAGTTCACCAACATTATAACATGTCTCTCGTGCATAAAATAGATAGACAATCTATTTTAAGATAATCTTCAGTGTCATTTGATGAATGACCCGTTCAAATTAAAAACATTTGCTCTTATTCATTAAATCATTGACTTCTCTAGTTCCATAATTCAATCAACTAAACGATTACTTCTTATTTATTTCTGCATGTCATATCAGATCGTGTCTTGAGAATATTATACTTGAAAACATCGGGATATAGAATTGATATCTTGGAGGAGCGCAACATATATAGAGATTATCCTATATGAGGTTCAGGATATTGGGATTTCCCCGAGGCAAATATAATATATCTACCCGAGGGCCGCAGGTCCCGAGGGAAAATATATTATATTGGCCAAGGATAGTCCCAATATCCTGAACCGACTATAGGATAATATCTTTATCCCATACCAATCTTGGTCATCTGGTTCACATTGTTCAATCGTGGAAATATTTTAGAATATCCATTTCCAGTTTTGTTTTCTTGGCCATGGGCGGATTTTCCTGTTCTCTCAAATATTCCCACATTTATTTTCTCGAATTTTTGATTGATTAAGTTTTTTTTTTTAGTTTTTTTTTTATTATTTATTTATTTCATTGATATAGTTCAAAAATACAATTACAATAGCATCCCTAAATCGCCAGAGGGCATTATATAGGAATGGTGAGAGGCTGGGGGTGGCAGGCAGACAGGGTCCCGGGCCGGAGCAGGTGTGACAGGACAACAGGATATCAGAGAGAGAGATATGATGGAGGGAATTAGCTATTGTCTATAATGAAGTCAAGTATCAGTGAAATGGCTTTAGAGTTTACATCTATGCTTAAGTTTGGGCTTCCTGTTTTCAAAATGGAGATAAAATCGTACTGGGGAAGATTATTATTGAGAGAAGGTTCTAATTCAGCAAGTTTATCCCAGAGATCCTGTCTTACTAAGGTTAAGCGATTGCACTGGAAAAGAATATGCTTTAAGGTTTGAGAGCTGCCACAAGCACAATTAGGGCTGTCAACAGAGTTAAAATTATGGGCATAAAATTGAGCTTTTAAAAATAAGTCAGCTCTTACTTTATTCAACACTATCTCACGCCGTCTAGAAAGATTCAGTTGACTTGTGGTCAAAATTTTAGAGGGGTTTTGGAGGAAAAGCCGTTGGTGTTTTTTGAAATTATGAAGAGTTTTCTTGGTTTTAATAGAAGGGGGGAGCTCTAGCCATTTTGAGATTGCAGAAGGTATTGCTGAGGATGAGAATCTAGCAGAGCATCTTATGGGCATTTTGAATGGATCAATGTATCTCAAGTTTCTATTCCTAACATTACTATACTTATCAAAAATGTCTGTGATATATGAGGGACTTGTACCATTGGCAACTTTGAACATAAAATTATTTGATTGTATTCTACGTCTAGATTCAAGTGTTGGCCAGTTTAGGAGACTTAGGACCTTTTCTGTACTGCTCCCTTGGATGCAGCCAGAGCAATAGAGTGCCGCTGTGTAATATAGACTATCGAGTCTTCGCAAAAGAAATTTAGAAGCTGTGCCATATAAAATGGCACCATAATCAAAGTGAGGAAGAATGAATGAGTTTAAGATTGTTTCTAGGTGCTTGCTCCCAAGCTTGAATTTGAGTTTCTTTAATGGGTTTAACATTTTTCTTATTTTGACTAGTAAATCACCAATATGCTTATCATAAGATAAACATGGGTCAAAAATGAGTCCTAAATGTTTGTGCTCGGTATCTCTTTTGATTTCTATATTGTTTAGTTTTGAAGTTGACACATTATCAGTTTTTGTTCTAGGTGAGTGAAAAATCATCTCGGAACTCTTCTCCGGTTTAAAATCAAGTTTCCAAGTGTTAGACCATTCTTCTACTTTAATTAGATTGGATTTTACCACTGCTTCTATTTGTTGTGGTTGTTTTCGGTCAAAAGGATGGTGTAATGAGGTATCATCTGCATAAATGTAGCAATGACCATCCAGATTGTCTGGAAGGTCATTAATATATATTAGAAAAAGTATTGGCCCTAGTATTGAGCCCTGTGGGACACCGCAGTTTATAAAATTAGTTTCTGAGTAATTGGAGGTCTCACCAGAAATTTGAACAGCAATTTTCCTGTTGGTAAGATAAGATGTGATCATTTTAAGGATTTGACCTTGAAAACCATACGCCTTGAGTTTATGGAGGAGTAACGAGTGCGGAACCCGGTCAAAAGCGGCGGCTACGTCCAAAAATATTGTTTTGGAGGCTTGTCCTTGTTCAAAAGTAGTTTGAAGAAAATGCTCGATAGATAAAAGTTGATGAATGGTGCTATGACCAGGTAAAAATCCGGACTGATACTTAAAAAGAAGATCATTATCAAGTAAGTGTTTTCTGATTCTGTCAGCAAGAACCTTTTCAAAAACTTTGGATATGGAGCTTAGCAAGGTGATAGGTCTGTAGTTATTAACATTTGATTTATCATTTTTTTTAAAGATTGGACAAACATTGCCTATTTTCCAAATATCTGGATAAGTGCATTTAGTTAGAAGTTTATTAAATAATATGGTAAGAGGTTTTGAAATGGTATGAGCTGTAAGGTTCAACATTTTGTTTGTGATATTATCTGGCCCCCATGCTTTGGAGGTATCTAAGGAGAGAATTATTTTCATAATTTCAAATTGGTCAGTCTTAGCGGAGATGAGTAAGGAATTTGTCCTCATAGGGAATAGAGGCAAATGGTCAAAACTGGCATCTGTATGGTTTTTAGAAGCAAAATAGTTCATGAATTTGTTTGCAATATCAAGGTTATTTGAAAATGCGTGTCCAGTAATTTCATCATAAATGCTAGATATGCTGTTTTTCGTCAAATTTGTGCCTAAAAATGATTTGATGATTCTCCAATAATTTTTATCGGACTTATTTAGCTGGTCAATTGATGATAAGGTTTTTTTTCGTGATCTATTTTGGCTTGTTCAACAAGTTGGGCAACTTTAGTTGCCTGTTGGTCATATATTAATTTACTAAGTTGAGAGGGAGATTTGGAAAATTTCTTGTAAAGTGTTTTCTTCTTCGATAGTTCTTTTTTAAGTGTACTGGTGATCCATGGCTGATCATTTGACCGAACAGTTATAATTTTATTTGGAATTCTGGATTTGTATATATCCATGAGTTTATTCATAAAGTTAGAGGTAGCCAAATCTAAGTCTATATTCTCATTTAAAATATGTAACCAGTTTGTGTTCCTGATTGCGTTGTTCAGATTTTCTAAGTTGACTTCGTTGTATTTCCAAATAGTTTTTTTTATAGGTTTGGATTTGGTTACTCCAATCTTTATTTGTGCAGTGATAGTGCTGTGGTCGGTCATGCCTATAGGGTCACATATTTCAAAATGGTCAAATATATCAGGTGAGTTGGTCAAAATATGATCTATGCATGATTTGGAATGGTCAGTAATTCTAGTTGGTTCGTTAATAATTTGAACATAGTCATTAAGATCTAAGGTTTCCAAGAGTTTTGTCCCTGCAAGATTGGTATCTTGGTTGTCAAACCATATGGAATGTTTAGCGTTGAGGTCACCCATCAAAATAACATGATCAAAGGATGGTCGGTACCTTTCTATTTGTTCAAGTAAGTGTTATAATGAAGAAAAATAATTACGCGTTTCAGTGGCATTCTGGCTCGGTGATCTATAGCATGAGCCAATAAGGATTCTTTTATGGTTCACAATGATAGTCAAAAGAAGGGCATCAATCCCATTTAAATTAAGATCACCAGGTTTAAATGCCTTGGTCACTATACTGTTATGGGTATAAAGGACCAGACCCCTGCCAAGTTCACTAGAAAATGTATTGTAATCATTTAAGTCAAAGTCACCAGAATCCATCCTTATTTTTGAGATACCGGCCTCACAGAGGCCGACAACACTTGGGTTAATTTCATTTACCCTGAGTTTTAGGGATTCAAATCTTAGGCCGTTATTGGCTGTCAAGCTATTAATGTTTGAGAACAGAAATGTCAAATTATTTTGTCCTGGATTAGGATGAACATGAACATTGATTAAGGTACAGCTGGAAAGTAACATTTTGGTAAAAAATTGCTATACCAGCACATGTTATTTTCTGGTACAAAATAAAGTATGAAGACATGTGTCAATTGCCTTGCTTTTTTCAGGAAAGTATCATAACACTGTCTTCTTTAAGAATATCTAGTAGGAGTTCAATGGGAACTCCAGGGGCCCTCCAGGAAATTCTGATATTTCACAATTTCTTTTTTTCCAAATTTTCTTTCAAAGTTTCCAGACAACACAGGAGCTACCATTGACCCGTTTCCAGGTTTACTAAAAGTAAACAGTGTAATGATACTTTCCTGAAAAAAGCAAGGAAATACACACATGCCTTCATACTTAATTCTGTACCAGAAAATAACATGTGCAGGTATAGCAATTTTTTACCAAAATTTTACTTTCCAGCTGAACCTTAAGTGGATGCTCCTTCCCTTTTTTAAACCATCAAACAGATCCGGATTGTCTGTGTTTTCTCCATTGTCGTTTATAGTCGTTTAATTTTCAATTTTTTTTTCAATTTTTTTCAAAACTTTTTTTTTCAATTTTTTCAAAGTTTCAAATTTTTCAAGTATTTTTTTCAAAATATTTTTTGAAATAGTATCTGTCGGATACGATTGGATATCACGTCATATGGATCGGATACGATTTTAGTGGCCTATACGAAAATTATCTTGTGTTGATATCCCCATATAATATGTATATTTAGTATCCATCGGATAAACATGTATATATATTCCAATGTATATATTTTCCGCTGTGTATCTCCCGATCCAAATATTCCCGGGAAAATGTTTTTTATTCAGTGTAGAAACAGTCAATTTGTTAAAATATCTTGCTTAAGGAAAACTGTCAAAATAGATCCAGCAGACCGTAGATTTTTTCTTAACCAAAATGATGATGGATTTCGCGAAAATAATGAGAATGAGAACGCTTAATACAAAACAAACCTGAATATGCAGGGTGTCCTGAAAACTTCACTTGTGAAACCTCACTTCTCATAGCTAGGATAAAAAATTAGTTACGTGATGATCGGTTTTGTATAATGATCACTGGGAAGATTTTAGAGAAAGAGCGTATATCATATAATGTTTATTGATGATATGTTGACATTGCTGATCATAATTGACATTGCTGATGGCGAATAAATACCAAAAGGTAACGCTTTGCCCTAATGTCTTTCATGGTGAATTTCTGATGGAACTTCTTACTACGACATAACAACCATTTAACAGTATATTGTATGACCACTACCAGATAATTTAACCGACTTGTTTGTAATTTCCCAATTTACATTTTTGTTTACAATCGCACGAGCCCGGGTATGTGAGGCTGATCTGAGAAGTCTTAATAAACGATAGTTCTGTCAAAAAAATAATTAAACTAAGTTACATAAGATTCGGAATGAAAGTGCCCCATTCATATTTCATATTTGATTTAAAATAATTAGTGCATGGGGCAAATAGAATCCTTTTTATTGCAGTTAATTCAAAATATTCCTATGTTGGCTGTACTAATTCTTCAAAACTTTCAGTCATTGACGTCATTGATTTGACTCATTTGCATACAACCAATCAGCGCGCCAGAAATTATCGATTTTCTTTACTTTTTGGAAAGGTGAATAATTGATAATTTTTTTGCAAAAAAATTCTCTGCAATTCCCACAGGACAGAACATAAGGTTGACAGATTCACCTTTTAGTCTGTCAGATACAGACTTCTCTCCTAGTATACAGTAAAATTTTACGAAGTGTCTGGAGAACCTTAGATTCTAAGGCTCTTTAGCCAAAATGCTAAAGAGCCTTAAAATTTAAGGCTATTTAGCTGTGAACATAGTATTTTGGTACGAGCCTTTGTATTTATAATCCGTGTTTATTTTGTTTTTTATTGATGTTTTCGTAATCTAAACGAAAAAACAACAGTCTCCAAAGTTTTTCAACCCAGAATGCCACTTAAAAAGATCACACATGTATATCACCATGAAGTTTCGCAAATTTTAGCACAATCGTGAAAAGACCACTCTGGCGTAGTGGTTAGGGTGTTCGCTTTGCACTTCTGCGGCGTGGGTTCGATTCCACATTGGAACACTTTTTTTTGTTATGAAAAACAAGCCGGAAGTTTGTTTTCTAGAATTTTTGGGCTTGCTCCATCTTGATGCAATTTTCCGTGAATGCAGGGACATCAGCCCGGGGACATCACAGAATACACTTCAAAATCTATTGCCTATTAGATTTCAATGCTGTTTTTTAAGATAGTTTTGGGAGTGGTGACTTAGACCGGAAGTAAATTTATGAGTCGAGTAAAAAGTGATAATGCTCTTTTTATGAAGTGGGGAAGTCAAACCAGCACTAATAGAAGTCAAAGTAAGCTTTCGAAGATTATTTAGAAACATTTAAAATTAAATCGACGGCAAAATTGGAATTGACTGAAATCTTTATGTTTTCTTCTTCATCTTCTTCGCGGACCTCAGAGAAGACACTTCCGGTTTAATAATCAGTGATTTTATCGATCAAAAAATATTTCTTTTTGAATTTGTCCGATATCTGCTAATATGGTGTGTATATTTGTGCTGATTGTTAAATTACAAAAAAGGGTGGGTATAGAATATGCCAAAGTCGTTTGATCTTGTCCCAGAAACAATATTTCGTCATTTCTGTCGCCTGGAATTCCTTTAAGGCTCTCTAGCAGAATTGGCTATCAAAATGCTAAAGAGCCTTAAAATATTTTGGTAACCCATTTGGCTAGAGAGCCTTAAATTTTAAGGCTCTCCAGGCACGACCAAAATTTTAAATGTTTGGACTACTTTGGATTTAAAAAATAAGCAATCAAATGACTATATTGCAACAGTCTATGAAAAAATAGAAACCTATGTACAAGTCCTAACTTTTGTATATTTCAGATAGTTATGTATAATGTGCAGCAAAGCTGTGGCCTTTTGTAATTTAGGGAGTTTCAGCCATGTACATTTTTTGAAAATAACATGGCAGAGAATCATCAAAATATAAGAGGCCACAGTTATGATAGCTAAACTATGTTTCTTCCTACTGGCTTGTCATTTTCGGAAGTTATGATATGTTATATTACCGAACATGTGTGAAAATGTAATGTTTGTTCGATGCTCAGATGTTCGCATTTTATTTAGCTCTCGTAAAATGAACGAACAAACATTCCATTTTCACACATGTTCAGCAATATAATGTATCATAACTTCCGGAAATGACAAGCCAGCAAGAACATTTTTGGGAATTTTTACAGTTCGTTTACATTTCTTGTATATCTGTACTTATTGTTGATCGGACAAAAAGATAAGCTGATGTAATTACATTGGAGTTCGTTTACTACCATTTGGAAGACACGTGAGGGTCCCATTCATCAGGTAACACTCATATGTCGAAGTTAAGTTCTTGCCTTTTTTAACACGTAACAAAGGAGTAGTTCTTCAGTAGGTCTATTTCTAAATAGGCCGTATGTACACAAATATCATTTTTTGAAAATAAGCAAACCAGAGAACTGCTATTTCAAAAATTGTATTAGTGTTTACATAAAGACTGAATTGAAACTATCAAACAAATCAATGATCAACGATTTCAAAACCGATTATCACCCACCAATTCATAATTTTCCCTGAATTCAATCATTATTCCCAACTATATCGGTAGACTATGGGGAATGTTCAAATTGCGGATAAATTTTCGCTGTGATTTAGACAATAACTAGTACTATAAATGAGTAATGGAACTTACCCTCTTCTTTCATATTTACAGATTTAATCTAGCACTTTTTAGATTTGATTTTTTTCAAAAAAAATTCTAGTTTGTGGCGTGTCATGGTTATTTACAATGACACACCCCCAGAGACGTCATTCACTACCACACACATGTTGCAAGAATTTTATCTATTGCGGATATAAACAAGAATTTACAGTATTGTGGGATGGTTAGCTTGGCCACAACATCGTATATTCCAAGATCAATATATACAGAAACATTTTAGGAGTTGTGAAGAAAAACCGACCTGCTTTTGATACATAATCAGCGTATCACAACTCGTACTCAGTAAAATCACATCTCAGTTTTACTGAGTTAGATCTAAAAACCAAAACTTGGGCATATATTCAGACTATTTCTCATCATTTCACATTTCGTTTATGTAAGCTGGTCTTATTTGTGGACAGGACCTACATACTATGTGGGGAAGACAAATTCCCCTTTCATTATGGAAACTTATTGGAAGGAATACTCGTCAGCTAAGAAAGTTATCCTCGCTTCACAATCAACATCAATTATCCAAAATTGTTGTATCGGCAAGTAGCAAAGAAAAGGATGCATTGACACAAGGAGTTAATAGCAAGTTTGCCAACCATTATAGACTGGTCAGTGAGGGGGGCAGCTCTGGGCCTGAAAATGTCCCAAGTACGGAAAGTGACAGAGAGGAAAATATTGATGGCTTGAAACAAAGGTAACAGATAAGGCATTCATCCCCTCACCATTCTTTCTGCAGGCAAAGTTTAAAATTGTAATTACCAAACAGGACTTAGAACTTGTAGATTACCAGCTGAAGCTACATGTAGTGATGCCAAAGAACTCATCTCTACATGTTTTTGATCTTTTAGCAATGAACAGAATAAAATCTTCAGTAGTCACACATGTGTATTATACCATAAATCATAGAATGTTGATCTTCATCCTTAATTTCTAATTCAGATTTTATATGGTACTTCTATATTGATTGCAAATGGGACGACATAATGATATTTTACAAATGACCATGATTTAACTTTTGGGACATCCTTTTTTATATCAGTTGACCTTCCATCTAGAATTTAGGGAGATGAGGTCACATTTACAAGTGAATAATAATTATGAATCAATATACAATTAACTGTATTATTAGTTATCTATGTATCGTTTAGATTTGAATATTTACTTATAGAAGGTCAATTGCACTTGTATGTCAAGGTCATTAGGTGTAATATCTAATAATTCACATTTTGTAATAATCAATCATATTCATGCAAAAGGTTTTTATAGGGTTTAATGCAGACAACACTATCTATCCCATTATAGTGTACCCCGCTGCCTGAAAGGACTGATTATTTCAAATGGGTAACCTACTTATAATACACAATAGTAGAAAACTTTACTTTTTTCTTTTAGGAGTTATGTATCAACCATACGAAGTGCAGAAGAGCACTTATTTGATATGCTGTGTGACAATAGTGGAAAAATATCTATTAATCGATTCTTAATGGTAAGTCACATATACTGTCATCTTACTATAAAGTGTGGTAATTACCTGCTTGTCTGTCTGATGGTACAGACTCTAATATAGGTGGTCAAGGTAATAGTGAAGCTCAAGGTCATTTGAAAAATCATTGAGAAGTTCATAGTAGGTCAAGGTCATTATAAAGACCAAGGTCTTATGTATATATTTATTTGCATCTTATTAAGACACCTCTACATAACATTGTATATATAATATTAATAAATAGTTTAGAATCAATTTCAATGTGTAGGTTCTTATTTTTGTGTTATATCTGATATGTTGGGAAACAACTGAACCCAGGAACTAGTTTTCTGATAGACATATATTTTTGTCGCAAACTAAGATGAAATAATTTGTGGAATGATCATTTTATTGGTGTGATGGTGAATAATTTTATTTACACTTTTACTTCATAAGGAATACATGATCTAATGTATTACTGACCATCCCAAATATTGATAGAGATAGGCTTACAGAATATTACTTCTGGTATATTATTACATACTTAGGCTAAGACCCAATCACTCTTATCCAAATCAATATATTCTAATCTGGTTTTCCATTAACTTATTATATTGTAAAGCTTGTTCATTTTGCTGTTTTTCCTTTTTGGTATTTTGGAAAATAAGCAAAAATGTCAATATACTGGAATAATGAATATCCAAATATTTCATGCATTTGAATCTTTACTAATGATACTGTCGAATTGAAAGCAAATAGCACAAAACTATGGATGAATGACATTTTATTGGGCATCTCTTAAGTGGGCTAGAGAATAGTACAGTAATTGCTTATCAATATATGGCTTGTATGAAATACTTAATTCTACCAGTTTATTTCAGTCATTTGAATTATAATGACACATGAGTCTTGCTTCAAGTCTCTAGATTCTCCCCCTCCATTATCAAATTCACCACAAGCTGGAGGTGTCGTCACTGTCGTGGTGTGTGGGGGGGGAGGTGTCACAAGGGTTTGAATTAGAGGTTAAGCAGTGCAGCAGTTTTAACATTTATGGTGCATTTGCTCAATCATCTCTCTTATATACCTTACCTGCTTGGATTAGATTTCAATCATGAAAACTTCATACAACATCATATGTGTGGCATTTTTTGTTTCACCCTGTACATTGGAAATCTAAGATGACCTATTATAACATAAGAAAACCTATCGGAATGTGTTTAAGAATAGACATATATAAACATAGCCTAGTTAGTTAATCTTCCAAGCTCTTGTTTCATTGGAGAACCTACCAAGAGAAGAATGTGATATCAAACTGAGATCTTCCAGAGATCAACTGAGAAGAAATTTACTGTAATCCATCAGATTTCTTTATCTAGATTTCCTCTAAGATTTCTGATATTAATTGTTGATTTTCACTTTGGAATCCACAGCCTTTGCTATCCCTTTGACATGTTTGAAGCATAAGACAAAGAAAGATTCTGATAAATCAGATTGGTAGTAATTCAAGAATGAAGTACTTATCTGTTTGGGTACTTTAATATGGACATAATTAACAGCTCAAAGCTTAATGCAGTATTGATTCATATGGTAATATGATATCATTGACATAATAAGTGGTTTCTTTCCAAGACTGAAGAGAACCTTGTGTTGTTCCTGGGCTCTTGAACACGATTTGAGTCTCTTTAAAAACAATGTTGATGTGTTTTCTGCAAAAATGTATTTATGATAACAATTGTTTCTAAAATTACTTTCATTAGGAAAATTGTCTCAATCAATAGGGTTCAGCAACATCCCGCCTCAAATATCCATAGGCAGGAATTATATCTTATCAATCATATTTCTTGTTCAGGAACAAGTTGAGTTTTAAAATAAAAAATCCTGCTTTTTATGAAAAATTGGAGGTTTTCCATATAAAAGTAAATGAAATGGACCAGAAGAATCTTATTAAAGAACTTTTTCTTTTCATTTTTAAGTCTAAAATATATTGTTACATGTTTTAAAATACAATACTTCTAGACAGCATATTTGCATATTTTTTCTCGAACCAAATCTAAAAATATATTTTCCTTCAATAAGAAGAGTGTATTTCGTTAACAATACATTGAATTTACATATAAGATTGTGTAAACCGTTCATTCAAGTTTGGTTGAAAGGGCTGATTATTTGATATTGAATCCAGTCTGACATCAATTCAGTGACATGTGCAGATGTTAACAGGCAGCAATGTCAGGTTCACAGTAACCGCATGATACTGGATGTAAGGAAGGAACTGTATTATCCAATAAGCTTGCTGAATTTTATGGGTTGGTGTATAAATCACCAATCAAATCCTTGTATTTATGGGTGTGCTAAATTGGGAGATTTTCAGGTGGTTCACCTGTACCTTGATATATGTTTGGCTTATGATTATCCCAATTTCAACAAATCAATGTAAAAGGCTTATAATGTTAATGTCATTCTAAATATGAATTAGAGAGGATTATTTACAGAAGGTTCAGAATTTTAGATGTACAAATGTATCCCTGTATAAATATAATAAGTTTTTTAATAAATATTTTTGGAATACCTCCCCCTCCAAGTCTGCATCTTCAAAAATAAATGATATGTGTATAATGTCACCCAGTGTGCCAGAGCTGGGTGTATTCAATGTAGGGAACCAATGAAGCAGCATTGAAGCTCTATAATAAACAAAAAATTATTGGAAATGGTCATATAATATATACATGTTATGATATTGTTGGATAATTCCCAACTGAGGATTGTCTAATAAGTGGATTTGTCAATGCCTTATGTTAAAATTGCTGCACTGCTCAACCTCTAATTCAAAACAAGTTACATGTATACTTTATTACATAATTTAAGAAATTAAAGAAATGTTTTTGATACATATTGGTCAAATGGGGTCACACATACTGATGATGAATATTAACAAGTAAGAGATCAACACAAGTGAATCTTACAGCTTAGTTCTGGTTTAACCAAAGTACATTGTATTCAATGAATATGCAAAGTTTTTTGTGTGAATTGTCCAAAGCACAGTGGCGCAATGGATATCACATTGGCTTCAGCGTTTGTGCCATCATGGTTCAATTATTAGAAAGTAAAAGCTTGTATTCCACTCATTTTTAATTTTTAGTGTTTTTGTTGAGCTCCTAGATGTTGTATCTTCACATAAATCAATAAATGAGCTAAACTACATGGAAATCTATTGTAACCACTTATGTAAATCAATTTCCAGAATAGTCTTACATGTATATGTAGCAATGTTAAAAATATGAAGTGAATTGAAGGATTCCCAGCATGCTTTAAAAGGACAGGTTCTTTAATTTTGATCTGAAACATGCACCATCAACAAACTTTGATACAAATCTTCTTTGAAAAGTTTGAAGTTTGAAATAAAATGGTTACCAGCTCAAGTCTTAAGTAAAAAACTGAAAGCAAACTAAATTTCGTTTTTATGCTATATTTGGCAGGCTCTCTATGCCACAGGATTGCGGCCCAGTGACCCTAGGTTGGCAGAGGTAATGAGGAATTTCTCCAATGTTCAACACAGCTTTGCTCTGACTGATAACTCAGATCCTTTACTGTTGGACATTGAAACATTCAAACAGTGAGTATACCCATTACCCATCCCAAAATATGTATGTATGAGTTATAGTGTAGACCACTTGATGTAGAGGCTATCTTTCCAAAGTAGTGGGCTGTTGAGGTTGCAATACCATACCTTACAAAGTCTTGATATCATGTTAGAAATAGTATACGATGTTCTAATATTCAATCGGTTTAGTTATTTTGTTGTGATTATCGACATATATATATGTATATATATTAGGTGAAGCAGGGGTATCATTAGCAGCAGGCAACAGGCGATTTTCACCAGTTGCTTTCACAAAATTGCCTGTTGTTTTTTAGGGACTGTTGTGAGAAATTCTCGTGAAACTCCTGTGAAGGGATTCTGTCTATTATACGATTCAATGCTGCGTTATTAAAAATATAATATGGAATATTTTGTATGAAGTGTTTACTCAATTATTTAACCATCATAAGAGGAGCATAGAATATTATAGTGAATACAAATAAAATTGGCAATGTTTTCCAAAGGCAGGATTAGGATAATCTCACAATGTTTCCTTTCAACTTTTACTACAAATAGCCTAATCCGGTTTATGGTACTTTACTAGTATTAGTACAATACTTCAGTACAAAAGTGAAAAGTCAAAGCATTAGCTTGAATGACCTTGAGAAAAGTTCAATCACCCGGAAAATACGAGGGTTGTCCCATAAGTCTCGTAGTTGTGAAATTGTTGCTACACCCCCATCTTTCTGTATTACTGCTATATCTAGCCAATCAAGTTTTTGTGCTTAAAAAGTACTCATGTTGTAATGGTCTTATGCTGTGAATCGATGGGGGATATAATGTTGTTTTCAACCTGAACATCATGATTATCCAATAACATATATTTAATAAAAGGCTGGATGCCAAGTATAATCTCTCGTCTGAGGTTAAAATTGATACTGGTCCAACTAAAATCAAGCTTAGAAATAGTTTCCATCTCCTCTCCAGTGTAACCCAACACATGAGATTCTTAATTTGGACATAATTATAATATATTATCCAATCACTTGCTGTATCTGTCTCAAGATGTACTCCAATGAGATAATTTGGACCATGAAAATTCAAACCATCCAATTATTGGATAACATGAGATATAGCCAGACCAAGTGCACACATTTCTTAATGTCTGTTAATCCAAAATTGTTTTGTCTACCTTAAATAAGAGTAAGTGGGAAGCTTGTTCCATTGCTATATACTGTAGAAGCAGTGCAGTAATAAACCAAGTGTTACACCACACACACCTCTGCTTCTGAGGTTACATGTACAAGAAAAGATGCATGGAGGGGTCAGTTGATATAAGTTCAGTATGCAGAACTGAATATACACAAATATAAATTTGTGCATTTTTATGTATTTATAAAATTCAGAACTGTTGGACTGAGAAAATAGGTATGACATAGAAAGATGAGAGAAAAAACTATTCTGATATTGTGTATGTTTTTTCAAAGTTACTTTTAACTCATCTGTATCCTTTTTATTTCCTTTAAATCTGAAGCTGATTTGATTAACGCATCTGAAAAAATTCACTTGCTTTTTCAGATGTGTAATGGACAATATGGAGTTGATAGGCAGAGCATTCCGGAACCAGTTTGTGATTCCAGAGTTCCAGGAATTTGCTGGTGTTATAGACTCAATGTATCATAAATGTTTGACAAACACAGAAGGAAAGGTATGTTATCAGGAGCATTTGATAGTTTTTTTAGTGATGTATGAGTAAATTAGTGGATAACTTATGGTATAATGAACAGTTTATCATTCTCATATAATAGCTTTTGGGCTGATATAAAGATGGCAGCAGATGTAGAATTTTATATTCTCATCTGGAAATATGTACGCTGCGTGCGTAATTAAATATGTGCATGTCATTGGTCAATTCCGGACTCAACGATGACGTCAGAATGAATGACCATATATAGAACGTCGGTCAAATTTGGCCGACGAACACTGATTGGCGCGTTGAGTTCACAGGTTTATTTTAGTTTGAAAGAGTGAAGACGAAGCTCTCTTTTAAGAAGTGAAGTCAAACGAATACAAAGGGTAGGAAATATGAGAAGATTGTTAAATAGATTGATCGCAGTGCCATCTTTATTAAAAATGTCCATCGGCCTTTAGCCTATGTCTGTAGTTTGATCATGCTTGCTCTAAGGCTGTTCATTATGTGGTAGTCAAATTGTAAAACAAAAAGCCAGTGAATAGTAAATATTGATATGTATTTTGTTTTCAAAAGAATGGTCTTGCATCAAGCCCCTGTACACCCCTATTCATTCTCTAAATCTATCACAGGCTATATAGATTTAAAAATAGTGGATTACTTGGTGGTGAATGAAAGACTACATGTACATAATAATTACACGAAATTGACAAAGGAAAAACTGATTTCTTGAAGTTTTTCTTAAACCATTGATGCTATTGTTATTCTTATTATTTTGTTTCAGGTAGCAGACTACATCCCACAACTTTCAAGATTTGACCCAGGATTATGGGGAGTGTCAGTGTGTACAATAGATGGACAGAGGTAGGATGTTATGGTATTTAATTTTTGCTAAAAGAGAGTATGAATATGTCAAAAAGTAAAAATGATGGAAAAGACGTACATCGTACATGATTTTATGGAAAACTAATTTATTTGACCTCTACATTATTATTTCATTGCTGAATGAGTATGCAGGGATGTGATTAAATGCACCTGTACTTCAAGAGATTTTTCCTCTTGTATTAAGCAAAAGCGTAGAGCTTTATGTTTGAATTCCTCCACTGTTTAGACAAGGGCTTATATAATAGCCGGGCTTAGAATGACAGTGCAGCCAGTATGAGAGAATTTATTGAATTCTACCACCGCTGCCATCTTTATATCAGCCTAAAACTTATTCTATTTATATTCCAGGGTCTCATATGGGGATACAGATATGAACTTTTGTCTTCAGTCTTGCAGCAAACCACTCATGTATGCTCTGGCATTGAATGAGTTGGGCTCTGATATTGTGCACCAATATGTCGGCCAGGAACCCAGTGGAAGGCCATTTAATGAAATCTCACTCAACTCTAATGGTAAGGCTGCAAGGAATTATGCTTAAAAGTATTTTGAAGAAATGAAGAGATATTTGTAGAGAAAACTTGAATAAAATAAAGAAAGAAATTGTTACAGTTGCACTCCTTGTCGTGTCTTATATTAGTCTTTTGAAATATTACTTGACATTGTGGTGTTCATAAGAAGCAGAATACATGTATTTCCTATTTATTTTAGAATCTCGGGGGTCCTGTACTTGCATTTCTAGACCCTCCTATACCTTATAAATTTGCATTTAAAATTACTTTATGTTTTGTTTTTTTGGTGGCTCCTTTATCATCTGTTTTGGAGGCTTTTGCACATTTTTTAAAAGATCTCCCAAATGTTAGTGTATAACTAAAGTGGTCATAGTTGATAGTGGAATATCACATTTGTCACATTCTAAGGGTTTGGAATCCCGCTTCTCATCAATATGGACATGTGTTTAAAAATTATTTTAAAATGTTTTGCTACATTTTCAGACAAGCCCCACAATCCATTGATTAACTCTGGAGCAGTTGTCATCACGTCCTTACTGAAGAATAACCTGAGTCTACCAGACAGGTTTGATTATGTGAGTAAAAAGTCAGAATTATTGAGATTTATGCATGTCACTAATTAGTTATACTAGTCACCACAACTAAAAACACATATTTTCTATCACTATCTTTATATATATATATATCAATCCTGGGTAGGCTGGTTTGTAATACGATTTTATCAATCATATCTGTACTCTGAGACTATGAGAATATAGTGTTTATATATTATAGTGTTTATATATTATATTCATCTCTGCTCTGTAACCACATACAAATGACCATAATGATTTTGCCTTAAAGGTGCAGACTCAGTTCAAAAGAATTGCAGGGGGAGAGTTTCTAGGATTCAGCAATGCCACGTGAGTTTTTTTATTTTACGTCCATGTTTAGATACACAATAATGAAATACAGTTATCCAAGAAGATAACTGCATGACATTTTACCTTTTCTAATTTCATCAAAATTTAATCTTTGACACTTTGTATATTTCACATTAGACTAATATGTCATGAAAAGAAATATATATATACATGTAGTTGTGTTGACACATTATTTCATTAACTTCATTGTTTTTTTATCAGTATCATCTCTAACTGGAGATTTTTACAAGTATATGCCCTTGACCTTTTAACACAGGAAATGTATGGCACTTGCAAATTGTAAATTATTCTTAGTCCATTGACAAACCAAGTACAGTAAAACCTGTGTAACGGAAAACCTTTAGTAAATGAATAAACACAAGCAGCACATGTGTCTCGAACTCGCAACCTCGTGGTTACGGCGCCCAATCGCCTAGCTCGAACGTGCCGGCAATCAAGCCCTCTCGGCCAACTCGTCAACCCAAACATATTTGTGAGTTGACTTTCCACAGTCCCTTGACCTGTTGAGTTAATTTTGATGAAACCTCTATGAGTTGAATGGAACACTTTTTTAGAAGGAACCAAAGGTGTTCCACTTAAACAGGTTTTAATGTACACATATTGTTTTGCTTATATACATTTAAAAGATACAAATAAAATCTCTGGATGAACCTGACTAGAATGATCTGAAACATCTGGATCTAGAATTTTTCCAAATTTACCAAATTTTACTGACCATTAAATAATATGTGAGGTTGACTTAATGTTTCAGATTCCTATCAGAAAGACAAACTGCCGACCGTAACTTCTCCCTGGGTTATTATATGAAGGAAAAGAAGGTCTTCCCCGCCTCAACCAATCTCATGGAAACATTGGATTTCTACTTCCAGGTAAACATTGAGAACGAACAAAGGAAATAAAACCCCTATAAATAATTTGAACCACATTAAACCATAATGAAACATAAACTATTTACCATGAACTACATGATTTTCAAAAAAATCTAGACATGCCATGTTTCCAAATCTGAAAACAAAAATAAGTAATAGTAACAAAAATGAACAGTGGGTGTTATTAGTGAAGGTGAAGGTATCTCTTAATTATGGAATAACTAGATATTAGTTAATATGTTGTGTTAATCAAGGCTCAGTCTTAGTAACCTCAACAAGAAATCTTCAGCACTTGTAGCTTTTGTAAACTACCCCCATTGTGACTTTTTATGTTTGAAAAAATTAAGTTTAGTTGAAATTGAACTAGAGTATGTGATGTTACGATTGCCTGTTTAATTTCAGCTCTGTTCCATTGAAGCTAATTGTGAATCTGCTAGTGTCATGGCAGCAACACTTGCCAATGGAGGAATATGCCCAATCACAGGGGATAAGATTTTAAATCCCCAGAGTGTACGCAATACTTTGTCCCTAATGCATTCCTGTGGCATGTATGACTATTCGGGACAGTTTGCCTTCAAGGTTAGTTCAAAATAATGTGTTGCAATGTGAATTTCTCTCAGTTTGAGCCTCTCTATTATCAGATTATTGTTTCAATCAAACATCAGTTACTAGGAATTAGTATTACCAAATATGTGTACTATCCAGTTTTCAGAATTCTTGTCAAACCAAATTGTTTTTGAAACAACATGCACAGTGTAAGTACTGCCTCTGCTATATCACAATTTATGACTTTAATTGTTATTATAGGTAGGCCTCCCAGGCAAGTCTGGTGTATCAGGGGCTATATTGCTTGTTGTACCAAATGTGATGGGAATATGTGTATGGTCACCTCCCCTGGATGCAACGGGGAACAGCTGTAGAGGCATTCAGTTCTGTGATGTAAGCAACACTATGTATCTTATCCTTTGTAATCTTTTTCATTTGTCTTTAAGAGTTTGTTTCATTAGTAATATGTAAAATTACTCTGTATAAAAGTATAAAAATAAAAAATGTATACAGTATAAGGAAATTTCCAACCAATTTTCTCCAAATATTTTTTAAAATGTGTAGAAATAATCTCTTCCGACTTATTTTACTATATTGAGCATTGTCTGTTGTAGTAATATGTCAAAAAATTGGTAAAAATGAAAAATTCTCTAGTTTCAAACGAATTAAAGAGCCTGGGATTCCTCATTTCTAAGGGCAATATAATGAAATATTGGACCGAGGGCCGAAGGCCCAAGGTCCAATATTTTACTATATTGCTCGCAGAAATGACGTAATTAGTATTATTACCACCGTTAACGACCAGGGCTGAAATAGCAAGAAAATCTTACGCACTGAACGATATCTAATTTCCCGGAAAAAATTGCTGGTCCAGAATATATTCTAGACCGGTCCATATGGACCACCACTATGACGTCACACATTTCTCAGGTCGATATAGTAAAATGAATGCCTTCTAAACTAGCACTAAAACCCCTAGAACTGGCCTGACAAGGTGGTAATAATAGAACTTGAATGGAAACTGACATGGAATGGAAACCCCAAATGACATCATTAATGACCGCTTCATTTCTGGCATATTAACTAATGTCATAGCTTCTTATTTCAAATCAAGATAAAGAAAGGTGTATAGAATATGCCTACATCAATGAAAACATCACATCGAAGTGTAGTATTTTGAAACTAGCCGGTGAAAATTAGAACAAACCAAGGGGAATATAGCTGAAATTAGGTCAATGGAAAAACAATTTGGAGGGGGGCAGTAATCCATCGGGTCATGAAATATTACACATTCTCATACAGTTACCTAAACAATGTGTAGCCTTACCTTCCAAAATATTACGCTTATTTCATATTTGTCTTCAGGAACTTGTGCAGCAGTTCAATTTTCATAACTATGACAACCTAAAGCATAGTGACAAGAAGGATGACCCGAGGAAGAGGAAAACAGAACTCCAGGCACAGAAAATTGTGAATCTCATATTTAGTGCATGTAATGGGGATATAACAGCTCTAAGGAGGTATGTACTGTTTGTGATTACTGTCTTACTGTCTTATTGAGATATAAGTAAAGGTTAATATATAATAAGAAACAATGATGGATTTGCAGTGACATATTTTACATATCTTGCCCTTATGCTTCCCTGTTGCATGCATTTACATTTGTACTTAATATGTTGTTCAGCTTAGCCTATAATGCCAGTAAGGCGATTGGCAAGCTATATTTATATGATGAAATAAATTGTTAATCTATAAAAAATGATGGATTATGACAAAAAACAACAGACAGCGTAATTTTAAATGGGAAGTAAAATTTGAAAAGTAAACTATTGAAATATGTTTTATTATGTTAAGATGTTAAGAATAAAATTGAAATCTATAACATTTAGGTTCGCTCTCGCTGGGTATGACATGGAGCAGTCTGACTATGATGGCCGTACAGCGCTACATCTAGCCGCAGCTGAGGGACACAATGAGATTGTGAAGTTTCTCATTGAAAGATGCAATGTAAATCCTCAGCCTACAGACAGGTGAATCATTCAACTTAATCATAAGTTAAAGTGAAACAGAACAGCAAGTATACTATACACAACTATTATAATTGGCACCATGGTTCATCATAATGTTGCAGAATGTTTCCCACATTCTCTCACATTTCATCGGGGAATCCATCATCAACTGTGCTTGGTTCCTCTATTCAGGATCTTTCCTTCACCAGTGACTGATTGGTTAGAATGAGTTGATTGAATTTCAAACACATACAATAAATTAGCCTCCTGTAAGCAACCTCTTTGAATTAATTGTGTAAATTATTAGTTAACTGGAAACTGATAATGTTTTCGCAAAACTGGTCATTTCAATATTGTTATTCTTTTATTTTACAAAACTTTTGGAATAAAACTCGTTGAATGGAAATAATTAAATCCACATTTTTTGAGTCTTGTTAATTTCTGTATTTTATGTTTCAGATGGGGTTTCACTCCATTGGACGATGCCAAGAGATTCAACCACCAGTATGTCATAGACACTCTAAACCATTTTAGTATGAAACCATGACATAAGAAAAGATGCCACTAAATACGGAGATGAGATTCAGATCTGGAGTGTACAGATTAAAAGAATATACATACCTGGTTCCTGCCCCTTGCCAGCCAGTTTTGCTCAAAAATGCAAATTTTCCCCAAATCTTACCAATCTTGAAAAAAATTGCCAAAAAATCCTTAAGGTTATGTTCCAAATTTGACTACATGTAATAACTTTTTTAAAAAGCCACGAATATTACCAGTTTTTGAAAATAATGTCATTTTTACAAAATTCCTAAAAAGTATTTTTATTTACAAAAAGTAGGTCAAACTTTTTCTGGGTGATATAAGGTTTGAGGAGCTTACATAAAACCCTTGAAATCCCTTTGGCTGTGGGACATATGTCCATTGATATTGACAATGACAATGACATGTATGAGGAGAATGCAGGCAATGCACAACATATACATTATACAGTCATATAGCCTCACCATTCCTTCCATACAACTTGAACATACTACTTGAAAAAGAAATGAACCTTTCGCAGTTTCAAAAAAAAGCATAACAGAGAAAGGTATTATCCAAAATTATTGACACAATCAAAAATACCAATTTCTACCTTTAATCCCTAATCAAAAAGGCTTGAGTGTTAACATTTACAAATAATGCAAGATACAGCAGTTAAGGAGCTTTGCTGAAAGAGGGATTTTGTTCCTGTTTTATTTATGGCTAATCAAAGTGATGAGGGTCCAAATGGAAAATGTACATATGTACAAATTACATGTAAATCCAGGGCAGCTTCTTGAAGAATAGTAACATTGCTTGAAAATAATAGAAATCAATCTTACACCATAGTAATTTTAAGTATAGACCACTTGTGGCTGGGATTATAAATATTAGACATGTGTACAGTATGTGTAGCATGTTTTGGACAAACCTGTTTAATGCACAAATGATTGTACAAATTGTTTAAAGCGAAACCTGTATCAATCTTATTTTAACTGAATTAACATTATTTTCATTGTATTGTTGATATAGCAATCAAAGAACAATACAGCATATTGTGTTTTTAATGAATTACTTAGAGAACTGATATTTATGCACAACAGGGTGGTACAGAAATTAACTCATGAATCAAATGTCCCTAGTTCAAATCTCTTATTTGGTAAAAAAATTTGGCAAAGGGACATGAACTTGTTGCTGTTTTTTTGCATTGAACTCTACATTTCATCTTTAAAGACTACAATCAAGAAAGTCTCTCTATTCTTGCCAAAGTAATTCCAAAAATTGAATGATCACATTTTTGTGTCACCCTGTAATTTTTTAATTAGTAGTGTACATTAGACCATTTAACTGAAAAACAAATAATACTTATACATATATACATAAGAACTATCAGAATAGTTTTATATGACTTTTCATCATAAAAATGAGTATTGAACTTAGTTTTGCACAACATTGCTAGATTTTATTGCAGTGGCCAACCAAAAACTATTTTTTTTATGAATTGCAGCACATTGTCTCTTGGTCTCTTGTGAACTGTCTCAAAAACAGCATATGAAGTACTATATATATTAGTACAAATATTTATTAAATCACACAGGATTTGAAGAACTGTATATATGTACAAATATTTAAAGCACACAGGATATGAAGTACTGTATATATGTACAAGTAATGAAATTATACAGCATATGAAGTACTTTTTATTGTTTTGAGTATTACTATTATAAGTACATGTACTCAGCGTATACGTACTGTTCATGAAAGCAACTCAAAGTACTCATTAAACAAAATACTACACCCCCAATCCACACTGTAAAATCATGGTACCGTACGGTACATTTAGAGTATGGTACCATATGGTACTGTTGGAGTACAGTGCCGTACAGTGTTCACGGTACCGTACGGTACCATTTTAGTCTATGGTACCGTATGGTACCATATTTCACGGTACCTTATAGTACCATTGCCAAAATGGTACCGTATGGTACTGTTGCAGATTGGCTGTGTAGTCATGTGCAAGTACATAAAGGAGTTCAATCTCTAGTCCTAAAACAATCAAAAATCAGAATTATATGTAACTGTCCCATCGGTAGACTTATGTAGAGATTGTATTACTAATTAATACTCAGTGTGTGAAAAAGTTGTTAAAGATGTAAAACATTTAAAAGTCCCGTAAAAAGTACTCATTGTATGATAAAGTGTATGAAGTGTTCGTGAATAAGGATTTTAATAGTTCTCAGTGTATAGTTATTCATCTTAAAGTACTTAGAGTGCTTAGTGTGTAAAATACTGTTCAGGAATAAAAGTAATCAATATAAAGTTCTGTTCATGAAGAAGTATTTGGTTCTCTGTGTGTAAAGTACTTCATTGTAAATAACTACTACAAGTATTCAGTAAAGCATTGTTCATGAAGAAGTACTTAGATAGTTACCGGTGTGTAGAATACTTCATGTGTAAGTACTTAGAGAAATAAGTGTGTAAAGTACATTATTTATTAAAACATTTGAATTAAAATGAAAACAGAACTTGGGAGTACTTATCATGGGTCATTATGTGACATACAGTACTTGTATAAACAGTTAAATTACTCAGCGTGAGTTAAACTTTTCATATCTTAAAATGACTCTGTGTGTACAGTACTTCAATGTTTAAAACTAACAAGGTCTAATTTTACAAGATACAGCATACCATACAATCCAAATTATTCTTTGTAATCATGTATTATCGTATATTCAGGGTGATAATTTCAGACCATGTTTATATTATGTTACTGACATAATCATGCTATGAGTATCTTAACATTAAGACTCAAATACTCACCATTTGAAAATCATGTACTTATGTGTAACTCCATCCAAGACTTGCCAAATATTACATTAACCTCAGTTTTTGAAAATTGGACAAATAATATGAGGCATACTAGGTATTGCTATTAATTTGGTATTTGCCAAACACGTAGTGCTATGTGAGAGTCTTATATTCAGACAGAAAAGATATGTGCGGGCAAAATTTGATAAACAGTTAACTTTTAGATTCTGATGTTTTTATTAGGGTTTCTAGTTTCTACATGGACTGCAAATATTCCTCTTGGAGTCACAATTTTTTCATATGTGATATATTCAATGTATATAACGTAGCACTTACACAATTTTAATTGTCAAGACAATACCATGTCTGTTTCAAATATTTTAATCATGTCTTATGGAATGGGCTGCATTGTATGACTGCATTTACAAAAATGTGTTTTTCATTTTTTCCAATGTGATATATTCATTGTATATAACATAGGACTTAAACGATTTTAATTGTCAAGACAATACCTTTTTGTTTTTATTTTGTGAACATTGTATGACTGCATTTACAAAAATGTGTTCTTTCTATTGTACAATGAACAAAAATATCATCTACTAAGTATGTTGTTTGGTTACACATCTCATAATATTTCTGTCAGGTTTACAGTAATAAAGTGTTCTATTAAAGTGTATGTGTATTAGAAAAATAGCAATGTTGACCAAGTGTGCACTTGAGAGGAGTCCATTCAAAAATGAGTATACATGTGCGTTTTTGAACAACATGCCATCGGGTTTACATTAAAACTAGAAAATAGTGTTTCATAAATAAATGCAGAGAGAATTAGATCTAGCGAGCAAGCTAAACAAAAAATGTAACTTTTTCTATTTTTATAGCTACCATTTTTATTATTTGGGAGAATCTAAATCCTTATCCTTAATAACTTCACCAATTCACAAAATATCGCAGATCTTTTGGGAAATATTGTTGTATTTGAGATCATAAGGAATAGATTGGTAGGCCAATTGTACTTTTTGCTTGCAACTTTGTCACTCCCTATAGATCTGATTCTGCCTTTAAATTGTTCTTATTGTGGACTAGTACTTATTGTATTAACTTTTTTTTAGATGTGTAACTTTTTGTGAAGTATGACACCCTTACTTCCAGCCCTAACTAAGTTTTAGTTTGTTGAAGTCACAAATTGTGCTTTTAGTTCACCAACATTGATTTAATTGTAATGCTCTGGTACTGTCTAAATTTGTGTACTGATAGTTTATACATGTAATTGTACAATTATATTAATCTTGTATATTACAATAGTTTGCTAAATTTTCCAATGATTCAAGAAAAATACAGAAACTGCCAAGTGAATTTTTCTTGGCACAATATTTTCCGTGTGAAAATGTGCTTATTCAGTGATATTTGGGATATACATATACTGTACTTTGATGGTTTTTCAACAGAAATAATGTTTTAGACAACAAAACGTCATGATGTGGTGTCAGAATGTAATACGGATTTTGTGTCACAGTGTGAAAATATATTTATAACACATGGGCCAATCAGTTCACTAGAAATTTCACCATAAGTGAATAAATGTATGTACATCATTCCCTTAGCACAATATTATATTGTTACGGAAATATATTTATTTATACTGTTATGAATTACTTTTATTGTTCGTTCAATCAAGCTATTTAGGGAGGCAGAATCCTGTGAATAATTTTGGTTATAAAATATTTCAAACATATTACATGTAGGGTTGTAGATCCAAGAGTTTTATGAAGCTCTGCTTTAAAAGTCCTTACAACTTTATTGTTCCGACATTCCACACTAGACTCCTCACTTGCATTATTTCCTTAAAAAGGACATCTTGCTTCATCAAGCTTCGGACCTATCCTATACTGTAGAACGTAGTGATTGAGCATGGGAACCGACGATGTAAAAAGGATGAGTCAGGATATATGAAAAATTGTTATCATAGAAAAACACCAACAGCAACATGTATGAAATACAAAGTAGAAATAACTTAAAGACTCATGAAGAATTCAAAAGAAAATCATATTTTTGAAATACATTTTAGGTTTTTAAATTACAAATTTTTGAATTTCCTGCCAGTTTAATTTGAAGGGGGAAAACAATATCAGAAATAAAAAGTTGCTTCACTTTTTAATTTTCCCATTGGGCAGTTTTATGGTTTATTTTTTGATTGATTCTGACTGTTCATCATTGTGAGATATCCTATCAGTTTCCTTCTTTGCATGGCAGAGATTGTCTGAGCATCAGAATGACTGTTTATCATCAGGGTCATGTATAGAGATTATAAAATTGAAACCATAAAGCTGTGCTCTGCATGAATTTGATGTATATAACTTCACCAACACAACTGAAGTGTCAAAACTGGATGCTCAGAACTTTGATGACTATAATCTCTTGATTACCAAGATAAACACCAATTCAGGAACCATGACATTAGGGAAGTTAGGATACACATTTATTTTAAAACTTGTATGGGAAAATGTAGAATTGTGATATGGAAAATAATTGTAGTTAGGTCTCTGGAGAAGCGGATTGAGAGGGGTCTAAAGTTATCCTCAGGGGTCAAAATATTACATGTTCACATCAGGCTCGTGAAAGTTAACCTCCCTAGTGACAATACTTATTTGTGGGGTTAACTATTTTTATCTCGATTCAATAATCACCAGGGTAAAGATTTACCACCTACATTTTTTAGGAATGGTTCTATGGGTTAGCTTCCCTCACACATAAACCAGGTTTATATATTTATAAGTAATAATCAAGGGAATAAAGAGTCACTTGTACTTTTCAGGACTGGTTTCTTGGTTAAACATACAGTATCAATTTGGACTGCTCACCACTGCCTTTATCCTCTCTCACACACTACACAATGCATGAACACAAAACATATTTTTTAATAATTGTACTTCACTGTTTTATTGCAAGTACTTGTATTTTTGTAATTTTCTCTGTAACAATAAGTCTGTACATTAAGTCCTAATATTGAGCCATGGACACGTGCCCCAGAAATTGGCCCGGAATCCCCAAATACAAAAGTCCCCATATGACAGTGCAAGTAAGAACTTTTCATCACAATAAGTAAAATCGCATAAATTATTCAATTTCTATCATAATTTACACATGATACAACTAAAACTTAACCAGTCTTATGATGGTGCTAAATTGGAAACAATTTTAGCCAATAAACATTCTGACTAGCAATTGAACAGGCAGAGAAAATACTGTTTCCAATAGTATCATAAAGAAAAAATTGAGAATCTTAACTGATGAAAAACATGAACTCTCCATGTGAGAAATATCACATGAAGAAAATTGGGCCTCTCGCAATAGCGGAATGCTTCAATAAGCTCTATGAGATGCCCAGCATAGAGCCAACACACACACACTAAAACACAGAATCCAAAACAAACGAGAAAACAATGTCCTTGATATTTGTCCCACATGGATTAAATTCTGTGTTCCTTCTTTAAATACAATATAGATCATGATTGTGAGCATTGAGATGATGCCATTCTGGCTTTGGATGATGATTATGAATAATGTCTGCTTGACGCCGTAAGATGATAATGTATTGATGTTAGGTGGTTTTTGATAATCTATAATTCGTCGTGATCTATATCTCCTTCTTCTTCTGGTTCTTCATCTTCATCCTCATCAATCTCTCCCATATCATCCTCATCTCCCTCCTCAGCATCTTCACCTGCAATAATATCACATACATTATGCCATGCTGTTAATAAACACTTCAAGTAACATACATGACAAGTAAAATAATACACCTTTAAAACACACTTGAAAGCAAAAGAAATTACAATGACTTGCAAAAAACCAAAGCCTGCAGATATCACTGCTCTCACAAACAAAAGCATCAACCAAATGAAATGATATGGAGATCAGCAGAAACAATACACACCATCAACGAGGTCTTCTTCTGCTCCATCATCCATCCATTCATAACCTGCATGATTTGCATCATCTGAGGTGCCTTGTACACTAGCAGACTCAACACCATTCCCAGCTAAAGCAGGCAGAGCAACCAAACACAGCAAGACCATTTAAGAATCAACTCATATAAAGCACCAACTAATAGTAACTAACACCAAAATCCAATAAATAAATAATGAAAATACCTCAAAAAACCCAAACACCAAATGGGAAAACAAACAAATAACGACTAATGAGACCGATTTTTTAAATTAGCCTAATACCAAAATCTACATTGAGATCCACCACCAGCAGATGTAATAAGATGAAAACCTCCAGTGAAGAACCAATATATTCAAAATATGTACATGTAACATTTCTCAAACCACAAATAACACTGTTAATACACTTCAACTAATGCAACATATATCTACTGAGTGATCTACAATGCTTTTTCTCAATAGAGAGAAAGAACGTAATTTTACCCATTTTCAACAGAGTTGATTAATTTTAAGATTCTTGGAGTGACCACTTTTACCCTTGAAGAAAATATGAACAAATTTGTTACATATTTATTGATTTCAAAACGTTACAATATTACTGAATATTGTGTTTGAATTATTTGCTTACCTTCTTCCTCTTTCCTCTTGGCCTCCTCCTCTTCTCTCTGTTTTCTTTCTTCTTCATCTTGTTTGTCTTTCATTTCTTTCTCTGCATCCTGTAACAGAAAAAAATATATGAGTAAACAGGACAGGAGGTAAAGCCTTTTGATGATCTCATTTCAAGTCTGTACATGTATTCAAACAGTTTGAAGGCTTGTATGTTATTCTAGGAATCATATTTTATATCTGGTTCTCAACCTCAAGAGGATTACATGTAAAGCTCTCATTCACTTACTTTAGTTTTGCCCCAGGTTTCCTGTCCTTGTTCTTTTGCATAATCTTCATCATCTGTGATAAGAATGTTGTCGAAGATAGTACCTGATTTTACCTAAAAGATAAAGAACAATGAACTTTAATACAAGTATAATTGTTTTACGTAAAACATACTATCATGGATTTTTATTGTTTGAAACCAAAAGGGTCTTGAGTTCTAAACATCCTACATAATCCATTTATAAATTTCACAAGGCACATAATTAAGTTTTAGTAGAGAGAAGAAATGATTTATCTATAGAGCAGAACTCAACAACAATATCTAAGATTCCTACCTGCCATAAATCGAATCCAATAGCACCAAAGTCTTCATAAAGGTAAAGTTTATCATCAGCAACATAGTCTGGGTTATCGATCTCTGGGTGGATCCATTTGCCTTTGTATGCTGGGTTATCAATCTGCTTGGGTTTCCATTCTCCTTGGTATTCAGGGTTGTCAATCATTGGTGGTTCCCATTCACCATCCATATCATCATCCCAGTCATCAGGCTTCTTGGCATCTGGGTCAGCAATATGCTCTGGTTTATCCCAGTCTTCTGGTTTTGTGTCCTCTGGGTCATCAATGTTCTCTCTCTCATCCCAGTCTTCTGGTTTCTTGGCTTCAGGATCCTGGAATTAGTCATGAAGTATATTAGATTCACTACAAGGTGTCTTTATACTCACTGAGACATGAGCTATGTTAGCATAGGTCAGAGTCAAATGTAAAAAAACATCTGTTTATGGGTTGAACTTGTATGACACAAGAATAAACATGTTTACTTTAGACTAGAAAAAATAAATGAGTTTACATATCTATTTAAGTTGAATTATTTAATTTTTTTGAAATGCACAGCAGAAAGGATCCCCATAATACAATTTTGCACAAATTTCTACCTTGATTTTCTTAGGTGCCAAAAAGTCCCAGTCTGCCTCCAATTCTCCACTCTCAACCTTCTCATTGTCGATTTTCACCTCATATGTGTTGTCAGCGCGCAGAATGAGTGTATACAAGTGAGTGTAGACATCATCTTTGCATCTGATGTCTTTTTTGGTGAGAAGGTTCTTTCCCTTGTAGCTGAAGATCACGTGAACTTTCTTGGTTCCTGGTCCACAAATATCTGGGCCTGAAGATTAATAAATTGAAAATACACTATAAAGGTATTATACCATTAACTGAATAACTGTTCATATATGTAAGACTGTTTCTTGCTACTATGTTTTTTTCTCAGATCATCCAATCAGTCATAGCAATCAGACTGGGGCGGTAAGTTGATCATCACAGAATTGATTTTCTTCGGTGCCAAAAAGTGCCAGTCTGCAAACATTCCATGGTTCGTTGTTGATATCGCAACAAGTAGAATCTTCACCATTCAGGTTTCTCAATGTTCAAACCCGAACGACCAAATAAGATAATTTGACTGGTTTAAAAGTTGACGTTAAAGGAGCAATGAAATACAATTTTCAATAGGATTGTAATAGACAGCAGTAATTATACATTAAATGTAAAATAACTTTTATTAGTGGTTTTAATTGATACCTCATACTGTCAATAACAGAGCAATTTAAAGAGGTCATAATACCCCTGCTGTATCTATATGCATCACTAAAGACCCCCCCCCAATTATGAATGAATACTTACCAAACATAATGTTGTATGGAGATTCACCATGCATTTCTTTAGGATTAAGATCACTTGAGAAGATTTTGGCGTATCCACCTCCACAGTCAATGTTCTGTTCATGTTTGACTGTGAATTGAATAACAAGGGTTTTGCCCTCATTGGAGAATTTATCAAATTTGGCTGAGAGTCCATAGAATTTGGCATCCTGACTGGTCTGGATACCTAAAACACAGAGAAAACATGTTGACTGCAGGATCAAAAAAATATCAAAGCATTGCAAGTCAGTCTTCTTCAACAACTTGTAGAACTAAAATGAAGTACTCTACCAGTTCAACATCATTTAGAAACCCTATTTCAGCATAGATGATTATTGATTATGCATTAGTAAACTCAAATCAACTTTGTACAGAGATGTTCAATGTAAAAATCTTTCAGTAAAACATTCTGCTATCATGGGCCAAGTCTTAATTGTTATACCTTTGTCTTTTTCTGCATCTCCGTAGAATTTGCCAGCACTGAGAACAAACTTCCCAGCATCAGCTCCCTTGCTCTCAGAGGGGATCCATCTTGACTCAAAGCTGTCATCTGAAGCAAATAAAAAATGAAAATGTAACTAGTGTAAAAAACGTAGAAAAATAAGGCATTAACATGCAAAATGGAATCACCTGGCATTTGTTACAGACACCAAATACGGGTGGCCCGATACAAAACACCGAAAACTGTCATAAAAAAGTTGGGAGAACATAACAATATTTTTGGTGGTAACCTAATGTGGCTCGAATTGCCAATCTAATTGTGAGAATGTAATTTGTCTATATATAATTAAATAAATAGGGTTATTTCCTCCTGATGTTACATAATTAATGGGGGGTAAACTGTAATCACATGTTTGCTAATCAAAATCATTGTTGAATTTTTTTTATGTGCAATCAGTAATGGCTGTAGAACAGCATGATAAATCAGCAAATAGAATCAATATTAAATAAGTACCTTGTTAATGTACCAGTCTATGCTTAATTCTAACTAATGCAACTTTGTCATAACATTACTGCACAATCATATAAACACTTTCCCAATTCAAATATTGATGTTTACATCAATATGTGCCACATTATATTTCAGCTCCAGATAAAGATTAATATAAACCATAATTTCTTAAGTACATATGACAAATGAGGTAAGTAAATACAGGCCTTATATGTAAATATAATAAGGTGACTGTGTTATTGTGCATCAAGGTGGAATGATATGATTGGTCCACTTGGATCCAGTAGCCAATCAGGCTTCCCTACATGTTACACACAGTTTGAATTCTTGCCTTGAAACACATGGCTGATTCTCTCGTGTCTGATTGCAATTACTCTCAATTTCAATCTTGCTAATATAGACATAATTGTATTGAAGTAAAGTATATTTCAATTTAATTTATAGTAATAGACTATACGGTCCCAATCCCTGGTGTAAAAGGCCAAGCATACATTTTCATTCAAAGTCTTATTCGTCTTCGTAAACTTCCTAATTCAAGCTTGAACAATGAACGTGATAACAAATCGTTGGAAGGGCAACGGGAATGAACTTATATTATGTACCTAGGCCTACATTGAAGGACCCGAGTTTCAATAAGAAATGATCTTAGAGTCTGATTGATTTTCAAAGTTGCAATATGGTGAACTCGCTAGTTTTTCTTGTGAAATCGAGAATCTAAATAATATGGTTGAGCCTTCAAACATGTTATATTGCAGTGTACCATTTACCACTTGGGACTATGTAAAAAGGGGAGTGGCATCCAGCAGACACAATTAGACTATCGAATTTGTTTTGAGATGAGCCCTCCCTAACTAGATCTAAACGATAATAGATCTACCCAACATAAAGTCGATACACATACTCGTGACTTTTAAAATATCAAGGAAGATGAAGACAATCATGTGTCTATGAATGCAATATTTTTCTGCAAACCGTGAATGAATGTAACCTAAAAGTTTTAGGCAAGTTCATCTCGATCAAATCAAAATTTTGTCAACATCAGAGGCCGGTTAATTTTAATACACAAAACACATGAAAACTACTTACCTTCGAATTTTTCTGAGAAGTATACAGTTGGGTCACATAGTGCTAGACCCAAAAGCGGCAGGAGAACTACCAAGAGCTTCATTTTGGAGAGAAACTGGAACTTGACTTCACCGTTTCAACTTCAACGTGTTAGTAAAGATGCTTGATGTACCACGTGACTAGGTCTTGCTGGATGGTTTTGATTGGTCCAGACCATTACCCAATCAGATTCGACCACATTTTGCTATGTCGGAATATACCGAACAAGATCGTTAGACTACGATGAGACGTCGATAGTTTCCGTCACCAACGGATTCTTCCGAACAAAAGTGCATGACGGGAAGAAAACAACATGGCGGATGGCACTCAAAACTTTATTTCAAATTTAGATTAGTATTTAGGATATTTCACACTATAGAGAACCATGGGAACAACATTTTTTGAAATCGGAGCTGCGAATATACTTTATCCATCGCACAGTTGTAATGAAATATAAATCTATATTACCATAATAAAAATTTCAATCAAATTGGGCATTTTTCAAACTCACATCAGAAATGAAGACAGTGAAGTGAAAGTGACCGACAGTTTCAATGACAATATTAGATCTACAGAATTGGACTATTCAACACTAAGCTTTAATTTTGGAATAATGAGACATGATACAGATATGACTGATCACCTAAAGAGACTTTCTCATATGTGTTTTCAGTTGAAGCTTTCATTGGAAAGTTAATTTTACGCCATCACAGTGTATAAGCTTACTGCATCAAGTCTTTAGGGTGTCATTTATCCAATCCAGTAGTTCTTGTACACTGCAAGATTCTCACAGTTATCATTAAAGAAACAAACATACAAAATGTTTCGCAAGTCAGGAAGTGCATCATCTGTCAATTCGCTACTTTCAAGAGCAAATGCACAATTAAGAGGTCAAAAGGTAGCTGAAGGTAGACAAGAGGCTAAGGTTTCAGACGATGATGATGATTTGCAGGTAACATTTTTGCTCTTCCCACTGATTTCATTTTGTTCTGTTATCAGTACAGTACGAGACAGTGAAAATATAAGTCTATTAAACCATCTATCAGTCCATTTCACTGTTTAATTGCGTCAGTAAAACCTAAAAATTAAGAAATCAAAATATCATTATGCAATACTATATGGAAAAATATATTCCTATTGTACATGAATGACATTTGCATATCTTGGATTGCTTCTAGATTGGCTTATAAAGTGTGTGGCCTCTTATATTTGGATGCTTCTCTGCCATGTTATTTTCAATAAGATTAACATAGCTGGAATTCTTCAAATTACAAGAGGGCACAGGCTTATTGCACAAAAAAGTAAAAAATCTGAAATACACAAATGCCATTCATGTACAATATGAATACACTTTTCCATATATTATTCCACAGTGGTCTCTCGATTTCTTATTTTTGGGGTTCTACTGACGCAATAAAACAGTGAAATGGACTTTATCAAAAATAAACAATATTACCCAAAGAAATACATTTATACTCTAGATACAAAATATTTGTATTTTTTGGATTATTTGTGGTTTAGCTAACAAGATATGTGACCTCTCATATGTTGATGCTCCACTGACATTTTATGTATTCAAATATATTATCATCTCCCTTAATTACAAGAGGCCACAAGGTTATTGCACATGAAACTTAGGCTGTAAGAATTAGATTCTTTGTTTTGCGTCCCCTTGCTTGCATGATTTTGAGTAAATCAGAAAAAACAAACACATCCAAATAGCAACCACAAGGGTCTGAAAGTAACACCGCATTTTGTTCAATCAGAATCAGACGAAATGGCGGATAAATTGATGTGCGTCAAAATTGACAGTGTTATTGATTACTTGGGCATACATTGTATATTTTCTTCTTTTTACCCTTGAATAATACCAATATTTAAATATATTGTATAAAATGTATAGATCTGTGTTTGTATCACTGCAAATTGGTATGTCATCCCTTTTAATTCCTATAAAATGTATACATTTCTCAGCAAACAAGTTTGTGTTTTTTCTTGAGTTTGTGTTTGTTTTCCTTGTACCCTTGCATGATTTGGAATTTGCCAGGACGCAAAACAGAGAATCTAATTCTTATGGCCTTATCTGAAAATACGCTTTTTTAAAATCTCAATTATGAATATATTTTCCATATAATTTTGCACTGTTGTCATTCAGTTGTTTAATTTTTAGGTTTTATAGACTTAGATATTCATTGTCTTAGACTCTTATTAGAGAATTTTTTTAGAAATTGCCATACCTGCTCGTGTTATGCTCTGGTACAGAAAACTTTCTTAAAAATTAAGAAATACACACATATCTTCATGCTTTATTTTATACCTGAATTGATCTGCAGGTTCAGCAGTTTTTCAAAAATGTGTCCAATTGATGATTTGCGATCACCAAATGGATTCTATCTTTTAGTGACGTCACAATTAGGTCACCCAGCTTTAGATGCTTGATTTTGAGAGATTATCTTCTATATTTCGTGCTTTATTGATTTATTTTTCACGAAAGCGTTCGACTTGACTAGATCAACATTCATTCTAAGCACATACCAAGTCTAAGGTCTTACTGACATGATTTAGATAGCAGTTAAGCGCCCCCCGATTTTGACAAAAACGGGGGGCGCTTAAAGGCATCGATGTTTAGTATGAATTTCACCCAAACTTCGCACATATATAGATATACTCATGATCTAGTCAAATTGGCATACCTGTTAAATATCTGACTCATGGTTTTCATATAAGAAACGACAATATTTTTAGCTCAAAACTGCCACGTGTCCGTCATTTCGTGATTCCATCATGTCTAATATCATTTCTATATGACGTCATACCAATAAGACGAAATACGTGACAACAGTATCCATAAACAAAATTCCTGAATTCTGATCGCAAAAGGTCAATTAGATTTACCTTGAATGTCTCCAAGTGACTGGAGATAACTCACATGTCATTATGTCAAAAATATTTGAAGAATTCAGATATAGGTCATCACAATAAGCACTGCTATCATTAATATGTCAATGTTCGATGCATTATGATTCAGAATTATTGCAATAAAATGAAAATATGATAGATTCGCTTGAATTAAATACAAAAATTACATCAGTCAGTTACATGGTCAGTTTGGCAATCTTGAGTAAGTTTGACGTCACAAACTTGGAAAAAGTCACATCGGTGTTTTGGTATGCTATGTTCTGTATGTAATATTTTGTGTAAAAATTAATCAATTGTCTTAAAATTTCCAGATAGTGTGTATTATATGCTTTAAAGTATGTGTGAAAAGTTTCATTAAGTTTACTTGCCATATACAAAAATTATTTGAGGTTTTCCTTAATAGGAAAAGACTTTTGATACAGAGGGTATGTAAATTACAAACCAAAATTGTTTTGAATGATAATATGCATGAATAAATTTATTTGCAAAAAATGATTTAAAAATCTTTGTTTAAAGCTTGAATCCTGATCATGTATGCATCCATATTTTTCAGGCTTATCTCACCTCTCTGACAAAGAAAACCAGTGGGGTTACCTCCAATTTTGAAGATTTGAGTGACATATCAATGAATGATGATGATGTCGTAGTTGAACCTAAGTCAAGAAGTAACACTTCATTTAGCAATAAGTTCATGAAGAAGAAACCAAACTCTACAGAGAATACTCCTGTAAAATTGAACAAATCCATCACTGATCCGGATCTTAAATCGAATAAACCACTTGTGAATAAATCTGGTAGTGTGTCATCTGCTTTGAATAAAGTAGCATCATTCACCAGTAAATATGCAAAGCCCAAAAAACTAGTAAACCTTAGTGATAGTGACCTTGACATGGATATTAGTGTGGATGAGGATATAATGAAAGAAGTTCAGAATGAAAAGAAATTTATAAACCGAAAATCGAAACCTCCTGCAAAGCCTACCCAATCATTAAAATCACAAGAATTTAGCAAGTCAGCGTCACTTCAAAATAAAACCCAGACAAATTCATTCTCAAAAGAAAACTCTGACACTGATGACAACCAAGTAAGGAACAAATTTTTAAAGAAGAAACCAGTATCTGAAAACACTTCTAAAGCACCAACTGCCAAATCCAATGGTGGTTTTCTTAAAGATATGATGGGTCGGCAATCAGTTGAAACACCTATAATGAGTGATGATTCTGATGAGATTAACAATGTACAGTTTAACATAGGATCTAGCAGTGAGATTAGTGAGGTGGAAGAACGCAATAGATTCTTGAAGAAACCACTGAAATCTGCTGGAAAACCCATAGCTACATCAACTCCATCTAAAGGTGAATGATTTAACCAAATAATTTGTTCATTCATTTATGATCATTTTACATACATAATACATAAGTACATTCATGTACATGATTAACTCGTATTGAATTTGATGTTATTTTAGAATTCAAGCTAACTATTTTATTTAAAGTACCTGCAGATTTATTAATCATACCATAACATGAACTCACAGATTTTGAATTTTTGTCTGTGTTCCCAAGCTCACAAGTCACAATGAAGAAACATTGAAATCCTAGATTCAGAATGCTTAATCAACATTAGAATCTCACCCATGTCATTCGTACAAGTAATTAACATACTTTGAAATTGTATTTCAGGTAAATCAGGTGGCATCAAGTTAGGCAGTTCATTGAAGTACTCTACAGATGTTGTCTTAAATATAACTTATCGTATATAATCTTGTGTAATTTGATTTCAGGTAAATCAGGGGGCATCAAGTTAGGCAGTTCATTGAAGTACTCTACAGATGTTGTCTTAGACTCTGATGATGAAGACATGGCTGAATACATTGCAGGACTTAAGTCAAATACACCTTCCCCAGAACCAAGAAAAACATCACTTACGAAACCTAATGAAGCTCGGATAAAGGTATATTACTGGGCCTTTAAGAAAACCAATTTTGTACTGATAGAGTTACCCAGAATACATATAGATTTCAAATCAAAAAGCTCAGTGAAATCTGATTTTCACAGTCTAACATCAGCGAACTTCTATTAAGCCATCGTAATATGCATGTGGGTTTCTCCTGAGTAGGAGCGCCCTACCTCAAAAAAATGTTTTTAAGAATGCTTTTTTGCAATATTGTCTTCATTTACTCAACTACCCCATTGAGAATGAAAAAATAAAGGCCAGTGGCCCTGTATAAGTCTATGGCCTTTGTTGAATAGATCACATGGACATAAAAAACATAGAATTTGATATTTGAATCAGCATATACTGACAGTATGTTATATTTTTGAGAGAAATCAAGCATTATGAATTTATTTTGAATGCACGTCTAATGATGAATGTGCAATTATTTGTAGAAAGCTGAGAAGGTGACTTTTAGAAGCAAAGATGATGTTAGGATACAATCTGCGCTACCTAGTGAAGAAAGCATCCCAGATAGTGTCTCTGATGATTTTGGTAAGTCAAGAGTAAGAAGCACATCTACAGTGTATTTATGAACCAGGGGGTCATTAACAGAAACTTCATAAATCAATTGTTATTACCATGGATATAATGACGTCACAGTTAGAGAACATTTGACTTTACGAATTCTTAACTTTACAAAGTTTCTGTTAATGGCCCCCCAGAATAAATAACTAATTTTTCGTGTAAAATCCCGACTGGCTGGAAGTGAGGTGAGTGAAAGCATGGGCTTTCAAGAGAAAGCCCATGGTGAAAGGTAATTTTCAAAAATAATTCTCAGCTGGGTGTAGTGCCTGGTTGCTTCATCGCTAAGAGACTAATATTTTTTAAGGTAAGATAGAGTCAGACAGCGAGTACTTCATGTTTTCATTTTAAAACTTGATAGCATCTATCCAATAAACACATCTTAAAACATTTTCAGTTTTTAATTATATAATGATTTTTTAATGAGCAGTTATTGATTTAATTGTACATTGATAATTGTTCACCATGTTCTATTATTTCAATTTGTAATTACTGTATCGGAATCAGAGGTTGGGATGTGCATGTATTGGACAGTGTGTTGTAAAGATCACTATCTGATATACCACTGCATATTAATTGCATGATTGTACAATAATTCTCCTGAACCTACCTGTAGTGAAACACTAGCATGCAATATTAAATTCCTTTTCTATTGTTAACCAATGAAATACTGCCAGCCAGATTGTATACACTTAGCATTTAATAAATGTTATTTTATTTTTCATTGTGTGCTTAGTTATAGCGGATACAACAGAAACTATTGACAGGTAAACTTATTGGCCATTAATTGAACCTATAATCTTGGTAAACCTCATGCATGTGTATTCAAGAGCAACCTGAAGGTGGAGTGATTTGATTGGTCCACTTGGAACATCCTGAAATAAGAGACCAATCACAAAGCACCAGCAGCATTTGCCTGCTGTTTGAAATAAAATACATGTATAGCAATCTGGTCAAGTAACCTTAAATGTCAGTATAGAGAACAATAATTAAATTGAAAAAGCATGAGTAAACATATTAGCGGAATCAATTGGTGAATGATCTTGCGTTTTCATACTAAAGTTTGTTTTTGAGTTTTTTCTTATAGTTTTATGTATTTAAAGATATTTAAGAGACAGGGCCCTTTTTCTAAAGCCCTTTTTAGAAAAATAATTGAGATTACACAGGATACCTGTTATTTCTGCTTTTTAACACAATTTTAATAGAAAATTCAAATTCCAAACTCCTTATCTCACCATAATTCACAAATGGAGAATGGGAATTGAGCAACCAAACTTGGCACAAAGTTAGATCCTAGGATAAGCTCTAATCTTAGGGCTTTGATTTTTTGTGATATCATATATTTGCCTAGCAACCACATAGCAACCACCAAAAATAACATATTTTACAATATAAATCCATTTAATATATGCTAGGATGCTATAAGACCATTACAAAAAAAGTATTCTTATCCTAAAATACAACAATTTTAACATATTTACAGAAGTGACATGACCATGTTGCATAGCAACAACATGGCAACAGGTTACTGCCCATTTTGACATTTGCAGACCATATATTTATTATATGTTCACTGCTTTTGGATCTCTTCCACATTATTTCTTAACATATAGCAAATATATTGATGCAGTTATGTCTGACCATTTTCCCTAGCAATGGCTTGAAATAAAGATTAAATTTGCCCAGCAACGACCTAGCAACATCTTAAATTACCAATGTTTCTCATAAGAATTTCACTATATATCCACTATATGTACTTGAAGAAAATCAATATATATGTCTTTTGTAATTTATAAAGCTTTATAGTTGCTCACTTAAAATTCTTTAGTCTCTTGTGTAAAGCATGATGGGACATTTCTTGTCTTACATATATCAAATTGCAATTCATGTTTCAGTTCTGAGATAAAGTTCTGAGAAATATTCATCACATTGATACTAGATACATTTTCAGCAATGATACCCCTAAGATAATACTTTATTTTGGTGAATTGCATCAATTTCCTTTGCAGGTGCATAGTTCGATGCAGTAGAATGCACCATGGCATTTGCAGTTCCCTTTGCAGTCACATTTGGTACATCCACATTTAATTATGACTTTACATGCTTTGGATGCTTGGGCAATATTGTCCAAGGGCACCCACAATCCTGATGGACTCCTCATACCCACAGGCTTGGTGAAGAAAGAACTGGATCCACTATATACCACTGCCCCGATACATATGCTTCTTGTCAAAAGGGCACCTGTAAGATCATTACATAAGTTCCATTGTCACCTTGCTATGATGGTAAAATCCAGATGTGGTATCAGTTCCAGAAAGGGCGTGGAACATTGGCAGCGCACTTGATCTTTGTGGTCCTAGTGCTCAAGCAAATTCATAAATTGGAATGTAGTGTTAGTTTTGCCTTTTGAAAATGCTACATAGATCTCAATCTGTAGATCAGAGGCACAGGCTATTAGGCTATCACAACATTACTGTCCTCCGATCTTATCATAAATGTCCTGTAACTTTTTCTGACACCATGAGACACATCCAAAAACATACATGTATGTGTATCTGCCTCTTCCTGGGAGCAGGGACTATTTTGGCATAATTAGCAGGATTACTGATGCACTCTCCTTCAATGGTTGAGACAAAGATTCTATCGTCTGCCATAATATGTCTTGTAACAGTTGCTAGTAGTGCAAAGAACTCTATCTTGTTGTCATTGTTTCTAAGAAATTCTATCCTAACACCAAACTACCAAGCAATTGGCAAGACTTTCTTGAAAGATACAGCTTTTTGCACAATTCCTACATCCTTCAGCATCTCAAGTGGTAAAACTTGAAACTTTGAAATTAATGACTTGTATGTTTCAGCAAAGCCCAGATAGGATTTTAAGCTTTTAACAAGTATTACCTTGACCTAATGATTTAATCAGTAAAATATGGTGTCTTGATTTAAAATCTATATATTAGTATTTTGAACATGCCCTGCTGGGATACATAAAACCCATATGCTGGGTTCAGTGGAATATTACTATCCAAATGTGGAAAATTAACAATGTCATGAGGCAGATACATATATGTTTTTACATGTGTCTCATGGTGTCGGAAAAGGTTGCAGGACATTTATGATAAGATCAGTGGACAGTAATGTTCTTGTGATAGCCTTAGCCTGTGCCTCTGAGTTACAGATTGAGGTCTATGTAGCATTTCAAAATGCAAAACATATCGCTACATTCCAGTTCATGAGATTGCTAGAGCACTACGACCACAAAGATCATGTGGGCTGCCAATGTTCCAGACCCATACTGGAACTAATACCACATCGGGACTTTACCATCAGAGCAAGGTGACAGTTTTCAAGCAATGGAACTTATGTAATGATCTAACAGGTGTCCTCTAGCAGATTGCCCATCAACCGTAACAACAGAAGTTATGGGCACAATTGAGAGGTTCATCATCCTGGTTTACCAGCCTACAAACAGTGAGACAAATCTCATGCACAGGCACATCTTCACTCATGACAGATCGATCCCGATAGAGTACCTCCAAAATGCGATGCAGCACTCTATCAGGGTATGCGAGTAGCTCTCCAAGGACCACATGTATGGGGGTAATGGTATATAGTGGATCCAGTTCTTCCTTCACCAAACCTATGGGGATGGTTCAGGAGCACATCAGGATTGTGCGTACCCAGATGGACAATACTGTCGCAAGCATCCGAGGCATGTAAAGTCATAATTAAATGTGGAACTGCAAATGCCATGGTGCATTCTACTGCACCGAAACTATGCAACTGCAAAGGAAATTGTAGGAATTAACCCAAATAAAGTATTATCTTAGGGGTATCAATGCTGAAAATGTAACAAGGATAAATACGATGAATATTTTGTGTTTACTTTATCTCAGAACTGAAACATGAATTGCAGGACTCTTGCAATTTGATAAACATAAGACAGGAAATGTCCCATCATGCTTTACACAAGAGACTACAGATTTTTTTGAGTGTGCAGCAACAAAGCTTTATAAATTAAAAGACATATATATTAATTTTCTTCAAGCACATAACAGTGGATAAATAGTGAGATTTTTATGAGAAACACTGCTATTTTAACCTGTTGCTAGGTCATTGCTAACCATTATTAACCATTATTTCAAGCCGTTGCTAGGAAGTTGCTAGGGAAAATAGTCAGGCATAACTGCATCATTTATGCTTAAATACAATTTTTGTATGTTAAGAAATAATATGGAAGGGATCCAAAGGCATACAAGTGAGTATATAATAGGAATATGGTGTGCAAATGTCAAAATGGGCATTGTCACCTGTTGCCATGTTGTTGCTATGCAACATGGTCATGTCACTTCTGTAAATATGTTAAAATTGTTGTATTTTAGGAAAGGAAGACTTTTTGTAATGGTTTTAGAGCATTCTAGCATATATTAAGTGGATTCATATTGTAAAATATGTTATTTTAGATGGTTGCTATGTGGTTGCTAGGCAAATATATGATTTCACAAAAGATCAAACCCCTCAGATTAGAGCTTATCTTAGGGTCCAACTTTATGCCAAGTTTGGTTGCTCAACTTCCATTCTCCATTGGTGAATTATAGTGAGATAAGGAGTTTGAAATTTGAATTTTCTGTTAAGATTGTGTTAAAAAGCAGTAATAATGGGTATCCTCTGTATTCTCAATTATTTTTCTAAAAAGGGCTTTATAAAAAGGGCCCTGTCTCTAAAATGTCTTGAAATACATAGAACAATAAGAAAAAACTCCAAAACGAACTTTAGTATGAAAACGCAAGGTCCCTATGGGGGCCTTGCACCAATTGATTCCACTATATTAGATTCTTGCAATTAAAAAGAAGTTGCTTTTTTAGATACAGAAGCTTCACTGTAGTAGATATTTATAATTTCCTTTTTTGGGGAGGAGTATTGGGTCAAGAGGGTGCTTTCATATCTTCAGAAAATTTAAAGAGCTCTTTCAATGAGTTCATAAAAAGGTTTTCCATATTTTTTTTGGGGGGGGGGTTGGTTGCCAGAGGGGAAGGGAGGGATATAGGAGTGGTATAGGGTGTCCCCCTCTCCAGAAAATTTAACCATCTTAAGTTGCATTTTCAATTTCAAATTAACTCATTTTAGAATCCATCCATTGTTGTTCTACCCACAACACTGGTGATCCACTCGATTACGCTGGTTACCAAAACGAACCGTTTTTCTCGTTTCCTTATTATCCCATCAAACGAAGTTCGGAGGGATATAGGGAACGCCTCCTTCCGTCCGTCCGTACGTCCGTCCGTACGTCCGTCCGTCCGTCCGGGCAATAACTCAAATACCGTTTGCCCAATTTTATTCATATTTTGTACACATATACCCTATGGGGGTAGAAGTTCTGCTCGAAAGCCGATTTTCAAAATGGCCACTCATTTAAAAATGGCGGCCATTTTTGTGCCGATTTTACAGTAATTTAGGTGCAATATGTAAAACTGTAATAGCAATATGTTTTAAATGTAAAAAAATTATATAGGACATTAATAAAGCTAGAAATGTAGATATTAAAGAAGCACATGGCAGCCATCTTGAAAAATGGCGGCCTTTACTCGTTATTTCACGATTTTTGCTGTTACTCGAAAAGTAGTGGAGCGATTTTGTTCATATTTGGTATGTGAATACTATAGGCATGGCACACTGTCTAATGACACTTTTGGTAGAAGGTGGCCATTTTGAAAAATGGCTGACATTTTGAAAAATGGCCGCCATTTTAACTTATTTTACTAAAACTCGAAAAGTAGTGGAGCGATTTTGTTCATATTTGGTACGTAAATACGTATCAGCATGGCACACTGTCTAATGACACTTTTGGTAGAAGGCGGTCATTTTTCAAAATGGCCGCCATTTTAACGTGTTCATATTTGGTATGTGAATATTATAAGCATGGCACACTGTCTAATGACACTTTTGGTAGAAGGTGCCCGTTTTGAAAAATGTTCGATGGGATTCGCTACGCTTTGGCGTTGCCGTTGTTCTGGTTTTACACGCTGTAGGCAGAATTCCCACGACATTTTTTAACACAAACGTGTATCAGTATCATATGTTTAAGAAATTGTACATATTTGGGAACAAATAGTTCAGAAGACAACGGAATTGTCGATTTACTTCCTCACTTAAGTTGCATAAACGGTTTCGGTTAATAGTGCAGATCTTAACTGTTTTTCGAAAAACCGTTTATGTAACTTAAGTGAGGAAGTAAATCGACGATTCTGTTGTCTTCTGAGCTATTTTTTCGCAAACATGTACATTTTCTAAAACATATGATACTGATGAACGTTCTGAGAAAAAACGTCGTGGGGATTCTGCCTACAACGCGTGAAATAAGGAAAAAATAAAAATCGTGCCTTCGACGTTCCGACATTTTGTTACCAAAACAAACCGTTTTAGTAACCAGCGTAATCGAGTGGATCACTAGTGCACAAGTGTAAAATATTATAAAGTCAAGTATATTTACTTGTACGCATGTAGTGACATCTATATTTATGCCATAAACTATTTTACTTGCTTTGTTATTTCACTAAGCATTTCATTGTTATTCAAACACTTAGATGTCACTACCTAAATGGTGAACATACATGTACATATATACCATTTTTATGATATGAAGATAAATCTATACATGGATATTTAGACAACTACATGTCAACTGGTCCCTAATTTTAACCAATGAAATACTGCCAGCTAGATTGTATACACTTAGCATTTAATAAATGTTATTTTAAAAGTTTGACAGAAATTCTTATTCTTATGGATACACACTTCCAAGAAGAAATTTCATTTGATCCACTCATTAGAGTTTTCCAAATAATTTCATGTGTTGCAGGTCCAGTTATGAACGTGATGGATTTAGACTCCCTAGAGGCTGCTAGTATTCCAGATACCCCTAGTCCAGTACCCACACCCAGTAAGAGATCACACGCACAGAAAAATAAACCAAGTCCAAAAATGATTCTTGAAAAAGATTCCACATTCAATAAGCACACAAAGGATAAAACGAAACACAAGAGTAATTTAAAAGATAATGATATAATTAAATCAAAAGATAAAGACAAAGCGAGAGACAAATCAAAAGAAGCAACGACTAGTCTGTTCTACAGTATGGGACTACAGAGTGTCGATGATTTACTGGGTAGTGTAGACTCTGAGAAACAGATTCAGAGTGAAATGTCTGATATCCAAACAGTGCCAAGTGAAGTGCAATCTAGTTATAAATATGACAGTGATTTCGAGACTGATGCGCGAACAATGACACCAATGTCCATCAGATCAGGTGCACGAACCCAGAGCAGGCTCTCTGAGATATACACTGAGGATTTTGAGTCTGAACCCAGCGGGTCAAAATCACCTGTTAGCTCTGTGAGTGACCGCACTATGACAGAAGTTGATGAGACAGTTAGCGTTACATCCAGTGTGACGTTGCCTGATACTGGCAGTCCTCGCCCTGGAACGAAGATGTCTGAATACACAGATGAGTTTCACTCTGATATCAGTGAAAGTGTTGCGTCTAATTCTGATAAACATACCAGTTATTCTCAATCGAGTTATTCATCATCTTCGCTGTCAAAGAGTGAGAGGTTAGTTTTTATAGATATTTTTTGTATTTTATTGTTTATTATTAGTCTTGAAATACATTTTATTTCATATTTGTGAAACATTGTATAAATGGAATTAATATGTAATATGTATGAGATTTATATATAAATGTAAATGTGGTCCTCATTTAATTTGATAAAATTCATCCAATGAACAAAAAACGTTTCCTTTCAACCCTCTTTCAACTTGTGGAAAAGAAAAAATCACAAAGGGACATATTTGTATGTATGATTTATGTGGTAGCTGCTCAAGATCAGTGATAGCCAGATAGGTTTATAGTGATAGGTTTTGACTAAATACTATAGGTTCAACATTTTGAGAAAATTGAAAGAAAACATTCTGTGTTAACAAAACCACTGTATCTATAGCCAGAAAGTAATCATAGTGAAAGATATTACTGTCTAAAATCACTTACCATACCTCACATGGACCCCTTCTCATTAATTGTATTCATTGGTGCGCTATTATTCACCCTGTGTTTTGTTTTATTATCAAACATCAAGTAATTTGATTCTAATTTGCAAAAATCAGTTTTGGAAATGTTCATATTTTACAGAACTCCTCCAAAGAAAAGAAAAGATGAAAAGGAGACTTCTAAGAAGAAGAAAGCTGCTAAATCACGTACAGTTGAGGTACAAACAGGGGCAGATATTGCATTATCTTACCAATGGGATCCCACCCAGGGGCAGTCAGCGTACATGGGGGACAGATATGGTCTGCAGTATGTAGATCCCACCCCTATAGCCAGACAGGCTGTCAATGCCGATGCATTAGAAGGTAGGTCATTTATATGTGACTGGGTGTATAAGGTCTGTGGTTGGCAAAAATGAAAACAACTAGAAGTATTTAAAATGTACAAAACCATATTTTCATGAAATAAGTCTCTGTATTCCATACCTACTGAGGTTTTAGGTATAAAACAAGATATATAGTGTATCTAGGGGGTTGTCGCCAAGGCCCGGGTCTGGGATGGATTATACGCTGTATCCATCCAGGTCCCGCTCCTGAAAAGCGAACTCAGTTTATGTTTTACTCAATTTACAAAATAAAGATTATATTTCAAATATTATGCTGTAAATTTTAAATTTTAAATCAATTCATTGATCTGCCCCAGCAATAAACTTTATGCCAGTTAATTTGAAAAAAAAAAACCTTTTACTATTGCTCTCGATTAAAAACAATTTTTCACCGTTTGTATGGGTTTTTCAAATATTTTGTTAAAATTTTGCAAAGTGCAACAAATTGCACTAAAACGCCATTTCTAGATGTGAACCAATCGAAATTGTGTATTCCGAGATCTTATTTTTAAATATGGTGATATCATGAAATTATGACCTGAACTGAACAGGCTTCAATTTTTCCTAAACAGTCATAATTTGCAATACTAGGGTATAACTACCTTAATTAGCCATCCCTTTTTTAGCAAACTGATTTTGGAAATTTCACTGCTCTGAAAATCCAAGAGTCATAGGAAAACTTGAATTCAGCAGACAACATCTGGAAAATATCGATCAAATCATATTTGTAAAAACCACGAAATTATCCATACAATGAGTTAGGGAGAGAGAAACAGATCAAATATATTGATTTTGTTTTAGAAAAATTATCATTGAGAAGGGTATTCCCCTTGGTTTCTGATTCTATCTCATCAAACTTGATGTTATTTATTTATATCGATTATCTATTGTAAGGTCTGAAGAGGTCATGTCCAGAAACTTCAAGTCATAAAATTTGCTATTGTTTCATTCTAGGTACGTGAACTTCAAATATGAAGGTCACAATTTAAAAATGATAAGCCTATGTATGTAAGTGCTGTAGATTCAATTTTTTATCAAATGATTTGATTCAAGAATGTGGCCTTTTAATTGAAATTGATTACAGCTAACATGTTAACAAGACAATGCATGTACTCTGTACAATATGTTCTTTCACTCGAGTCTGAAATATAGACAATTTTTATTTATTTATTTTATTAAAATATCTAGAGTTTCGAAATTCACTGTAACTGACTGTCAAAAATTCTAGAGATGCTAATATTTTAAAAGCATACTTAAAGTTAACCTTTTCAAGACAAGTGGTTTCACATCTTTACTCTCCGAGACATTAATGGATCAAGACATTAAGAAGTACATGCACAAGTGGAATCTGAACAACAGAGTAACTTAAAGTGTAATACCATTTAGAATCAATATAAAATAATTGTGCCAATGATCAAGAAATTAATATCTATGAATATTTGTTTTTCAGAGCAGTGAAATTAAAAAAAAAAGTTACTAATTAAACACTTTTATGGTTAATAAAATTATAAGTAGAGGTTAGAGACACCTGGGAACAATTTTCTTTATTTTTAGGTGCTAAAATTACTTGAATAATCTTAGTTATGAAATCACTACACGTTGTATGTCCTTTTCATTAGATATTGCATTTTGATATATATACCCTCTTTGGCTTTTTGAAAGAGACCCTCTCAATATTTGGCATTTTAGCCATGGAGCCAATACACCAGATGCGAGTAGAAATAATCTTGATTTACTTCATTAAAAATTAAAAATTCTGTCAAAATGGTGTCATATTTCGAATCTACATGTAAAATTACATCTAGAAATGTGGTTTTGAAAAGAGATTATCAACTTTGAAAATTTAATTTTCTATGAAAATGTGACTTCTAGGTCGGGGAGATTCCCCGTTGACCCCATGTTGTAAAATCACAAAAAGTGAAATATCTTTCCTTGTGTTGGGCAGGTAATATTTTCTTTTAGTGGACATATTTTAATTTGTATAACTATCAGATACATATGGGTAATATGAAAAGTGGACCACTAAAACTGGTAATTATTCAAGTTTAAGGGAACTTTGTAATACCCTGCCATGTTACTTCCCCCGAATCAGCCACCTGGTGGAGAAAGTGGTAACTACCCACTCGCATCTGAGTTATTTTGGAATGTAATGGCCATATTGAGGAAGTGATGAGCTTAATATCTTTCTTGCTAATTCTGTGGTATTGAATTTCTTAGTTTTTCTGACCTTTTCTTGAACTCTGTATTATTACTTGTTCTATTGACTAGAATCCTAATGCCACGTTTTTTGTCATACATATTTTTCTTTTTTGGGACTTCAGTATCGATTTTATGATTAATGTACAACTAGGTCCAGTTTCGAATGATGACATTATCAGTTAAGATAATTTATTGGGGTTTAGGTGTATATATTCTTTACATATTATACCTTGTACTCTCTTTAATTAGTTAAGGATCCCACCAAATGAAGTTATAAGATGGATAAAGTGAAACTGTCCATCTGTCTGTCAGTCAGTTTTAGACGTAACCAAAAGCTTTAAGACTACTACCACATGAAATCTCCTGTTCAAGACCAAGAATTTAGCATGCTCATAATGCATTGTGTGTGTACCACACTATTATTGTTACCTTATATAGTTTTATATATATTTTTGTATGTTTAGTTTAGTTGGTGTTTTTTGTAGTTTACCATAGTTCTGACTAATGTAATCATGTTATGATACTATATGTTAGTAAAAGTTATAATAAGACCTCAATGCTAAACAATTGTGAAAAAGTTTTGCCTGTGAAATATGAATGTACTTTTCCATTTGAACAAATAGCGTCTTCGAAAATATTTTTTGAACCCAAAGATGCACGGCCTTAGCCCCAGCATTCAGAAATCCCCAAGTGGGTGTACCTCGAGGGGTTCACTGTATATAAAACTCGACGGGGGTCCTAGGCTGAATCCTCAGATATCAATTTATTCCCATACCAAAATGTCAAATTTGAATGTGTTCCCATACCAACCGATATAGTGCCCAAAAGCCATCCAAAATGCCCAAATATGAAACCAATGCCATACCAAATGTCAAGATATAGGACCAATGCCATACCAATGCCATGACTGGTCCAAAGTAGAATATTTCCTGGGGGAAAAGCTATTTATTTAAACTGAAGAAGGTCCCAAGAAGAAGGCGATCTTTGAGGAAAACGAACCAAAACAACCTCATATTAGGATATGTGTAACTACTAGACTAATTCCATACCATAATTGTGAGATAACATATTTTCCATGACCATTCTCATACCAGAAAGTTGAAAAATCTGACCATTTCCATCTCTCAAAAGTTTAATGAGGGGGCATTCTCATACCACATCCTAAAATTTGGGTCCATTGCCATACCAAATGTCCAAAAAGGTACCCCATGTGCGCCGAGGATCCCCGTCAAGGTTTATATACAGTGAACCCCCCGGGGGGTGTACCAACTCAAAATATAGCCCTACGCCCATGGATAGTAGATCACAAAACAACTTTTTTTGTTGAGATATATCCAAATTGCCATTTCCAAGTTGATTTGAAAGTAAAGTTTTATTATACTTTGAAAATGCGCTTTATTGTTGGCATCCTATGTTTGGTGGCCTTGGGTAGTCGTCACATAAAGCTTGACATTAAAATTCTTTGAGAACTGCTGATCCCTTCAACTTGAAATTTTACAGATGCAAGAGCAGACTAGTGTGACGATCTGATTAGGTTTTGGGCATACTGTGTAAATTACATCGTGGTCATTTTGCTCTTCAAAGTGTAATATTTTATCGCTGTTTGTCTTGTTAGAAAATGAAATTATAACAAATAGTAAATCTAGATTATATCTGAGGATTTTTATTCAATTAAAATATATAATAATGTAAATTACTATAATTTAATATAAATTAGTGTAATTTAATATAAATTAGTTAAGTTTAATATAAATTAGTAAATAATTTATACAATTAGTATAATAGAAAAAAGTATAATCGTGAATAATATTATAATATTAATATCAACAATATTCATATAATACCTATAATGATGTACATTTATTAGTATATTCTAAACTATTTGATTATCAAATGAGCATTATAATACATTACATTGATAATTATAAAATGAATGAAATTTCATACAGCATATATTTCCAGTATATTTGTGTTAATAAATAATTAACTGTGTATATATATATGTATAAAACTCCATGTTTATTTTATACATCTGCATAGAATACAAATTATCTATTTATTTACATTTCTATATATATGTTATATTAACATACAGAATTATCTAATAATTAAATTATAAGTGTTCATAAATAGTGTTCATTATAAGTGTTCATAAATAGTGTTCATTATAAGTGTTCATAGTGTTATATTATATTGATACAGATAAAACAACTATAAGTGTTCATAAAAAACTGATATGTTACAAGCTGACAATCTATCATCAAATACTAGATGATAGAAAGATCATATTTTAGATGAATACCATCTACTTAATATTCTATTGACGATACTGTCAATGTGTTTTAAATATAGACCTAAGTCTTATTTGTTTCCCATCTCAGTAAACAAGATCTCATGGAAATAAGCAACTTTCTTTGTGTCTCTAAGGATGATATAATCGCGATTGCGTCGCTGAGCTATATCAACAATATCTCTGTACTCGACTGACATCACATCTCTCGTCACGTGTCTGCCTAGGACAACTTCTTGGTGTCTCAGCTCTAAGTCGATGTTACACATCAGGCTGTATAATTTTTTCTCGATGGTCTCGACTTCCGTCTTGAACTCTCCATACTCCTTTGTGATTTCATCCAGGCGGACTTGTTCCATATGTACGGCCGCAAGTGAGAGGTTACGGTAGGCATCTACTAGAGATTCACTCACCTATAAGTGAAGAATTAAGTAACTGATTATTACATAATACATCAATATTATATATTACATAATAATGATAGCCTCGGAAGCTATACTTTCAACATATAGATGATTACAATAGATAAAGCAAACACATTATCATAAAAACCCAAATTTGGTCAGTTACTGTAGTTAGTTTTAAGTCAAAAGTCCTTTTTTAGGAATTTTTTCAAGATGTAAAAGATACAATAGAAATACATATTATTGTATGGTTTTGGCCAATAAATGGTCGTAACTGAACTTTGGTTTAGCCATATAATATGATCAATAATATTTATGTGCATGTGGAACTTTTACTGAATCATTTGTCTCAGTTACTCTAGCTCACGTGAGAGCTAGCAATAGTTTCTGGTGATTTTTTATTTTATTTAATGCTTGTAGCCTGCAAAGTGAGCTCATGGTTTTCTGATATACTAAATGTAGTCTTAATAAAGGATGATTGGTTTTCTCCTGAATCAATTATTGCTGGAGGCTGTATCTAATTTAATTGTCAGAAAATGACATATAACAAGGATGTTTTACTTACCGGTTTTGAAGAATAGAATGCAATATTCTCGGCAGAAGTGATGACATTGGGCATTCCAGCAAGATTAAATCCTTCTAAATTTTCTGGGTAGGTGGGGTCCATGAATCTCTTTGACACCTAGAATGATATAGATATTGTACTGTAAAATAAGTCATGCTGACTTAAGCATGGGCTTAAGCATAGTCTAGCTGCAAGCCATTGTGGCCCACCAATTAATTACACAATACCACCACTGGAGGGGGGGGAGTCTAGACTTGAAGCAAGACTAACTGAAAACTGATGGATGGAATGTTTTTATCCTATCCTATTCCCCCCCCCCCCTTCTGATTCAAAAGTTAATCATGTGGTGTTTATATTTTATTATGCCATTTTTATTACAATTTATTTTATTGTTATTACAATTTATTTCATTGTTTTTATCTCACTTAGAAATAAGGATTTTTGTTGAAATGTTCACTTTATTTACCTTGTTTTTTCATAATTTCTACTCTCAGACTTTTTAGGAAATTGTTGCATTTATGTTTTCTTAACCTTGCCCTTTGATACTATAGCAGTACATGCCGAGTACATTTTGGCAAAGTGTTTGTTCAAGGGGATATTGACCTAGGTTCTAGCCTATAGCATTGAAATATTTCATATCACGTGACAAAACAAACTCCATATAAAGCTTTCAATGAAATTCTGAGAAATCCAAATATAAGCAGTTCTGAGAAATCTACTGTATCTGAATAAAAAATCGGTCAAATCATTATAAAATATTATTTTATGTCTCCCTTTGCTAAAATATACTTTTGCAATCTATTGTGCATTAAATTTTTAACAGTCGAGCTACTGATTTATTTAAAATTGAAAGAGAAATGAACACCAGGTATCTTTGTGAAGTAAAAGGCTCATGATCAAGCAACATCCAGTTCTGAGAAATGAAACTTGAAATTGCATTATTGATGAATGACTAAGGGCTTCCACCAGTTTATTGTTAAACAAATCTGTCGATTTATGATGAATCAATGGAATTCTCTGGTTTTGGAAGCTGGTTAGTTGACTACCCCAATATCAAATTACTTTTTCAATTTTACGATTGTTTTTTTAGCAGTTTTGTAAGTTGAGATGATTTATGTTCTATTTTTGAACAATTTAGAATAGTTTATTTAAATCTGTAATTTATTTAAATCTTCGAGTATAAGGATAAAGGCATAATTATGAATAATATCCATGAAATATTTCTCTTTGGAAAATTAATCTGATTTCACAATTATTTTTCCTCTGTTGTAACAAAGAAATACTTTTTCAGAATTTTTTTTGTTGCATTTGGCTCCATTGAATTAAGAACATCAAAAAACAATATTGTACTTACATAAAGGGACATCATATGCTGGGTTGAATCCTTAACTCGAACCGATAGGTTGCCTAGAACCTTCATTGTTTCCGATATTGGCACGGGTGAAGGAGTTGGAACTCCATCCCATGGGTCTTCAGTCACTGCAGCTAGGCTATCTCCACATGGGTCTGCCCATGGCAATGGGGTCGTTGGATTTCCCATGACAGGACTGAATGTTAGCATCATCAGTAGCACTGATTCAAAGATACATCTAAGGTTGGCTGAAAATGAATTTAATTAGATTGAATTCATTTCATAAAGTAGCAAATAGTGAATTCACAAATGAAACAAGTTCTCTTTCGGGAGATTATTGTATGATTTCAAGCTCATGTCCTGAGGCATAGTAACTCATTCCTCATATAAAAAGTTTTTGCTAGAGTTAAAAAGTTAATTGCTAGAGTTAAAAAAAGTTAAAAATAAGAAATTAATTTTTCAATATTTTTATAAGTCTTACCTTTGAGTTGCATATTTCAAGTCAAATTGTGAAGTTGTTATAATTCTCTGTAGATTTCCTTCTTGTTGAAGTGAATTCAGTTGTTGTTGTTTAAGTCTCAAAATTGTGAATGAAAATTACAGAAACATACCTCATTTTATATCATACAGCTTACAGATTTCCTCAGGCTCATTTTCTGATGGTCATCTTTTTCCAGTTCTTGTTCACCCACACTAGTAACCAGGCACGGAAACTCCAGTTTCAGTTTGTAATGTGTATAGTAATATCACATAAGTATGTATCACTCAAGGGTTAAATGTCAAGTACTACTCATGTGCCAATCAATACATTAGAGTTCAAATCAATTGTATTAGCTTTTTTGATAACCTTGTCAATTTAACTGTCAATTATTTAAAATTCCTCTTACATGTAGATCAAAGGTATAAATATGTTTCATTTCTGGGAATTGAGGGATGGATTAGTCGATATATACATAGATACATATACTATACCAAAATTGAACAGGATTTTGATTTATTATAGAGGATTTTATTTATTTAAGGCACCTATATGGTCAAATGCTATATTTGGATTCTATATTATGTAGGTGTTATACTGAAACAGTCCACTTAAATTTACCTGCAATTAATAAAAGTCATAGTCACCTGAATATGGTATTGAAACTGAGAAATCAATTAATTAATTATTATTATTATTTAATCTTTGTATTATGGCTCTCATATATGATTATTTCTTATAATATATGTGAAAAAATCGTTCTCGACACCCGTGTATTAGAACTGCTTGGTTATCATTTTATGAACTACATGTAATATGTTTTTAATATGTATTTGTGAAGCAAATCTGTACTTAGAGCCTATGGGATCGACCAGGATTCAGTCCATTGGTCCTTTTATATCTTCTTGTTAGATTATGTAAATTCATTTTTTTTGCAATTGATCTCAAAGGATGATTTGATTTTTTGAAAACTGATTCTGGAGTTAGATCAGTCCTGTAAAGAAAGGATGAACAGTTGCATGGAAAAAATCATACCTGAACTTTTGAGACCTTATATAAATGTAATTAGAAATGGTAAAAAGTGTTTAAAGCTGTGACTATTATCTACTCTGTCTTTGATTCCTTACTTTCTCAACTTTACTAAGTTAAATGTCTTGGCTGTATTGACTATGTGTGGTCCTTATGTCTTTTTTACAAGAAACATATAATTTGTAGGAGCCTTTTTAGAGTTCCTGATAATTCGCAAAACAAGTAAAAACAGGCAAAATTCCTTAAAACAACAGGCAATTTCGATAATTGAAAAAATCACTTGTCTACATCTTCTGAGACCACTGCAGTTTGAGTATAGAATGTTGTTTTGGTTAATGTCTTGTTATGGAAGAAATTGCTATGGTTTCCAACTTTTTGTGGATGGTGTTTGACATTCGACAGTCATCATTCAGCATCTGGCATCAAATGGCAGGTATTTTGCGTGTTAATGCCTTATTTTCCTAATGTTGCCATTTGTTCATTTTCCTTGTGATTGTACATACTAGAGTCCCCCTCCCTTGAATAAACATAGCATATAGTACCATAATATGATTAAGCATCTTCCATGTAAAATGTATTCTGATTCAGAGATTACATCTGGAATATCAAGGATATTTCATTTTTCCATTTTGATTCTGAATAATCGTTATTTTGTTTACATGACAATAAAATAAATATATGATGTCCTCATTCACGAGGAAGCCCTTAAGGTAGATGACAATGAATGACCCCTCAATAAAAAGGGATGTACTATCAGCATGAATATATATATTTTTCTTGAATTTTAATCAGTAAAAAATCTTGAGTCTGTAAAAGGATGTAAAGTAAATATATATCTTCATTTACAAAGAATCTCTTTAGTAAATGACAATGAGTGACCCCTCAATAAAAAGGGATGTACTATCATAAATGTATCCACAATGTCACTTTTTACGAGTAGGATTTCTTTGAATTATAAGGGACGAGAACCTGATATTTCCTTGTCAAATCAAGTGATCTTATTATTATTTCAGTGTGTATGAAAATACTGCAATCATAATTCAGTCATCATTCTGAATGATGACTATCTTAAGAAATAAGATATGATAGCAACACAAATTAAGTTTTAGTAAATATGATCTAAGGGACCTGTACTCTAAAATAGAATATTTCATTGCTAAAACATCCTGTATGGAGTAATACTAACAGATTAGTTCTTTTTTGTCTAACCCCCCCCCCCTCCCCCCTAAAGGCAGTGTCTAATGCTAATATCAACCCATTCCATGTGGGAACACCCCAAGTATCATATATGAATATGAGATATATTGGTATTTGGCATGGGTGACATATTAGTCACAGGTATGTCTCTTTAATGATCTGAAATTGAAAAATATATTTCTTTGAGTAATATGCACGTTGACACACTTTATGTAAGTTCATCACAAAACTAGAAGATGAAATATTCTAGATTTGTCAGGATCTTGATTTGAAATTGAAAAAAAGATATTTCATTGAGTAATATGCTCATTGAGACACTTTATGTATATTTATTTATTAACTTAAGAAACAGCAGATAACAGAAGTAAAAAATTGTAGATTTATCAAGATATGAAATCTGAAACAGCATTGTCAAGATGTTAGGTAGACACAATTTGGGATTTTGGACACTATCAATTAAATGAGTACATAATCCATATACTCATTCTTCCTTGTGAACAAGGAGTGCCCAAAGTTATCCATACCTTCAGGCTGCATCCACCTACACAAAAAGCACACTCAAAACACATTGTACAGATATTGGGAGAAACTTATATTTTATATGAATGAAAAAGAAAATGAAAATAAGCAATGAATCAATAATTTGAGATGAAGGAATCACAGAGACTGAATCAGGCTTTACAGTATATGCCAGCAGCTAGAACAAATATATATACAAGATAGTTTACATTGTAGATTCTTCAATTCCTTTGTTTTAAAAATTATTAATTGTTTTAATAAATCCATTAGGATTAGTACTTATGAGTGATAAGGCACATCTTTGTTAAAATAAAGGAAAAATTATGAAAATGAAATAAGTTATAGATTTCAATTTCCTTTATGATAAGGAAATATTAGTAAAGCTGAATTGAATTGAAAATTTGAAAATAATTGAAGTAAACAAAAAGGGGTTTAGTTGTTAAATGAATTCTAGGTGATAAAAATAACAAAATATTGCTTCTGGGACAAGATCAAACAACTAAATTACATATTCTTTATCCTACCTGTTTTGTATTTTAACAATCAACACAGGTATATTTCAGCAGATATCGGATAAATTCATAAAAATACTTTTTCGATTGCTAAAATTATCGATTATAAAACCGGAAGTGCGTTCTGTGACGTCCGCGTGTGGATATTTCAATTATTCAGATTTTGCTGTGGATTCGACTCAAAAATTCACTTTCTCATAATAAAGATGAGCTGAAAGTTGACTTGAACACCTTTCAATCCCCAGTGTAAATATCGCTTTTCAAGGTTCAATAGGCGACTTTGAATGGACTTTCATGCATAGTTTGAAAATAGAATCACCAGAGAAGGTTTTAAACCATGAAATCGACTCTAAAGCCTGAGAAAATGTTTTTTAACCATTTTGTCAGCTGTATGTTACAGTATGCCTTTAAATCCTTAATTACAGTCTGTTTGCTCTCACAACTGACCCCTGATTACCATACCAATTTCTAAGATCGCCCTATTTTATATACCAGAGAAAGAAAATCCATAGAATTTTGAACAATGTACTGTTTTTTAACCAACATTATATTCGAGGTAATGAACTGGTTATACATAGGTGAACTACCTTGCAAGCAAATAATTACATGAAAATTAATATTTTCACCTGAAAGTTAGCAGGTGCTTATTGTCAATGCAAGGATTTCTTTCAAGCTTTGAATTTTAAAAGACATATTTTTTAAGTATTTTTGTGTTAATTAGAATTAAAATCACATATTCGGGTTAGACCTACACAGCATCTTTAATTTTGATAAAAAAAGCTTCGTAATTTAGGATTTTTGAGGTACAGTATATGTGTTACTGTTAACCCTGCTGTAACAGGAACCATCGCCTTTTAAGTAAATATGTTGTCTTATATTTTTCAGCTATGACATCCTACAACCCGGCAATGTTAGCCTTGAATGAGATGATGAGAGAACAGTTAAGGTTGACTCAGCAATTTATGCAGTCACAAAAATATCTCCATCAATCATTGGCACCATCTATTGACCAGAGTGACTACAAATACACCACACTAGAAGATACTAAACAGGTTTGGAAGATTTTTCTTTAGAAATTTATTTATGTCATGAATATAATCTTCCTACATGTATAAAGAAGAAAGCTCAACATTTGTTAACTTTTGTAATAAAAAAAACACAAAGGGTAACACTTGGAAAACAAATCGATTTAATCTATAGACACTTTGAAAATAAAGCTAACGAGAAAATTCAGCACAAAACCCAAAATAAGTTATTTTTGTAAAGATTTAGTTTAAAGATGAATGATTCATAGGATATATCCATTTTTAAGATGAAAAAGTCAAAATTTCTTTAAGTAGTACACAATTGAAATAGTTTGATAAAAAGATATACATTGTAAGTATTATTGGTGAATTTTGCACTAAACTTGTATAAATGTACCTCTTTTGAAGGTGCAAAAGTTCAAATTTCCCTCCATTTTCCATAATTTGGAAATCCGCAGTCAATAAATTTTTGATCGCTCATGACACCCCTGGAAGTGATTTATCTTTAAAATGTTAAATTTTACATGGGATGATTTTTAACATATATCATATGATATTCATCTTTGAACTTTGGTATTGTTTTTTGGCCCACCTTGTATGTTTATATATAAGGACATACCACTATTGCAAAGTCTAAATAGACGCCTCAACTTCAGAGAACCATCACTCTAATCAATGATCATTTCCACTGGCCTATAAAGTGGAAATGGTTTATTGAAGGGCGCACATTAGGTTGATGAGCTTCCTCACGATGTAAATGTTGCATTGTGTTTTGTAGTATATACGACGTGAGAGGAAAAAGAGGAAGAAACTGACGTTTGAAGAGGCATTGAAGATGGTTCAACAGGAGATGGATGATAGATATTGAAAACTCTATTCACTAGTGCCATCTTTATGAAAACATTAAATACAGATTTGTATTACTTGAAAATATGTCATTGGAACGTTGACTTTGCATTGATAAATGTATGACCAGCCAACCAGGAGTTCAATGATGGTAGAGGTAATGAAGAATTTCAGTTTATCTTCATTATTTATATCATTAGATTCGGACTTCAATATATGGACACTAAAATCACTTTTTGGAGGTCAATTTTTTTCATGGAGAATGACAGGGTCAATGTATTGGTGATGGGAGGGGGGGGGGTTAAAGTCCATCATATTCTCTTATTGCATGTTGATTTCTAATAGGAAGGGACTTTTAATTTGATGAAATTGAAAAAAGTTCAATATCATATTGAAGGAGGGATGTTATATATTACATTTTGGACAGATATAAATATATTGGCCTATTCTTTTGAAAATGTTGGTCCTAGAATATTCTCTGAGTTCCAAAATGTTGCTCAACAACTGTGTCACACAACAAGATGAGCTGTCTTCTTGTAGCAGATTTTATGTGATATTTGGTTTCCTCTATTAAGACCCTTTTTATATGATATTATTCATACCATGTGCAGTTAGGTCTTACTTTTTGAAATATGTAACTAGTATTTATCTAACAACTTATTGGCAATATGAGTTCCTTGCTTTTATAATCAAGGCACCAATCTGCGTTAATTGTATTATAATCAGTGATGCAACCAAGACACTTGTGTTCCTGTAAATAGATAATTATTACAAAGGCACCTTGTATCTTCAGAATAGTGTCTTGGTTACAAAAGGGAGGAAATCAAACTGACAAAATATGTGTATGTATTTTGTCATGACATGAACAGTAATTACACATTTTCCATCTGCTTTCATTTATGGATAAAATCACATAAGAAATGGGTTAAGATTGAGAAAATGAAATATCTGCCAAAATCTGCTTCTGGAAAGGCAAATAATCTTGTTACAAAGACATATAGTGTCTTGGCAACACATTGAGAGTTGGTGAATAGAGTGATTGACATTTAGCATGACTTTTAGTCCAGAAAGAAGAATACTCAACTAATTGAATTGAAAATTGCATCAATGTTTAAACCTGTCTTGTGTGTATATGCCAAGTATATTAGGGTATCGTCAATAAATTATAACAGGATAACGCATGCTGGCATGCTTTGAATTTAAGCTTGGTGTAAAATTTAGATGACCTTTTTGGTTATTAATGAATTTAGTTTCCTCATACTGATGATAAAAACAAAATTATCTGTCTTATTTATTGTTTATTATATTACTACATGTTTATGAGCTTCATATGGAATGTATGTAAAATAATTGGTGCTATCAGATGTATTAAACTCTCTCAGGGAATAAAACATGAAAAAACATTTAAAAGAGATGATGGATTGTTTTGACATTTGTGTTGGCTGTTAGAAGTCCAATTTTCAATCCAATTTTCATTCCAATTGTTATATTCTGGAAGTGTGTAGGCATGATATTGTTTTATACAGGGTGTGATACTCATACTAGAAGCTTCTTTGAGGCATAGAGAGTCATAGCATTTTTACCTAAGGCTATGTAATAATAACACTCAATGACTATTGTGTGTTTACTAAGTTAAACTCTTGAATTATTCCCCCTCGGCTTAATTCCACAATTCCATAGATCACTAATGTCACAATCGGAGCCAAGTTGATACCAAATGAGATAGAATTGTGGAAAAAACTAGAATTGATGTTGATAAAGAGCATGAGGTTGAACCAGTAGCAGACTGCTGTATATACTACAACACCCAAGCAGACCATGCCACACAGCGAGGTTCATGGGAGGTACCAGCAGGATTAGAGACTGAAAAAATGAAGCTATTTCTGGTATTAGATAATTTTACATGCAAGTGACCATTGCATGTCAAAGGTGAGTGAACTTTGGACTGACAGAATTCAGATCCTATGAATATTCTCTTAAATGTCAATTGGAAGTTTGGTGACAGACGGAAATTCAAATTAATTTGCATGAAAGGAAGATACAAACTGAAATATTGAGAGTTTGTATTGTGTAAGGGTTTGTACTGTTACCTAACAAAAACAAAGTTGTTCACTTATTTAATTTCCAGTTATTAGAAAGCAATAATTAAGTTATAATTGAAGGTTAAACTAACCTCAATATCCCTTTACTTTATTACAAAATTAAACATCTAATTAATTAATTGTTATATATTTCACTACTAGTATTTAATGTTCATTGACTTTTATTACATTGCCTTGGGTACTATCAGTCTGTCAAACCAATCACTTCAATTTGTTAAACACAGTTGTATTTTAAGTTTACCTAAAATTGATCTTACAAAATGCTCAAGATGTATATTAAGTATAAGTAATTTCACCTGTTTGATAATTGTATAAGAACTGTAGAGTTGGTGTCTTAAATGTAACAGCTTTAAGTTCCATATTGTGGATTACATGTTACCTTTGTATGAAATATGTATTGGAATCCCCCTTTGGCTAAACTTTGACCAACATGGCAATAGGGTCTTTTTGGGGCACATTGAGGGAGTCTTCTAGAATTTATACATGATGTGTCTATCAATGGCTCTTCTCAGTGGATTATCGCTGCATTTTTGGTAATTTTAACTTCAACTGATCATTGCAGTGTTCTAAAAGTTTCAACCAATGAACAATTTATTTCCACACAAAAATTGGTTGGTTTTGCTTTCAGACACAATTTCACAAGTTAACAATAGAAGACCATATTGCATTGTTTTTCAGGCTGTTGCAGCTTCGCATTGCTCCACATAACGACATCCTGCCAAAAATACCCAATGGGCCAAGCCAGGAGTCACATGACCAAAAACAATCGAGAGCATTTGAAAGCTAGACACAAGCGTTCAGTTGATAATTTACATACACAGCCAGTAACCACCAGTGTTGATTTTGGGTCACAGACTGATTTATATATTAATCCAGAGATCAGAGGGTCACCAAGGTCAGCTGATAGCACACCAGATATTGTTGGCCACACGAGTGCTACACAATTGAAACAACGATTGTTGAAAGAGATTTATAAAACACCATGGACGCTTGAGGGCAGACGTAAACTTCTGAAACATATCATAGCTGTCTATCATCCAGAGTGGCAGCTCAGACATAGTCGTTATCGTAAAACAAGAAAAATGACCAATAGACGTCTTCTTAAGTATGATACGTTCGATAAGTTGAGTCGCTCGCAGTCTTATGAACATCTGTTTGATGAACAGTTGGAGAATTATGATAAAGACAATTACAGCTCTAATAATCTCTTCAGATCTAAATCAAGTGAGAATCTTCCCGAGGATGTTATTATTGTGACTGAGAGACCACAACATTTAGTTGGTCCACCTAAGCCAAAGAGACTTGCACAGAAAGATAGACACTGGCTGGATTGCGTTGATGAATATTCAAAAACATATGGAGGTGCAAAAGTGAAGACTTCTCCATTGAACTCTTCTTCATCAAGCAAAGTAATAACCACTAGGCATATTACAAGTGATAATCCATCACCTGGTAAAACATCTTTGAAACAAGGACTCATAAAGGTAACCCCTGTGAATAAATTACAACCAACTAGACCTTTAACAAAGCCCAACAAGACAGAGAAGGTTACATCATATTTGACACTTTCACCTCAACAGCCAAAGAGGTTAGCAGTAAACCCAGTGTTACCTGCTAGATCTGGTAAGAATCAGAGAATAACATCTAGAATATACACTTCAAATATGTCTACTAATCCAAACAGTGAACAAGTCCAGAATGATGACAGCTCTACTCCATATGCCACTATTGATCATAGCATGTTTAAGCAACAGGGCCAAGGGAGTTCTGTGCAGCATGTTGGGAACGATAATAATATTGACAATAAGGTTATTTATTCAACAGTGAACAAATCTGGTGAATTACGTGATAAAGTTGAAATTGAGGAAAAGACTGTCACTGAAGTTGCAGATCAGACTCTATTTGCGATGGACAAAAAAGCATTTGCACTAATGCAAGAAGCCCATGATATAGCTGATGGAAAGAAGAAATTCTTTTTTGATCAAGTTGATAAAGTTGAAAATGGTTCGTCTACCCAAAATGAAATGGACATGGTGGTCACTGACAGTCAAGGTCACACAAAGAGACTCCGATATTCTGACAATAAAGCCCCAGCTGATAACAATGAATCTCATTCTAACTCTTATCATAGTGTCACAAAAGTCACTCAGAACCATGTTGATTTGGATGCAAAGAATGAAGTTGATCTGACCCCTCCTACACCCCCAAGTCCTGGCAGTGGAAAGATGTCCCCTAAGGTGAGCTTCTCTCCCAGTATTGAGATCATTCCTAGAATGGGGGAGGAAGAAGCATTTGCTAAGTCACTAGAACAACAGATTTCGCAGCAAAGAGGCAGCATAGAAGATCTTGCTACAGCAATGGATGACCAAGACATCACCATTGAGGAAGAAGAGGAGGTAACACAACATAAGGCTACTATTGAACAACCAGAGAGTGTCACCAACTGGTCTATTTATCCACATAATGGTTCAATCAGCACGCCAAGTGTCTCTCTGAAGTCATTTGGTTCTCAGGAATCACTGAATTCTACTAATGCTATTGATGGCTCAGACTCCATAAGAGATGACTCATCGTCTTCTCAGAAGTACAACTACATGGAAGTGAAAGGTTCAAGTAGCAATGTGAGGGAAGTTTCAAGATCACCAGAGCCCAAGTTACCCCCTTTGCCACGTGTAGAGGACTCAAAATCGCCAGAACCTGGGGTTTCTCCTCTGCCACAGTCACCTCATGTACATTCCCCACAACGAATTGCTTCCCCATCTAGTGCACCTATCAGGTCATCACCACAGCATGTTGAACCCACTGGGCAATCCCTTACTGTACCACGACGTGATTTATCCCCAGTCAACACATCCTGGGTTGAGCCTAGCCCCCACGTGTCAACCGGAGCGAGTACATTGACGGCAAGCACAGTGACGTACAACCAACATGACTCATGTAATGATAACGTAAATGTACATATATCTCAGCTGTCACCATCAACCGCTAATCAGGCCCTCGAGGCAACATATTCTGAAGTAAAGCATGCAAAGAAAGTGCCTATCAAAGTTGAAGTGACTAAAAATAAATTCAATCGATCTACTATCAATGCAAGTGTATCTCCTTACAACTTGAACGATGTAGTTCAACCCAAATCAACATCAGTCAGCACTGTCCGACATGAACCTGTGTTTTCCAAACCTTATATTCAAAATAACAAAGTTGACGTTGAGATCAAACACGTTGGTTCCCCACAGAAAGTTAAAACAGAAACAGTCAGCATGGCTGTTAGTGATGAACTTGAATTGAAGTTTAAAAAACGCAGAGGAGCTGATCGGGAGCATTTTAATAAACCAATAGAGACTGTTGAGATTTCCTCACCACCTGTTCAAAGTACAAGCACCTCGTCTTTAAGTTCGACAAGTGGAGCTCATGATAAAACATATGTCACCGAGACACTGAATAAAACATATGTCGCTGAACCATGTGTTACGTATGAGTTTAGGCCGAGTGTACATACCCAGACGCACCACGACGATCAAGATATCAACGTTAACACGCAACATCAGCATATTAATAGTAGCAATACAGAAGAAAGAAACCTCCACAGGAGTGAAATACAGTTTCAACCAAATAAAGCGTCAATTGCCTCTCAGTCGAGAACAATAGAATCTATCAAGTCTCAAAAAGAACCATATAGACGTCCAGGAGAAGTGATAATTGAGACTCATTGTACGAGTGGTAACGTTAAAGCTGTCAATGAAAGCGGTGATAAACTAACGCGTATTAACCCAACATTTGCTGTTGGGGATGACGAGCCTTATGGTATTCATGTAACTGATGTTAAAACTGAACGCACCGTTAAAGAACCCCGACCCCCAACTGATTCTCCTAAACTGGATCAACTGAAAGAACTTCACAAACAAATAACGCTTTTATCAGGCGGGGCAGCCCATGCGCAAGTATCATCTCAAACTGACCCTTCTCACGAAGCTCGCATTGACATTCAGCCACGTCCACTTCTTGATGGACATCCACGCCAACATAACCCTCTCGTAGAACAGCTAGAAGAGATAATGGCCGAGATCGAGTTGAAAAGGAAACAACGTGAACTTACAGAGCAATCACGTAAAAGACCGGATATGGCCGAACGGTTCCACATTGAAAATCAACTGAAGAAGGATTACGGTGGAACTGATAGTGAGCCAAAGAAATCACAAAAGTTGGTCGTGCTAAGATCATCAGAAGACTCGACGTCTGATTTAGTCCCTGCTCAGCCAGAGGGGGAAATTTCGCATGATTCGTTTGCTGAAGAAGAAACTAATGTCACATACCAATCGGTGACACAGCAAGATGTTGGGCAAAAATCAGGAAAGACGAAGGATATGATGAAAGTCACAGAGGTGAAGGTTGAAAAGGTGTACAAGACTGTTGAAATTTTACCAACAGGGGAACAACTAGATGCCATTGAAGGAAGAAAAAGTACAATTTCTCAAGAAATGTTAGAATACGTTAACCAGAAACAAGCAGAAGCTGCGGCCCAAAGGCGATCTCAAACATCATCATACAGTGAATCGTCCGAGTTCAATAAATACAATGGTGCAGACGACACCACTAGAGGGCGAACTGACTCTAACCACAACCATCAAGAAATAGACGAGGACTTACTGAGGGAAATATTACGACTTCACAAAGAAAAGTCATCTAGGTTCAAACCAAGAGAATACGATGAAGATGAGCAGTCTATTTACCTCAGCGACGAAGAGCCTGATGAAGTAGAAATTGAAGGAGTGATTTATAAACGCATGCACCCTGACTTGCGCATGTTGACGGCAGAGGAATTAGAGGCGTACGTCAGGCAATATATGTATGAACATACGAAAAGTACAAGTTTGTAGAGATCTAGATGAACATCGGACCTTTTGATGAGTTGCAAAATCGTAGATGTATGTATCACGTACTGGCCAGGGAGTGTATAGCAATGATAACTTTTGTATATAATATAGTAATGGAAAGTAAAGACCTGCATACAATATTGAAACGAAACAATAAATGTAAATATACAGTACATATTTTTAAGAAAAATATATAATGACAATAACATTGATAAGACAATGTGATTAAGCTTATAAAGGAACAACCAACACATGTTACTTTTTTCAATGACGTTTACTTCATTTTCATAATAAGCATCTCTACGATATTAAATTGTTAAATTGAAATCATCTGCTTTATTTTTAAGGGTCTCTTTTTACTATGCTAATTCTGTTCAGATATTGGTAAAGATGATTGCCAATTTTGTTGCAAATACAAGAAACTTATTCTACACTAAGTGTACTAAATGAATAGCATTAAAAATAAATTTGATATCTATTGGCAAAATGAATAAACGGGGATTTTGTTACGATATACTGCGCTTGTTGATTCCCAACAATTTATTTTTCAATGATTTTATACATTTAGTACACTAATTGGAGGATAAAAAGAATATCCTATACTTTTTCGTGTAAATATCAAAATGACCTCGTAGATAAAGATGATATTCCTCAAAATCATAGGATATTTTATAAATATTAAATTAAGATGGACGGCCTTTGGGACCGATCATATAAAAATATTACATGAAATATACGTACACGTATACATATACGTACATTATTCAAGTATATCAAACTATCGGACTATCTGATCGCATTGTGTATAAATAATAGATGTAAATATGAAAAAAATATATTTTGGTGTCAGTTATAACGGTGTTTAGACGTTATGTTCTTATTCTTGGCAATGGCCATGGGTATGTTTAAAGCCCAACAAGGAATGTGCTGTGTCAGACCCACCTGTCCCAATCGTAATAATAGAGAGGATAAGCTACACGTTTTAAGCCAAGGGAACTTGTGCGTGAAACTGTCCTCCTTTCATATGGGTTTTCCAGGGACCAAATTACAACTATTTTCCTCGTTCCTTTATGCCCAACGAGGCAAGTAAATACTTCAAAGGGGAGGGGCTATACCGAGATGACCATAATTCTACCCAAGTTCTTATAAACGTATAGCTTTACCTCCCTCAAAACGGAGACATTGAGAAACACCAATGCCTATCACATCGGTGGATCTTCTGTCTTCTTGTGATTACGATCGCCAGATTAAAGGTTTTTATATCATTCCAGATCATATCTTTCTGTTATTCAAATTCAGTTGATATGTTTCATATTATATGTTGGTACACTATGGTTATGATTATGCTGATTTTTCAGTTTCGAAATTCTTCATGAAAATGAAAATTCACTTTTACGCTATTGATCTACATAAATATAAAAGAGTTAGTGTATAAGATGTATATTATTATGTCTTATACAATTCCCATTTGTGCTACACGAGCAAAGTTAAAAAATAGATTTTAAAATCATCATCATAGAGGGTGGGATAAAAACACTCATATTTTCATTGGCGATAACTAGTTGTCCCTCAAATAACACAGGTGTAAAAGGGTAGGAGGTCCCATCAAATTATGGTCCTACTCTCCATTGATTTATATGGTGACCTAAATACAACTCTTTCCCTCATAATCTTATACACAATCAGGGCCAGTAAGGGCCGTTAAGAAAGGGGACCATAATCCCTGGGGGACCATCATTTCTTTCACACCGGATTGGCATATTATCTAATCTGTCATAGATTTTGAAATTATTTGCAGACAAAAATGGATCACAAGAGAATAAGACGAAGAACAAATAATCAAATAATTCGACATTATGAAAATGGTACTAGTTGAGCCATGAAAGCCCATGGAGCCATGAGCCTACAAATTATAAAGCTCTTCAGAACTCAGATTAGACTTTGGTAATCTTACTGACCAAAAACAAAACATCCGACTCGTTGATTTTTGACCCTAGGAATATGGCCTACCAGTTTTGTTTTTCTCGAATTTGCACTAGTCCATGGAATGTTCCTTTTTGGTTTCAACACACTCCGAAATGCTTCAATTCTAAAAGAGTTGAAACTTGAATATATTATAAATTGATTGCTGCACCTCTATTGCGGGATCCACAGCCTTACCCCCCTATCACACGTTTTGACGATCACCCGAAAATTTTGAGCATGCTCTAAGTGCTGGAGGATCTACTCGTTCTAGTAGTTTCATGAAGTTTGTAAACAGATCCCAAATGGTTCTTAGTGGGTTCTTAGTACGTCAAATCCGTTCGTGCACAGTTTGAGCCCGTTTTCGAGAACGTAGTGAGAACTAGTTTGGTGTGATAGTAGGGTTATCATCCATTGGAACTTTCAAGCCTTAAGCTTAAGATTGAAGGGCAAAATATTATTGAAATCCATGCAAAATGAAAATATTGACGTTTTGGAGCCACCCCCCCCCCCTCGGCGATGAATTTGGTGAAAAGCATGCAAAATTGGCAAAGGATAGGTATCGATATGGTGAACTGAATTCAACAATGTATTTCTCTTTTTAAATCAATTATTGAAAACATTCTGTAAAAAATACGGTCCTTTATGTAATGTTGACTGATTGGCAACAACTTAATGCAAAAATTATTTATCATCTTTTGTTTTTAATGCATTTGTTTTTTGTTTCTTTCTACCAATTCTTGAGAATGAAATAAAATGTCTATCTGAACCTTGTTGGAACAAAATAGCATATGCAACACTTTCTAAGACCTCTCAATATTATAGGTTTACAAAATGAAAGGAGGGCGAGTTGTTTGTAGAATGAATCGGGGGATTTTTTTCATGAATTTTGCTTATGTTTTTCATCCCAAAAACATCAATACACTTTAAAACATTTTGTTTACTTTAAGATTACACCATGTAATCCAAAAATATATTTCTCGTTTTCAAAGATAATCCATGGATTAACACCAAGATATTTTTATTTTTCAAACTTCAGAGGGCTGGGAATCATTGATGCTCAACGCTTTTGAATATGATAAATGCTGTTTTAAATAGGTTTTACGTATGCCAATAATTTCTCAAATTATGTAAGCTGAATGCATTCCATAATCCCTAGAATATTCTCTTGGAGGAATCCAATGGTAATCCAATGGTAGTTTCAAGCAGATTTTTAGATGGCAGGTAAGTAAATTCTTTAGTACTCGCCTTATTGGGTTGAGTTAGTTTATATTCAAAAATTATATATGATTCTGGAAAGATGTCAGTGTGGATGCTATATAGATTGCACACGTATGGTAAGCTGTATAATCCTATATTATGTAATACAAGTACAGTTTTGGTTGACATGATTGTGACTGAGTGAGAGATTAAACTCTTTAAGGTAGTTCTGCATGTTGATAATTTTTACTAATTTTGGTGATGAATAAATTATCTGATAATTATAAATTGGGCAATATTTTTGACATTTTAAGTGGATATAAAGAATTATGGTAACATACACATGGACCATGCATACACATACAATTACAAATGTGAAAATATTGTCCCTTTCATTGATTATCGGTATTTATAATCATGAAAATTATTAAAAAATATCGAGACATGTCTACCTTAAAATCAGATTGGCTTACAAGTACCCTAAGCTATTTTCACATTTTTATTGCAAGAAAATCTTTTTGCAAGGGTTACAAAGGTTGAAATTTTGTGGTGGCTCCATTGTGGGATCCACAGTCTTTACTATCCTTTTGGAATAGTTCTCAAAAACGTTAGGTAAAGAGGGACTCTGATAAATCAGAATGCTCTCAAAAACGTTAGGTAAAGAGGGACTCTGATAAATCAGAATGTGGTGGCTCTATTTGGCTGGAGTTTAATATTCAGACCTAGCTATAGGTATTATTACATTTATATGTACACTAGTATCTTGTTGACCTATATTCAGCACTGTATTGATGAATGGGCCACTTATTAGGGCCAATAATCAATCATAAAGTGTACAGGGGTAGAGATGCCAAACCAAGAAGTCTTTTTGTGTCTGTCAAAATCCATTTGCATCCTACACATCCCAACATATTATCCAAATATGTTATTAATTAATGAAACATAACAGTATAATCTTTGGATTTAGAAAGTTGTATGGGATTTCATTAGTATAAAAGTTGCTTTTGAAGCATTTATCTATAGCCATTTTGTAGGAAAAACTGATAGAAAAAATGTATAATCTTTTAATTTGAAGTATGACCTGAATCGATTGCAAACTTTATATTTGCACATCTGATGTGATATACCATTTGTGTCATACTGTGAAATTATTTAATTTGCAATCGATTCAGGTCATAGTGTATTTTAGGTATTTTTGTGAAAATCAATAGAAACCAATGGCCTATATTGGAATTGATGATATTCACATGTTAAGTCAATGGAGCCCATTCAATTGCAAGTCAATACACCCTTGCTGAACTAAATGACCTCAACCTCAGTCCATGTGGGTCCAAACGCTCAAATATTTTCCACAGTATTATGTGACATTGTATTCTTTATGTTACACCTCATCCTTGGCCCAAGAGTAATTCATTGCATTACATTATTATTATGATCTGCTATGAAAGCAGTGAAGGACCGATCTTGAAGGATGGTTACACCTAAAAATGATTCATTTTGTTCATGGGGATATCATAATGGAAAGTGCACTAGACCCTTATTGTAATTGTATGATATCGTATTTGTGATTTGAATATACACTATGATATTTGAGAAAAGGAATGTTTTGTTCTAGTTTCATTGCAATTTATAACCCTAATATCCTTCCCAGAATCCTTCCTTGTCTTCCAATTTTCTACTAACCTCAGAAGTTCCTACTTTTTTAAAAAAATACAATTTTCCATGATCATTTATATGTCACCACCACAAGTGGTGACATATTGCTATGGTCTCAAACTTTTTTGTGGACGGTGTTCAGTGGTTGGTGTTTATCATTTGGCAGTTGGTGTTTGGCAGTTGGT